TTATTGTTACTACACTATACCATAATACACTATACTTAATGAAGAGCTGATCAAACTCTTTATTTTTACTACCCTATCCCATAATACACTATACTTAATGAAAAGCTGATCAAACTCTTTATTTTTACTACGCTGTACCATACTACACCATACTTAATGAGAAATTGATCCAAAACTTTATTGTTACTGCACTTTCCTACATGAAAAACTGACCAAAGTCTTTATTATTACCACACTATCCCATAGTACATGAAAAACTGATCAAACATTTTATTATTACTAAACTATCCCATACTACACTATATGACATGAAAAACTGATCAAACTCTTTATTGTTACTACACCATCCCCTCCTACACTACACTACATGGAAAAACCCTTCACCCTTGCCAGACCCACGTGGATCCAGTTGGTCAATGAATCAAAACACCATCACCAGAGCCCAATTAAGAAAGGACCTTTTGGTAACCAATGTCCATAACGTGCACATTCCACAGGTGCAGAGATTGAGATAAGAATTGTTTTTCTCACAGCTTCCCAGGACAATCCTAGGACAGCTATGTGCCTCTCTCTGCTCAGAGGATCTGTGATTACCACAGGAAAGCATTTCCTGGCACTGACTGCACTGGTTTTTTGCAAATCCTCAGGGAACCATAGTGCTAAATGCTACAAGAGTGTTAATTTTGTAAGGTAAGCCATTGTGCAGTCACAGGCTCGGAGGTGTCCTTGCCATGCACGGGATCTCTGTGTGCTGCTGGAGAGGGGATCAGACCAACAGCTCCTCCTGTGCTTGGCACAACTCGTGTGTCACATGGAATTCAACCTCTCTGCTGTGATGCAGTGGGAGATGGGGACCAGGTTGTGCTGCCTCTAACTTGGCTCTGCTGGCTGGTTCTGGTTGTTCATGCCCTCCTGGGTTCCTTATTCTGGCTGTCCATCCCCTCCTGGATTCCCTGTTAGTGTCCATCCCCTCCTGGATTCCTTATTCTGGCTGTTCAATCCCTCCTGGATTCCCTGTTAGTGTCCATCCCCTCCTGGATTCCCTGTTCTGGCTGTCCATCCCCTCCTGGATTCCCTGTTAGTGTCCATCCCCTCCTGGATTCCTTATTCTGGCTGTTCATGCCCTCCTGGATTCCCTGTTCCGGCTGTTCAATCCCTCCTGGGTTCCTTATTCTGGCTGTGCATCCCTTCCTGGATTCCCTGTTCTGGTTCATGCACTCCTGGATTCCTTATTTTGGCTGTGCATCCCCTCCTGGATTCCCCTCCTGGATTCCCTCTTCTGGCTGTGCATCCCCTCCTGAATTCCCTGTTCTGGCTGTCCATCCCCTCCTGGATTCCCTGTTAGTGTCCATCCCCTCCTGGATTCCCTGTTCTGGTTCATGCCCTCCTGGATTCCTTATTTTGGCTGTTCAATCCCTCCTGGATTCCCCTCCTGGATTCCCTGTTCTGGCTGTTCAATCCCTCCTGGATTCCCCTCCTGGATTCCCTGTTCTGGCTGTTCAACCCCTCCTGGATTCCCTGTTCTAGATGTCCATCCCTTCCTGGATTCCCTGTTCTGGTTCATGCACTCTTGGATTCCTTATTCTGGCTGTTCAATCCCTCCTGGATTCCCTATTCTGGCTGTCCATCCCCTCCTGGATTCCCTGTCCTGGTCCATCCCCTCCTGGATTCCCTGTTAGTGTCCATCCCCTCCTGGATTCCCCTCCTGGATTCCCTGTTCTGGCTGTTCAATCCCTCCTGAATTCCTTATTCTGGCTGTCCATCCCCTCCTGGATTCCCTGTTCTGGTCCATCCCCTCCTGGATTCCCTGTTAGTGTCCATCCCTTTCTGGATTCCCTGTTCTGGTCCATCCCCTCCTGGATTCCCTGTTCTGGCTGTTCAATTCCTCCTGGATTCCCTGTTCTGGCTGTCCATCCCCTCCTGGATTCCCTGTTCTGGTTCATGCCCTCCTGGATTCCTTATTCTGGCTGTTCAATCCCTCCTGGATTCCCCTCCTGGATTCCCTTTTCTGGCTGTCCATCCCCTCCTGGATTCCCTGTTCTGGTTCATGCACTCCTGGATTCCTTATTTTGGCTGTCCATCCCCTCCTGGATTCCCCTCCTGGATTCCCTGTTCTGGCTGTTCAATCCCTCCTGGATTCCCTGTTAGTGTCCATCCCCTCCTGGATTCCCTGTTCTGGTTCATGCACTCTTGGATTCCTTATTCTGGCTGTTCAATCCCTCCTGGATTCCCTATTCTGGCTGTCCATCCCTTCCTGGATTCCCTGTTAGTGTCCATCCCCTCCTGGATTCCCCTCCTGGATTCCCTGTTCTGGTCCATCCCCTCCTGGATTCCCTGTTCTGGTTGTGCATCCCTTTCTGGATTCCCTGTTCTGGTTCATGCACTCCTGGATTCCTTATTCTGGCTGTCCATCCCCTCCTGGATTCCCCTCCTGGATTCCCTGTTCTGGCTCTGGGGCCAGCACTCTCGTGGTGCTCAGCTCCCAGCACTGATAAAATGGAGAACCAGCATCCTGGTTTTCATCACTTGGGGGGGGGAAGGAGGATTGTTTTTTTATTAATAACCCAAATTACCCTGTGAAATGGCACTTGTCTGATGTTAAATATTAAACTCCCTTAAGTGGGTGAGCTGGGCACAGGAGCAGCAGCGTGCTGGTAGTGATGGGCTGTGGAGGAAGATGAAGTGCTGCTGGACAGCATTAATTCTTCCTCCCTGGAGAGCCTTCCATCCTCAGGGCAGCCAGGTGCTCTTGCACGCAGCTCCCCGCCTTCCAAATGGCATTTTTCACACTTTCAACATTTTGCACGCTTTGAGCAGATCTGAACATCAAAGGCTGGTGGATCCTGGCTCTGGCGTTGCCATGGCAACAGCAGCTGAGAGGATTTGGATGTTTCTGGGATGGGATTTTGCTGCTGGGTGTGTTGGGCACAGTGGGGCTGCTCTGCCCACATCGGTGGTGCTGTGGGAGGGGATGCTCTGGCCCAGCCCAGGAGCACTCTGGTGCAGAATTTGGGTCTGAGCTGCTCACCTCAGCTCCCTCCAGCCTGGGAGAGGAGAATGGAGCCCTTCTTCCCATGCTATGGCACATGTGGAAGTAGGTCAGCTCAATTATACCCTCAGATATTCTCATTTCTCTCTGTTGGCTCTCAAGGGAGTGGAGCATTGAGCTTTGCTACAAGCATTGACTCTGTAGGAGCCCAAAACTGCTTCAGTGAGCCTGTTCAGGTGTCTCTTGTACCCCTCTGCAGCTCCAGATGTGCTGGACACTGGGGATTTTCAGGAGTGAACATGAAGCCCCAGGGCTGCTCTCCTCACATCGGTGGTGCTGTGGGAGGGGATGCTCTGGCCCAGCCCAGGAGGACTCTGGTGCAGAATTTGGGTCTGAGCTGCTCACCTCAGCTCCTTCCAGGCTGGGAGAGGAGAGTGGAGCCCTTTCTTCCCATGTGGAAGTAGGTCAGCTCAATTACACCCTCAGATATTCTCATTTCTCTCCTTTGGCTCTCAAGGGAGCGGAGCATTGAGCCTTGCTACAAGCATTGACTCTGTAGGAGCCCAAAACTGCTTCAGTTTTGGGTTTTCTTTGGGATATTGGCTTGGGATAGTGGCTGTCCTTGGGATGTGGCTTCAGGTGTCTCTTGTACCCCTCTGCAGCTCCAGATGTGCTGGACACTGTGGGTTTTCAGGAGTGAACATGAAGCCCCAGGGCTGCTCTCCTCACATTGGTGGTGCTGTGGGAGGGGATGCTCTGGCCCAGCCCAGGAGGACTCTGGTGCAGAATTTGGGTCTGAGCTGCTCACCTCAGCTCCTTCCAGTCTGGGAGAGGAGAGTGGAGCCCTTTCTTCCCATGTGGAAGTAGGTCAGCTCAATTATACCCTCAGATATTCTCATTTCTCTCTAAGCACTGAGCTTTGCTACAAGCATTGACTCTGTAGGAGCCCAAAACTGGAGCTTCAGTTTTGGGTTATCTTTGGGATATTGGCTTGGGATAGTGGCTGTCCTTGGGATGTGGCTTCAGGTGCCTCTTCCAGCCCCCTGTAGCTCCAGACATGCTGGATACAGTGGATTTTCAGGAGTGAGCATCAAGCTGAACACTGTGAAAATATAATATTGATCTGTCTGGGTACAGCAGCACAGTCAAGGAATCAAAACACCATCACCAGGGTCCAATTAAGAAACCACCTTTGGGTAAAAAACTCAGTCAAGGGGCTGCTGTTGACCCTCACAGTGAGTCTGTCAAGCTGTGTGTCCTGGGCAAAATGCCCCATCCTCCTCCTCCTCCTTGTGTGCTGTAAAATGGGAATTCATTGCTGTTCTGTGAACATTTCTCATTTGGGTGACTCTAGCAATATCTGCTGGGGGAAACAGGTAAGTGTTAAGGAACTGCCTGAGACCTTGGTTTTTGTTTTTTTTTTTTTGAGGTGTTTTCATGAAAATGGAAAGAGCTTTTGGAATTAAAAGCTGTTCATTTATTAGACTCGTATGTATTATTTTTCACATGTGATTTATTGGGACATGCACATGGCAGGTGTCCTTTGGGGGGTGGGAGGGTGGGGTGTGTGTGCAGACAGGCTCTGAGACAGATTGGGGGTTTGATGCAGGGAATCAGATAATTCTGAGCACCCAATTCCTTGTGCTGTCACAGCAATAGACAGAGCTCAGACTTGTGAGCTCAGTGCTGCTGGCCACTGCATACTAAAGGAGAAAATATTTTGTCAGACTGCCTGAACATGACAGAGCAAGAACATTTGGGTGGTATTTAGGCACAGTGCAGACCTCAGATGATGCTGGCAAGGGGGATATTTACAGACATGAACAGAATGGGACTGCTGGGAACGTGCCTTGAGCTGTTTGATTTTCCAGCATCAGCCTCATTCCATGGTGATGACAATGGGAAGATGCCACCAGCTCACATCCCAGGCAGCAGACTAAAAAACTTAATGTTACAACTCACTTTATAAGTGTTTTGACCAATCCCACAAAGCAAAAGCACATTGACAGTATTTATATCTGAATAGTATATATTCTATATTGACAGTGGTTCTATCCAACCACTATAAGCACAGGTACCTTTGGTTAAACAATGCTTGCTTATTTCAAATACAATCCCTGCTTGTGAGCCTTCAAACACAATGCACAGAGCTCCATTATTAAGCTTAAAACTGCCTAATATCTCTCTAGATAAACTTTTCTGTAGTTTAGGGAGTTATTCTAGACAAGCATTAATACACAGACCATTGTTCTATTTGCCCTTGCTTTCCTACAGTTTAAATAATTTTTCTGCTGCCCAATCTCATGGCTGCTGCTCAGCTCTAATCACAGTTCTGCTCTCTCTGAGGCCTTTTGCAGCTTTCCCAAACCCCTCTGATTTTATGGATTCCCACACTCAGAGACTGGCTGGCTGAGAATAAAGGTACACTGAAACTGTGGGGCAAGACCTGAGCTCTGCTCTCTGCCTTGATGCTCGGGGGCAGAGCAGATTCCTGTCCCATCTGCCTGCCAGGTGGGGACATCTTTCCTCACAGGAGGTCAGTCTCTGCTGCCTCCAGGCATGCACTGCAGCCAAATGATGGAAATCTCTGGGTTTTGAGGCTCCCAAACAGGCAAAACGTTCAGGCCTCTCTCTGTTATCAATAGACTTGCAGTCGCAGCAGGAGCAGTGGATTCAACAGGATCAATAGCTGGGGTGGATTAAGTGCAGCCTGGGAAGAGTCTTGTTACATCTTTCAGATGGTGCCTGTCTGAATGAAAGCTGAAATCTGCACCGTGAGCAGTAATTAAGAAGTGATTTGCCCTTGGCCCATATTGTGGGCGTAAAGCCAAATTCTGAGTTCCCAGACCTGGGAATTTTCAGGTTCAGGCTGAGTTAGGTGATGTTTTTTGCTCTCAGAACTGCCTAGTCTCTAAGAGGGGTCAAACAGTGAGTGCTAATCCTGTGGGTGAGATGTGTTCTGGCCCACTGGATAAGAGAGCTGGATGCAGAGGTTGTTGAGCACCTTTATCTGTGCAGAAATCTTCTTTGCAGCCAGGATAGCACAGCACTAAGCTGCAGCATAAACAATGGGACGTGAATATTCCCTTCCTTTGGGAGCTTTGCAGCTCTTTCACGGCTTCACTCTGAGAATCTGACTTTCTGAAGAAGCATAAATAAGGTAAATCAGTGTGATGAGATTTTCAGTTGTGTCGCCTGGCTTGTTCAAATGATGAGCAAAAAGAACACTTGATAAGTGGTGGTAAGATGCCAGAGAGGCACATGCTATGAAACTCTGCTCTGTATGAGTGCAGGGAGGGGCAAAAACCTGCTGAAACCTCTTGGTTTGGGGCTCAGATAATTCTGAGATAATTCTCAGATAATTTAATTCTGCAAGAATTAAATTGTGGTTGTGCTGGTACAAGGCTGCTGTCTCTTGGAGCAGGAGAGCAGTCTGCTTCCCCTCCAAAGCCATGCCTTTGGAGGCAACAGTGCACAGTTCAAGGAACACAACCTCAAGAAGATCTATTCAATTTGTATTTCTGGATTTCCTTTGGGAATCTCAGATTAAATACTTCTGAGCTGATAAATGACCACTAAATGGTTTCTTAGATCAGGACCATGACAGGAAGAGATTCCTAATAGCTGCTGAGCCTTGCAGAGGGTTTCTTTTCCACTGGGTTTCTTTTCTTTCATGCAGAGGGTTTCTTTTCCACTGGGTTTCTTTTCATTTGTTCTGTGTGCCAGTTTTTAGACTGATTTGGAGAGATTTGGCTTCCCCGTCGTCCCTCCAACAACAAAGGAGATGGAGAGGCAGCTGGAGAGCAGGGGCTGGGATATTTGTGTGCAGCAAATCTTTGTCTCCCTCCCACCACATCACATTGTACAACTCCTCAGATGGAAAGGTGAAGAGCAGGGGCCAGTGTTGACCCCTCATTGGCCCGTGGCTGATGGTTCCAGCACTTTGGAAGCTGAGCACCAGTGGCACCCAGGGACTTGCTGTGACGTGAAAACACAAATCACCACGCCAGGAGCCACCAACAGCACAGGAAAGCCAAGCCTCAGCTCTGGGATGTTCTGAGGGCCGCCTGCTCTGAGCTGCAGCATCTCTCCCAGCTCTGCAGAGCATCCTTACCCACTTATTTATGCCTGCATCACTGCTGCTCTCTCCCAACAGGAGGAAGTGGCCTGACAGCATCTCTGCTTTGCTGTGTACCTGCTGTTATCCATGGCTGGGCGGCAGCAGCAGAATTGCTGAACATTTAAATTATTCAGCTTCTGTTGTTGACTCAGCTTTAAAGCCACATTGATGTTTCCTGAGATAATAGCTTGCTGACTGGAACCTGGGAGCCTGGCTGCTCCTGGGAGCCTCTGCAGGGGCACAGGGAGTGTTTTCCTCTCTAAGGAGAGAGGGGACGAGCTGGAGTAAGGTGAACCTGTGTGTATCCATGTCCTTGCACCAGGAGAGTGTGCAAGAGCTCAGGAGGGAGCAGCTCCCTTCAGTAGCTGCAGCCTGGCCTCATTTCTTATTTCTCATTTCTCATTTCTCAAGTGGCTGAGTTCAGGAGGCGCTGTGCTTCCTTCCCTGGGCAAAGGCACATGCAGCTTCCTCAAAATATGAAAGCCCATTTTTATGTTATGTACCTTTTCAAGCCCATTTTTATGTTATTTACTTTTAAAAGCCCATTTTTATGTTATTTACCTTTTCAAGCCCATTTTTATGTTATTTACTTTTTCAAGCCTATTTTTATGTTATTTACTTTTAAAAGCCCATTGTTATGTTATTTACTTTTTCAAGCCCATTTTTATTTACTTTTAAAAGCCCATTGTTATGTTATTTACTTTTCAAGCCCATTCTTATGTTGTTTACTTTTCAAGCCCATTTTTGTTATTTACTTTTAAAAGCCCATTGTTATGTTATTTACTTTTTCAAGCCCATTTTTATGTTATTTACTTTTAAAAGCCCATTGTTATGTTATTTACTTTTTCAAGCCCATTTTTATACTTTATTTACTTTTTCAAGCCCATTTTTACACGTTATTTACTTTTCTCCAAGGCGATGTGCCCAAGGTTCTCTGCTGCACACATTCCACCCCTCATTCCCTTTAAATGAGAGGAAGAACAGCTGAGGACAGCCTGGCTGGTTCTGGGCAGCCACTTCTCTGGTTACATGGCAGATACCAAAACCCAGGAAGGAGCCTTGCATTCCTTCACAGCTACATCATCACACAGCTGAGGAGTTTCTCCAAAGGTCAGAGGCAGAACTGTGTATCTTGGAAAAAAAAAAAAAAAAAAAAGGCTCTTTTTAGCTGAAGGATTGGGCTCTGCTTTCTAAATCTCCGACAAAGCTTCTCCTCACCCCTGGCTCTGTCTGCAGTTGCTGCTGGAGTTCAATGTTTTCATCTTAGGTGTGAACCTGGAATGCAGCAGCGCTGAGGCGCTGGGGATGCTGAGCCTGGTCCCAGGAGCTGGCTCAGCACAGCAGAGGGAGAAATTAATTTTCATGTGGCTATGATAAGTATTATAGCATCCAAGGAACAGCACCTAAGAGAATACTGGAACCCTGGCTTGCAAAAAAATCCCTAAAGCCCTCTGGGGTGCCCAGAGGTTGTTGTTTGGTATTTTCACTGGAATACTTGGTCGCTTCTTCTCTATGTGAATTTGCTCTTTTTTAGACAATATTCCTGTTTTTTCTAGTGTGAATGATGTCCCTTTGCAGAGCCCCAGTTGAGCTCTGTGTTAGCTTTTGTGAGGCACTGTAGACACTGGCTCTGTAGGTTCAGAGCAGCAGCACTTTTAGGGCCAATGCAGAGTGCCAGGCAGGCAGCAGTGGCAGTGCCCGTCCTTTTGGCAACAAACATTTGAGCTCTACCTGAACTGAAGGTGGAGGCTGTTCTATTTCAAATATTAGAGGGAATCTAGACTGTCAATGGAGTGCTGAATGACTCTGGACAAAGGGAAGCTGTTTTCCCTAGACTGAGGTAAGGACTCTGCTTTGTGTAATGCTAAAATTGGTCTTTGCTCAGTACAAAAATCTCAATTTCTATGTAATGCAAAGCATTTTGCCATCCTGACATGGTCTATTGATCTCCTTTTCCTGTCTCTCAGTTTTTATAAGCTTTTCTGGTGGTGGGCTGGGCTGTTTTATAGGAATTCCCTAGAGAGATAACAGCTCTGGCAGAGCAGTTGTTTCTTTCTCCAAGCTGCAGATTCTAAAGCTGTATTTATCCCTACACTCCCCAGGCCTTTCCAGGTGTGATCATCTCATGGCTGTGCATTCACTGGTTTGGCCCCAGGGCCTGGCTGGAAACACTTTGTGTGGTATTTTTGGGGTCCCCAGGACAAAGGAAGGAATTGATGAATCTGATTCCATGTCCTTAGATGGCTAATTTATTATTATATTATATTATATTATATTATATTATATTATATTATATTACATTATATTATATTATGCTATACTGAACTATACAAAAGAATAGAAGAAGGATACAGACAAAAGGCTACAAAGAATAATGAAAAAGGCTACACAATAATGAAAACTCGTGATTCTCTCCAGAGTCCTGACAGAGCCTGACTGTGATTGATCATTAAGTTAAACAATTAACTTAAATTAAATTAAACAACTCACATGTTGGATAAACAATCTCCAGACCACATTCCAAAGCAGCAAAACAAAGGAGAAGCAAATCAGATAATACTGTTTTCATTTTTCTCTTAAACAATTCACATGTTGGATGAACAATCTCCAAACCACATTCCAAAGCAGCAAAACACAGGAGAAGCAAATCAGATAATATTGTTTTCATTTTTCTCTTAAACAATTCACATGTTGGATGAACAATCTCCAAACCACATTCCAAAGCAGCAAAACACAGGAGAAGCAAATGAGATAATTATTGTTTTCATTTTCCTCTGAGGCTCCTCAGTTTCCCAGGAGAAGAAATCCTGGGCAAAGGGATTTTTCAGTGACCCACCTTGGCCTTCTTGAGCCTGTAAGTGGCAAAAGGTGAACGGTAGCTGGAAATAGAACCCAAGCTGTGTGGCTCCCCTGCAGTCCTTTGCCAGGCTGGCCCAAATTTAGCACCTGGAGCCAAGATGGAGCATCTGGAGCAAAGCAAGAGGGGTGAGCCCTGGCAGGCAGGCCATGGCTGCCCTGCAGGGTCACCCCAGGCTGGAGCACAAGGAAAGGGTGGGACGGGAGTGATCTCCAGGAGCTCTGATCCTCTGGACAACTGGTGTGACTCCCTTGCGTGTCTTTCAGAGAGGGCATGCACCAACCACTGTGGACCCCTTGCCTTCTTGCTGCAAGCAAGGATCTCCTGAAGGGATGCTGGAGCAGGAGTCTGCTGTGCAGGTAGAAGGGGGGAAGGGGCGCGTTCATTGTGTTGCAGTGGGCCCTAGGCCCTGCAGAGAGCCTGGAGCTGCTGTCACCAGACCTCATCTGCCACTTCAGTTCCATCTCGGTGTCCTCCATGTGGGACTGTGCCCAGCCAAGCTCTGCAGGGACCTGTGAGAAACCTCAGGTCTCCTGCCCGCTGTCTCCAGCCCAGCACAGACCGAGAGACAGCGCGGCTCTGGCCACAGAGCTTTCATTTTGCTTCCTATTGCTGAAGTTTCATCTTCCCTGGAACGATCTGAGGAGCAGAGTTCATGCACATGGGCTCCTCAGACGTGTTTATGAAGTCTGGCTCAGGCATGACTCTCACTAAACACTGCCCAGCCTGGCAGCTCTCCCCAGGTCCTGACGTAGGATGAGCCATAATCTCCAGACTCCAGACAGGAGCTTCCTTGTTGTGCTGCCGTGCAGTCAGGTGTGTGAGTGGTGATAGGGTGCGAGTCCAGCTGCTGATAAACCTCTTCCAGCCCGCTCATGCTTGGTTTTGGCTGCAGCACTGAGCACTGGTGGGTTGATGAGAGCTGCAGACTGGCTGTCCAGGGTGAGCTGACCTTCTCCTGCAGTGATGACATGCATGCATTGCCTGAGGGTGAGTACCTGGGCATGGTCAGGGCTTCCTGAAAAGAGGAGAGGAATCAGCTCAGCTGCTTTACATGAGGGAGTTTAGGTATATTCTGGCTGGTAATATGAGCTTCAGTCCAAAGACAATGCCTCTTCTCCCCAAAGAGCTGCTGCTAAATGCACCTCAGACCAGCAGGAAGGGTTTGCTGCCCTTCTGAGGTCATTGGTAACTTACCTAAGACCATCCTTGGAGCCAGTGGCAGTGCCTGGCATGGAAACCAGGTCCCTCTGTGCTGTATTTGCCTTGTCCTCCTCACCACTGCTTTACTGGGAGAAGGGAGGTGCCCCAGGCGATGTTTTCTTTGCAGTATTGTGATGGTAAATGTTGATTCCTGTGTGGTCACCTTCCTGCCCTGGGACAGGTGCACAGGATGATGTTTCTGTCTCAGCACAGTGCTGTGCTGGCTCTGCTGTGGAGCAGGTGGCTGTGCTGCAAAGGCTTTGCTTGCATGTCCTCACCAGGGATCTGCTGGCAGGGATTTATTACCTACCAGGCCTGTGCTTCTGGTGCTTTTCTGTCAGTGCTTTCTGCCCTGCATGGCTTCCAGAGGCTGCACCCCAAGCAAGCCTGGCTTGAGGCTCAGGACAGTAAATCTATGGTAGCCACAGCACAGGGGTGTCACCCTGGTTTTTTAAGATTTTCTGAGCCTTCTGATGTTGACATACTTGTAGTGAACTTTCTCCACACTTTCTGTAAATAACTCATTGTTTTGCATTCCTTTATAGAGGAGGAGAAAGTTGATGGAGTCTTGGTTTGCCCAGTGTCATTGGAGAGGTGGCACTGTCACCCTCCAATCCACTGCCACTTTTGGAAATCTATAAATGTTGGAGTCAGAAAACAAACTCCCCTTTTTCTTCACCTTGAGAGCAGCAGTGTGTGTGCTCGTGTTGTTTCATGTCCTACAGTGACACAGGGGCTGTACTGTGACACCCCCCAGCATGCAGATCCCTGCAGAAAACCCCTTCTCAGCACTTTTGTGCATGCAGGGAAAGCAGGTGTGGACCAGTCCTGCTGGAGGAGAGGTAGGGAATGAACAGGGAATGAGTCAGAGCAGACTGCAGAAATCAGGAGCAGCTGATAAGCACCGCTAGGGAGGAAAAGGAATCCTCTCCACAGGGCCCCAGGGCAGATCCTGATGGTGTGAGCTGGGCTCCAGCACCTCACCTGAGCATGAGGGCACTGCCAGAGCCCACGCCAGGCTGAGGCAGCTCCAGGAGCTGTGTCTTAGTCCCAGGCTGACCTCAGGCAGGCTCAGAGCACATCTCTGCTCCCCCCTTGCACTGTCAGCATGCTGGAGCCCTCTCAGCTCCCAGTGTTTATTGCCTGAGCCATGTCATGGTCCAAAAAAGGCATCAGGAAAGCAGGAGAGACAAAGCTCTGCTGCTGCACCTCTTGGCAGCTGTAAATGTTGTTGTGTTATTAGCAGAGGTGTAGTGCCTGAGCAAAGAGCTCTCATGTATTGTCTTCAGTCACAGTCTATATATTTTTTGATGAGGTAAAAATAGCTTTTCTTTTTCAGGATATGCAGAGAGCAGAGGCTCCTGCTAACATCAAAGGAGAGTGACAGCTTTCCCCTGGGTGTGCGTGGCCTCAGCTGGCAGGAGCAGTAGCTCTGTTAATTCTTGCCTCTATGTGAAAGGAAAAATGTGAAAGGAAAAATGTGAAAGGAAAAATGTTCTGGTCTCTTTTTCCTGTCCAGCTCTCTGGACCAGCCTCTGTTTCACTCTCCACTGCTGCTAGAGACCCAGCACTGCACTTCAGAGGGAAAGTGATAGTTTGCAAATGACGGAACAAGATCTCGAGCGTGTTCCTTAGCAAATCCATTAGGCAGGTGCTGCAGGCTCTCACAGAGCAGGGATCCTTATCAGAAACATCAGCCTGCTGGGCAGGGGCATCTCCTCGCTGCCCTGCTGCGTGCAGATTAAGCTGTTTGTGATATCTGCCCTGCTCACAGTCCTGGACCTGTTCCAGCTGAAGCAGGAGCAGAGGGGACCCGTGAGCAGGGCAGGAAGGAGTCAAATGGCAATGCAGATGTGTGTGGCTGAAAATGCTCAGCAGGGGCTGAGTTAACCTTTACCCTGAGCTGCACCAGCAGTGACAGCCCAGAACTGCCTCTCCTGCTCAGAGTGCACAAAAATGGCCTTTCCAAAAGCTCATTGCTCGTGATTATGTAATGGTGGGGGACTGTGCATGGTGGAGAGGCTGGTCTGATGCTGGCACTGGAAAGCTTGCCCTCTCTTCAGCACTGGAAAAGTGCTAATTGACAGGTTGCTTCCCTTCCCACAAACCTGCCAGGGGCCTTCCCTCCCTCCTCCTTGTGCTTTGGGGTTTCTCCTTTGCCAGTTGTGTCAAGTCCTTCTCCAGCTCTATCCTTTGCACGGGAATGCAAACAGACCTTTCACTTCCTGCACGCTCTGATTCCCCCGCTGCAAGAGGGTTGAGCTCCCCCTTGCATCCTGCTCTGGGGATCTCTGCTGGGTGCAGCAGCCACCAACCCTCTTGGGGCTGCTGTGAAACCCCCACTAAGCAGAGATAAGCACGGACAAGGGGTTTACTCAGGCTGGTGCATGAAATGAGGACAAACTCACCTGGCAGATGCCTTCCAGAGATGAATTCTTGTGCCTTGACTCTCATCATGGCTCCTATTAAGATCTGCACACCTGTGCTAAATCATGTGGGCAGAGGTGAGGGTGATGGCAGAATGGAACTTGGACATGTGGGTTTACCTGTCTTGAGTCATTTGGGTAGGGGTGAGGATGATGAAAGGATAGAATTTAAGCATCTGGGTTTATCCTTTCACCAGATGGATTTTTCCAATGCTTTTTGCTTTTCTCTTTCTTCTGGGTTTGCAGTCTCTGCCTGTTCTCTGAGTCCTGCTGGCTGCCTGCCTGAGGCTTTGCTGCTGTGGCCTCTCTGGAGATGCTGTGTTCTGCTGAATGCTGCCTTCTACTCAGAAGGCAGAAACCTGCCACTAGGTTTTGTTTCTGCTGCAGGGCCCAGTTTCTGTTAATACAGGAGACAGGAGAAAGTTCCTGCAAGAGAGACAGCATGGCTTCTGTTCCTGAGCACTTGGAGTTCACTCTCCTCTCTTCCCTGATTATCCTATGGACTCCCTAGGTGTTATCCCTAACTGCTCTTAATCTTAGCAGCTCCTTTAGTGTGTTTTGAGGACTGACAAATTCTTCTCATCTGATGAGAAAGGATTGAGGTTATCACCTGCAGAATTGTGTAGTTGGTATCTGCGAGGCTGAGAGTTCCAAATGAGCATTGGCTCCAGAGACATCCCCAGGCTGGACAGTTCCTTAAGACTAAACCACTACACTGATGTGAGGTTTTGGGTGTTTCTGCTGGAAATAATGCCTCAAAGGTGAGGGTCATGCCCACTGTTGGGCACAAGCCCACGTGAGTAAGGAAATGTCCAAGCAAGTGGCAAAGGCTGCTGCCCTTGGCAAGGGTTTCTGACACATCCTCAGCTGGCAGTGCTGCCTTTGGGTTCCAGGACACTGGCATTAGGAACTGGGTGACCTCTGAGATGTGAGCTGGGCCTTTCCACAGCATCTAGACAGGATGCCCACAGCAATATATGGCTCAGTGCCAGGGTGAGGGTTTGCATCTCACTGCCAGCCCTGGGTTTTTTGGCTGTTGGTGACTGTGTGCTGCCCAGAATTCTGGTGATTCCTTGCTGGGCCTCCTGTCTGCTGCTCCATGAGCCTGAAGGGACAAGTGGGCAGACAGGGTAAGGAGGGCAATGCAGCAGGATGTGTGTGTGCCAGGCTGGAGCAGTGTGGGGAGCTGCTTCTTGGCTGTCTCTGTGTCCCAGAAAACACTGTGAGATCATCACCAGACCCTGAACTCATTTGTGCTTGGAAATCATCGACTTACAGCATTTAACAGCTCACACAGAGTGGGCTCCTGCCAAGTGTGGCCACCTTGAATGCTGAGACCCTCCCTTCTGTTATCAGTGATGAGCAGCAGGAGCTTGTGGGAGCTCCTCCCTGGGTGTGAGTGAGGCCCTGCTAGAGGAGATTAGAGCAGGAGCTGACTGTGACCAGACACACAGCAGGCTTACAGACCTCTGAGTGCAGCCTTGAGATCCACCCTGAGCCTCTGGTTTGACTTCTCCTTTGCTTTGTAGCCTTGGCCATGGCTACAATGCAATGGGCTCGTGTGGTTCCAGGCTAATTATTGCTGGGAGAGAAGGAGGATCTGGGAAAAGGGGCAGGAGAAGCCTCTCCTCAGGGCCAGGAGAGGGTGTCATGAGAATAAATTGACTCTGAAACCAGGACAGAGGGAAAAGGAAAATTCAGATTGCCAGCAGACTAGGGGAGATTTTTCCTGAAGGAAAAGAAAGGGAAGGAGAGTAGAAGCACAGTCTGATGTGCTGTCCTAAGTCTTTGACTTTAGAATGTCTTGGAGCACTTAACAAAGCCCTGATCTGAGGCTTCTCTCTTGTAGAATTGCTGGCAGCAGCCTCCTGACCCTTCACAGCTTGGATGTCTGCAAGTCTGTGGAGCACGATGCCTGTGCTCTGTGTTTAGGGTTTAGCAGAACCCGAGAGTGCAAGAGGTACACAGCAGCAAGTGAGGCAGCTCATTATCTCCCCTGGAATATCCCCTTCCTGGAAAATGGCTGGGAAGGCGAAGGAGAACGGAAAGAAACTCTGCAAAGGAGAGGCAGCAGAGGCAGTTTCTGCATCTGGAAGCACAGGGGCACTCACACAGGGAGGGAGGGAGTGTGTGCAGGAGGCGCCGGCCGCGCTGAGCTTTGTGCCCGTCACTGGGTGGTGACACCGTGTGTCTGTGCCTGGGTGAGCTGGGCTGCTGCTGCCTGGCACCTGTGTGTGCATCTCCTTGTGCTCACGGGCTCTCTGCACTCCCTGCTGTCCCTCTTGCTGAAATCTGGGAGGTGGCAGTGACCCAGCCTGTGCTTCCATTTCCTGGGGAGCAGCTGCCCTGTGGGCAGGCAGACATCAGAAAGGAGGACAACACGACTGTGGATCTGCTTTTCCCACTTGAGCTGAGCTGTTCCATCCTCTCTGTTGGAATGGACTGCTGGTGTCTGATGCCCTGCACCTCTCTGTGCATCTCTGGAAGGTACATGCTGAGCATGGGCAGCAAAAGGCAGCTCCTCTGACACGCCCCAGCCTTGGCATCTTCTCCAAGGCCTGGGCCCAGCATCCAGAGGGGTGGAGGGAACCCCAAGCCCTCTCCTCTGGGGCAGGAGTTACCTGTGGGCCTATCTGTGGGGCTGCTTTTCCTCTGCTGAGGTGGTACCTGCAGCTCTGACCCCCTCCCTGCTCTTGGCAGCAGCCACATTTGCTTTCCGGAGGTGGCTTGGTATTAAATATCCTGTCTGACACAATAATGGAGAGAAAATGAACAAATTCCATTAGCACTTGGCGATCCCTGCAGGGTCTGCATTGGACAGAGGACGGAGCCTGTATTTTTAGATAGAATGCAATGTAACTTACTGGCTCTCTCAAAGCTGGGGAGTAGATAACCAAGGAGGGAGAGAGGGGACACCAGGCTCAGGTTTCAGCTGAAGTGCCGGGCTATGGCAGCACGAAAGGGCAGGTCCGGTCCAGACGTGGCTGTGAGTACTCAACACACTTCTCCCCCATGCCCACAGACACCTCTGCTTTGCTTTTCTGCTCGCTTTCTGCTTGTAGTCTCTGCTGCTGGGCGTGCTGGGGCTTTGGGAGCCCCTTGGCTGCCGGGCCACGTAGAGTTTTAGCATTTAATCTTCAGAGCTCCATGTGTGTCCCACGGATGACAGAGCCTGGCTGAGCTGTGCTTTGATTTTCCGAGGGTTTGCTGCCTTGTCCTCGATCCTGACCTGAGAAGCAGAGGCTTCTAGCAGTGTCTGGAGCTGGAAAAGCTCTTTGCATTCAGCCTGTTGCTTGAAGCTGTCAGTGTTTCCTCACTGGAGCCCAGACAGCACGCAGAGCTCAGGGCGTGAATGTGCATTTCTGAGCGCAGCGCTGCTGCTGCTGCTGCTGCCTCCTTGCAGCTCTGTGTGCTCAGAGCCCAGAGGTGCTGTGCCTCCTGTGCACCCACAGCCCTCCAAAGGCACAGCTCTGCTGGGAACCTGGGGGCTCTGCTCTGAGCTGGGAGCAGGCAGAGCCAGCTGGCGCGGGAGGTGATGAGCTCAGCACGTGGCCGTGGGCACGGTGCTGCTGCCCTCCAGCACTGTCCTTGTGACCCAGGGGCTGCCCCACAGGGCCCGTGGCACCTGGCCACCCTGCTGGTGGCCTGGCCTGAGCTCTGTGCCTGGCACAGCAGGGCCAGGCCACCCTCTCTGTGAGCATTCCCTCTACAGCAGGAGCAGGGCATGGCCGCCTTTCTCCATGGTGGGAGCGTCAGGCAGAAAGGATGGGCTGGGGGAGGCAGATGGAGGAGGCCAGAAGGCATCTGAGCTGTGCTGCTCCAAAGCCCCAATTCAAACATCTAAGAGTGCAAAGAGAAGGGAAGAGAGCAGCCCTGAACCACTGTGGTGCATCATCTTCCCTCATATGCTTCCAGTGCTTTTGGCTCTGGCTGTGGTGCTCCCAGCTCCTGCCCAGGAGCTTCCTAACCCTGGATGCTCCTCTGCAACCAGGCTGTGGGCAATCAGGATGGGCTGGGGGAGGCAGATGGAGGAGGCCAGAAGGCATCTGAGCTGTGCTGCTCCAAAGCCCCAATTCAAACATCTGAGAGTGCAAAGAGAAGGGAAGAGAGCAGCCCTGAACCTCTCCTAATTTAGATTGTCAGCATCATCCTCCCTACTGTGCCTCCAGAGGTTTTGGCTCTGGCTGTGGTGCTCCCAGCTCCTGCCCAGGAGCTGCCTAACCCTGGATGCTCCTCTGCAGCCAGGCTGTGGGCAATCAGGGCAGCTTTGGGGTGGCAGAACAGAAGCTCCCCTAGCACAGGAGGTCCCTCGGTCAGTCCTGATGTACGTGGTGGTACAAGAGGGGCTCTGATTTTCTCTTGGAGCTGTGGACAGAGCAGTGTGTCCTGCAGCCCTGCCATGGATCTGGAGGCTCTGGGCTGCAGAGATCCCTTTGGGCTGGCCCCAGCAGGCACAGTCCAGTTTCCAGCTGGAGCTCCCAGACTCACAGACCCACATCACTGCATTTCCACCCCGTTCTCCAGCTTCCAGTGAGCCATGCCATTGTCTCCATTTGCTGCCTCACACTGCTAAGTAGTGGTGCTGAAAGTGTTGCTGTGCCTTGCCTGGGCTGGCTGTGGTGTAGCAGGGAAGCACTGCCAAAAAAAGAGAGTTGGGAAGCACTGCCAAAAAAGAGAGTTGTGGCTTCCCCAGCTGGGAGGTGCTCAGCTGGGGCTGTGTCCCTGCTGCTGGTGCCCAAGCTCACCTCTGTTGCTGCTCAGTGCCTTCTGGAGGAGGGTAGGGGTGGGCTCATGCAGCTCCATCAGTGTGGCCCAGGCTACAGGGGGGTTTCCTGGGCCAAGGGAGGCTGCCATGGTGGCAGGAGCTCCCTCCACGCTGTCCCCAGAGTGTGACAGGACAGCCTTCAGACCTTCTGCCCCATCATCTGGATGCTCTTCATTTTAAGTGCAGCTCCCAGCCCTTCTTTCTCCTGTCTGGTTTGGGGCACCTCAGCCTGTCCCACTGTGACTTTCCTGGCCTCTGCCTTTGCTGCCTGGTCTGTGTAGTTCTGTTCTCTGCAGCTGAGTGAAGAGTTGAGCCAGTGCTGGTGGTGGGGGAGAGCAAGGGGGCTCTGAGTTTCATTCTTTTTTCTTTTTTGTCTCCAAGGCTGATGCTGCAACCAGTTTCTTGAGAGCTGCAAGATCTGGGAACCTGGACAAAGCCTTGGATCACCTCAGGAATGGGGTAGATATTAACACCTGTAACCAGGTAGGTGGAACACACAGGGCTTCTGATCTATCTCTAGTTCATGGGACATGTGCCTGAGCAGAGGGCAGCCCTGGGGCAGTTGTCTTTGGGGCCAGGAGGGCAGCAATAGCGATAAAGAGCATGGATGTACTGGCTGGAGCATGGCAAAGGACATTGACAGGTAAGCAGAGAGGGCTCCTTCAGTGTGACAAGCAAATGGGACAACTGGAAGAAGCTCAGCTGCTTCTCAGAGGGCAGAGCAGACGGCTGTGAGGAGCAGCCCAGTGAAGAACACCACAGGAATTGCTTGTGGGGGTTGTTCCCCTTGCCTGCAGTGCTGCAGTGCTGAGGCTTTTGGATTCCTGGAAGGTGCAGCTTACCACAAGCAGTGAATGTTTGCAAAGTGCCCCTTGCGGTGGTTTGGGAGGCGCTGGGCAGGAGGAGCTGCACAGAAATGGGTTTGTACAGGAGCAGAGAGCTGCAGGCGCTGAGGAACTGTTTGCACATCATCATCATCATCATCATCATCATCATCATCATCATCATCAGAACATTTTGTATCTGTGTAGCTGCCAAATGCACGTGGCTGAGCCTGAAGTGGGGCAGATGCTGTAGGGACAGGTTTAGGGGGTTTAGGCTGAGCAGGGGGAGCAGAGGCTGGGCTGTCCCTGCTTTGTGGAGCAGAGGTGCTGCTGGGGAGGCTGACTCAGCAAGGAGCACAAAGGCACTCGCATCTATTTCAGTCCCCAAACCAAGGGAAGCTCAGACCTGGCTTGTGCTGCAGCAGTTCCTGGGGACTGTGAGGGTGCTCACAGGGGCTCTTGGATGAGGGAAGGGACGAGGATCTGACTCCATGGTTCAGAAGGCTGGTTTATTATTTTATGATATATATCACATTAAAACTATACTAAAAGAAGAGAAGAAAAGGTTTCATCAGAAGGCTGGCTAAGGATAGAAAAAGAAAATATGATAACAAACGCTCTGTCTCGGACTCTCTGTCCGAGCCAGCTGGGCTGTGATTGGCCATTCATTATAAACATCTAAGATGGGCTAATCAAAGATCCACCTGTTGCAGCAGATAACCATTGTTTACATTTTGTTCCTGAGGCCTCTCAGGAGGAAAAATCCTAAAGAAAGGACTTTTCATGAAATTTTTCATGTGAGAGGGGACAGGGTCCCACAGGGCACGCAGAGTGCACCATGGATATTCACTCATTTCCATTGCAAACCCAACAGGAGAGGGAGGGTTTCTACATCCACTGCTCCTCTAGCCCAGAGGGGTGTGGGATTCTGGAGAAGCCCCTGTAAAGAATTACAACAGGGTGACTCATCCACAAGCTAAAGATGATGGCTTTGAACTCTTCTTCACCAAAGAGATGGTCTGGTTCATTTTTTGAGCTCTTCTTCACCAAAGAGATGGTCTGGTTCATTTTTTGAACTCTTCTTCACCAAAGAGATGGTTTGGTTCATTTTTTGAACTCTTCTTCACCAAAGAGATGGTCTGGTTCATTTTTTGAACTCTTCTTCACCAAAGAGATGGTCTGGTTCACTTCTTTGAACTCTTCTTCACCAAAGAGATGGTCTGGTTCATTTTTTGAACTCTTCTTCACCAAAGAGATGGTCTGCCATCAGCTACCTCCACTGACTGGCTTCAAGTCCTGTTCCCAACCAGATTTCTGGTGCTGGTGAGGGTGTTTAACACTTTGATGGGAAGACAATGGCTACAGCAGTATGAGGCTCTCCTCTCAGTGGTGTCTTTGCCCTGGTTCCTGCCATCTCCCTCAGGTTAGATGGCACTTTGGGGTTTCCTTCTGAGGAATATCAGACCTGTGGGAAAGGTCCAACCTCACATGTCCTGTATAGAATAAAGAGGGATATATGTGGTCAGACCTATCCCACAGGTCCTGTATTCTGGCTCAAGTTCAGAGACCTTGACATGCCATCTGACCTCCATCCCGCCGATTCCACCTCCTCCATCCATGGCTGCATCCGTGTCTCCATCACGCGCCTTCCATGTTCCCAATTCCAGCACGCTCCTATCTCATCCACGAGGAGCTGGAGGACTGAGGATGAGTGCCAGGACCCTCACCAGCTGGGAACAGCATCGTGGGTGCCCAGGAGATGGTTTTTGTTGGGCTGGTCTCTCCTGATGAGCAGGTCCCTGCTTTGGGACAGGCAAAGTGTGAAGTCTCTGTGTTATTCTGTAGGGCTGCATTTTTACATTAGTGACTGGGATTTCTGGGAATTATTTGCAGCATTCAGTGAGGAAAAGACAGCACCTTTCAAATGATGCACATCCTGTGGCAGTTTTGGGTCGGATGGGCTGTCAAGACAAAGCAAATGTGCAAAACAGCTTGGATTGCTCCTGGAGCAGAAATACCAATGGGCCAGCAATGGAAACAGTCCTCTGTGCTTGTAGCACAGCTATTTGTTAGGGGTTAATGATTTGTCACAGATTTACAGCACTCAGAAGGTTATTTAGGAATCTTTTGCATAAAAGGGCTTATGGGCTGAGGGGAGCAGCTGAGCATCTGTGGTCTTGCTCTGCTGCTGCTTGATGAAATCATTGTCCAAAGCAGGGCTGCTCATCTGTTAAAGTCTAAGGTTTGTACGTGCACTTACACAGCACTTGTGGTGGTGCATCCTTGCTCTGGACTGAGCACAAAGCTCAGCTCTGTGCTTTAGGTGTGAAAAACCTGACTGTGAGGAGGGGCACCCCGTGGGAAGGCACTTGAGCAAAGACACAAAGGATGTGCCATGAGCAGGGAGGACTGAAGCAGCTCCTGTGCCTCAAGCACACGAACACTGAGCTGTGGTTCCACCCATCCATGGGAAATTGCCAGCGTGGGCTGCATGGTTTGCTCATGGAGAAGCCTCCAGCATTAGTCAGCAACCCAGCACTCAGCTGGGTGAAGATTTCCTGGCAGTGTGGAGCTGCTGGTGGCACCATGGCTGGTGCTGGGTGTCAGAGCTCAGGCACAGGGAAATCACTCCTGCCCCACCAGCCTGGACTTTCTCCAGCACAGGAGCTCAGAGCAGGGTGCTCCCCATAGAGCTCCATCCCCAGATGATGATGCCTGATGCCCCTTTCCCACCTTTGCTTCCTCCAGAATGGGCTGAACGCCCTGCACCTGGCCTCCAAGGAGGGCCATGTCAAAATGGTGGTGGAGCTGCTGCACAAGGAGATCGTCCTGGAGACCACGACCAAGGTAAGGACAAGGAAGCCTGGCCACGCTGGCCACAGCTCTGCACACTGCCTGTGCTGCCAGACACACCAGCAGCAGCTGAGCAGGGTCATGGTGTTTGCTGTCAGCCCCTGTGAGTGTGTTCAGAGGGGTCTGAGAATGAGGGAAGGGATGAGGATCTGACTCCATGTTTCAGAAGGCTGATTTATTGTTTTGTGATATATATTACATTAAAACTATACTAAAAGAATAGAAAAAAGGATTTCACCACAAGGCTGGCTAAGAATAGAATAGGAAAGAATGATAACAGGTTTGTGGCTCAGACTCTCTGTCCGAGCCAGCTGGGCTGTGATTGGCCATGAATTAGAAACAACCACATGAGCCCAATCCCAGATGCACCTGTTGCATTCCACAGCAGCAGATAACCATTGCTTACATTTTGTTCCTGAGGCCTCTCAGCTTCTCAGGAGGAAAAATCCCAAGGAAAGGATTTCCCATAAAAGATGTCTGTGACAAGCCCCCAGAGTGACTGTGCCAGGGGCAGTGCTGCTGGGCTGGGCCCTAGGACCAGGCTCTGCTCTTAGCACAGGTTTGGCATTTCTTGGTGGATGAGAGGTGCCTCTCCCCTGTGGGGGCCATTGTGGACTTCAGAGAGAAGGAACATGAACCACAGCAAGGGCTGGTCCTGCCTTACCAGCATCTCCTCCAGGCACTGCCCCAGGGCAGCCCCTGCACGTTCCAGCACTGAGATGGCCTCAATACCATTGTCACAAGCCTGGAGAGCTCTGGTGCTCTGTAAATAACATATTGTCCTCTCATGCATCACCACAGCAGGTGTGGTTTTCTCCTGATGGCAATCAGGGCTGACAAAGGAGCAGCCTCCAGCACTGGCTGAAGGGCTGTGAGAACAGGAGGAGGCTCGGTTGCCACCTCCCTGGTGCCCTCACAGGGCTCTGGACACAGAGCAGGACCTGGCATTCTGCCACACCACCCAAAGGCACGGAGTCAGAGGAGCCTGTGTGTGCATCTTCCAGCCTGCTCATCATCCCTGCTGTCTGCTGGGATGCCTTGGCTGCCAGGGTGCACACTGCAGCCTTGCCTGAGCACTGCCAGCTCAGCTCCCCCGTCCTCCCCCCTCTGCTCCTCTCTCAGTGCTCAAGATGCACAGCACCTGACAGTGCATACAGCTCCTGCTGCCAGCAGCTTCATGGCAGAGATGAAATCACTCTCTTCTTCCCTGGCCAGCAAACAGGGAGGGTTTGGTTGGTTTACAGCAGGGATGGGACATGGAGTGGGAGCTGCACGGCCTTCTAAAGGTTTTTAGCATGTCAGGCCCATCTTTCCCTGGCATCCTGGGTTGCTTCAGCCCCTGAGGGCTGTTCTGTGGTGTTTTTCAGAAGGGAAACACAGCCCTGCACATCGCAGCCTTGGCTGGACAGCAGGACGTGGTCCGGGAGCTGGTGAACTATGGGGCCAACGTCAATGCACAGTCCCAGGTAGGGTGAGCTGCTCTGACACAGGCAGGCACAAATCCTGTGTGATGGTGGTGTCCTCGTGGTAGGAACTGTGCCCAGCAGGGCTATTTCAGCAGCCCTTGGCAATTTCCCTCTAGTCTTGCTCAGGACTGCTCTGCCAGGCTCCTGAAAAGAGGCAAATGTGCAAATGGTGTGGAGGGATCTTGAGGCTCATGGGGATTCCAGGATGGTCTCTGTTGAGGGAGTCCCTGGCAACACATGGATACCAGAGTGCTGAATTTACCCTGGGAGGACTCATAGCTGGTGCCCCCTAGCAAAGCTCTGAGATCTCCAGCAGCCCCTGCAGTTAAACACACTGTGCTTCCCTCACTCTCTCTTCCTTGGGCCTGGTAGGGCTGAAAGCTCTTCAGGTTTTGCCTGATGGGAGAATTGTCCCTGAAGCTAGGGACAATACCACCAGTGTTTCCTCTAAGCTGACTCTTACAAAGCACTGTTTGTTTCTGGATATGTGGAGCCTTGGGCTCCATCTCTCTGTGATTATTCCCCTCTTGCCAGGGTTTTTTTGTCTTTTTCACCCACACAATGGATGCTTCTGCCCCTGTTCACTGACCTGGGAGAGTGGGTGTTGATGGGGGTACAGGTCTTCAAAGAACTCGGGTAACACAAGGAAGAGTTGTGCTGATGTGCATGGCCCTGTGTTTGCAGAAAGGCTTCACACCTCTCTACATGGCAGCGCAGGAGAACCACCTGGAGGTTGTGAAGTTCTTGCTGGAAAATGGAGCCAACCAGAATGTAGCCACAGAGGTGAGATGTGACCGTGTTCACAGGGGTTTTTGGGTTGGGGAAGAGACCAAGATCTGACTCCATGTTTCAGAAGGCTTGGTTTATTATTTTATGATATATATTACATTAAAACTATACTAAAAGAATAGAAGAAAAGTTTTCATCAGAAGGCTGGCTAAGAAAGGAATGATAACAAAGGTTTGTGGCTCGGCTCTCTGTCCGAGACAGTCGGACTGTGATTGACCATTAATTAGAAACAACCACATGAGGCCAATCCCAGATGCACCTGTTGCATTCCACAGCAGCAGATAACCATTGGTTACATGTTGTTCCTGAGGCCTCTCAGCTTCTCAGGAGGAAAACTCCTAAGGAAAGGATTTTCCATAAAAGATGTCTGTGACAGTAAGGTCCTCGGGGAGGAGCCCGTGGCCCTGCTTGTGTGGCTGCTGAGGGATGCAGTCCCTGGCTGATGGCTGGGGATCCATGGCTCCTGGACTCTCTCCCTTCCCCTTGGCAGGATGGCTTCACTCCCCTCGCTGTGGCTCTGCAGCAAGGGCATGAGAACGTGGTTGCTCACCTCATCAACTACGGCACGAAGGGCAAGGTGCGCCTGCCCGCCCTGCACATCGCAGCCCGCAACGACGACACCCGCACGGCCGCGGTGCTGCTGCAGAACGACCCCAACGCTGACGTCCTCTCCAAGGTGGGGGCTTTTCCTCTGCTGTCTCTGGCAGAACAGCAGCTCGGTGGGCTGTATTTGTCCATGGTTTCAGCAGGGAGCTTGTGTCTGGCTGGCTGACCCCTCCTTCTTTCCCCAGACTGGATTCACCCCTTTGCACATTGCAGCCCACTATGAGAATCTCAGCGTGGCCCAGCTGCTGCTGAACCGTGGGGCCAGTGTCAACTTCACACCCCAGGTGAGTGCAGAGTGGGGAGACACTGGGGCTTGTGCTGCTCCAGCACCAGAGGAGGATGCTGTGCCTCTTTATCCATGATGATGTCCATGGCCCTGTGTTTGCAGAAAGGCTTCACACCTCTCTACATGGCAGCGCAGGAGAACCACCTGGAGGTTGTGAAGTTCTTGCTGGAAAATGGAGCCAACCAGAATGTAGCCACAGGGCATGGGCATGCTAGCTGCCAGGGCATGCTAGTGGGGCCATGCAGGAGAGGTGGGACTACGCAGACTATGCAAAAAGCAGCACAGATTCATGGGGAGTTGCAATTAATAGCAACCATGGGCCTTTTCTGCTATGGATCCCTGCTGTTAGAAGCAGCCATGCATCCCTAAAGCTCTTGGGGACCTTGTCTCCATGCTGGTGCTGCTGCTGCAGGGCAGAGCTCGTAGAACCTGCAGTCAGGATGATTCTTCCAAACCTAAAGGTGAAGCCCAACCCATGAGCTGGTGTGTGGGAATCCACAAAATCGGAGGGTTTTGGGAAAGCTGCAAAAGGCCTCAGAGACAGCAGAACTGTGATTAGAGCTAAGCAGCAGCCATGAGATTGGGCAGCAGAAAAATTATTTAAACTGTAGGAAAGCAAGGACAAATAGAACATTGGTCTGTGTATTAACACTTGTCTAGAATAACTCTCTAAACTACAGAAAAGTTTATCTAGAGAGATATTAGGAAGTTTGAAGCTTAATAATGGAGCTCTGTGCATTGTGTTTAAAGGCTTACAAGCAGATATTGTATTTGAAATAAGCAAGCATTGTTTAACCAAAGGTACCCTGTGCTTATAGTGGTTGGACAGAACCACTGTCAATATAGAATATATACTATTCAGATATAAATACTGTCAATGTGCTTTTGCTTTGTGGGATTGGTCACAACACTTATAAAGTGAGTTGTAACATTTAGTTCTTGGTCTGCTGCCTGGGATGTGAGCTGGTGGCATCTTCCCATTGTCATAAACATGGAATGAGGCTGATGCTGGAAAATGAAACAGCTCAAGGCACATTCCCAGCAGTCCTGTCCTGTTGGTGATTTGTACACAGCCCCTGGCTGGTGATACTGGTGCTTTCCTCCAAGCTCTGTGCAGCTTCTGTCTGCAGCCCTTAGCTCGCTGCCCTGTTAAACAAGCTGTTCCCCAGTGCTGTCCCTGGGCAGAGATGCAGCTCCCCCTGCCCTCTCTCCTTTGTTTGTTGCCTTCTTGAAAGAGGAGGGAGTGCTCCTTCTGAGAGCCTGTTCATTCCTCCTGACAGAATGGGATCACTCCCCTGCACATCGCTTCCCGCCGGGGCAACATCATCATGGTGCGGCTGCTGCTGGACCGTGGGGCCCAGATAGAGACCAGGACCAAGGTGAGGGCACTTCTGAGCACATTCATCTCCTTCCCTGAGCTCCCCGTGCCCAGAGCTTGCCCTGCAGACACCCTGCTGGCACTGGGAGAGCTCTCTGGTGCACTAAGGGTTTTTTTGCTGGCACATAGAGAGGTGAGGGAAAGCTGCACGGCTACAGAGCTGAGGCCAGGCTCGGTTTTGCCTTATTTTTCAGACAAGTCCACAGTCCCTGTTAGCCCTCTAGCTGAGGGAACCCTGCCCTTCCATGCCATACTGAGCCCTTGAACCCTCCTCTTTTCCCAGGACGAGCTGACCCCTCTCCACTGTGCAGCGCGCAATGGACACGTGAGAATTGCAGAGATCCTCCTGGACCATGGGGCTCCCATCCAAGCCAAAACCAAGGTACCCAGTGACGTGGTGGGGCTATGGTTGGTGCCAGGTCCCAGGGCAGCACAGGGGTAACAAGGTGTGCACAGCTGCTGGATGGCACCCATGATTGGCTTGGGGCTTTTTTTGCCCTGGTGAGGGGTAAGAAGCCTCCTGCCCTACTTGGCCTGAGCTGGAGAATCTTGACTCCATGTTTCAGAAGGCTGATTTATTATTTTATGATATATATTATATTAAAAGAAAATTATTTATTAAAACTATACTAAAGAATAGAAGAAAGGATTTCATCAGGAGGCTAGCTAGGAAAGGAAAGAATGATAATAAAATCTTGTGACTGACCAGAGTCTGAGACAGCTGGACTGTGATTGGTCATTAATTAGAAACAACCACATGAGACCAATCAAAGATGCACCTGTTTCATTCCACAGCAGCAGATAATCATTGTTTTTCTTTTCCTCTGAGGCTTTTCAGCTTCTCAGGAGAAGAAGGTCCTAGCAAAAGGGATTTTTCATAAAATATGTCTGTGACAGTCTGGGGCTGCAAGGTGTGGTATTCACAGGCCCTCTGCACAGAGAGAAGCTGTGAGACAAGCAGAGAAGAAGGAAAACACAATTCTGATCTTGCTTGCTGTGCCAAAGTAGAATGCAATATGGAGATTGGTTACCTAAAGTGAGGATGTTTTGTTCCCTTGGCCTGTCAGGGCTAGGTGTGTGTGTGTGTGTGGGGCTGTCATGGGACAGTCACCAGAGAATCAGAGATGAGTGCAGTGTGAGCAGCTGTGAGCAAGAGTGAGTGCAGGGCAGATTCAGTTTAGATGAAATGTACTTAGTATAGTATAATAAAGTCATTAATTAGCCTTCTGATGATGGAGTCAGATGCATCATTCTCTCCCCCCTTTGTCAGAGTCACCTTTGATTTACAATATCAAGGCAGGGTGGGATAAGGTCCCCTGCCCCAGAGCAGGCTTTGCCCCCGGGTTCCCTCAATAACAGCTGCTCACAAGTAGCTTGCTTGGGTTTCAGGATGGCAAACTTAAAATTCATTTTGCTTGGTTTTTCTTGCTAGACCATGATGCAAAATGTACAAGGGTTGATCTTTGCTGTTTCTAGCTTAGTTTTCATTATTATTTCACCTTTCCCTTATGGCAGATAGTCCTATCTGGATAGCTCAGTCCCTCTTGGAGACAGAGTGCCCGAATACCCAGGCCACTTGTAGCTGTGGCTGCATTAACCAAGCTTGGTGGGTTTCAGCTCTTTAGTGATTATCAGCTCTCTTAGGACTCCAGCTCTTGCTCACTAAGGCACCTGTGGGCTAAGGGGAGAAGCAGACATGAGAGAGGAGAAGAACAAATCATCCTGGTGGTTCCACAGTGATGGTTTTATTGAAGGGTCTGTGAAGGGTTCCAGCGATGGCTCTTCTTCTGCCAAATGGGCTAAACCAGCCCCTTTTTATAGGGTACAGGGGGATCCAAACTTGTCCAATATTAGGGGTTAGGGGAAAGGGAGCTATGGGGTTACAGAGATAAGCTAGGGTCTGAGAGGTGGAAGAGAAGAGCCTATTTTGCTGTCTCATCATGACTCAGCAGTTCCTACTGTTAGGTCTCAGCCCTCCATGGAGCCTTGGTCAATTCTATGGGGTCTGCTACAGTGGGATGCCTGGACCCCTGGTGGCCCAGCAAGGCAGGGGCAGGGAGGGATGCCTGGACCCCTGGTGGCCCAGCTTGAGGCTCTGCTCCATGGTTCTCCGTGGTTCTCCATAGATCTCTATGGTTCTCCATGGATCTCCACGGTTCTCTATGGTTCTCCATGGTTCTCCGTGGTTCTCCATGGTTCTCCGCGGTTCTCTGCGGTTCTCCATGGATCTCCATGGATCTCCATGGATCTCCATGGTTCTCCATGGTTCTCCATGGTTCTCCGCCGTTCTCCATGGTTCTCCATGGTTCTCCATGGTTCTCCATGGTTCTCCATGGTTCTCCGCGGTTCTCCATGGTTGCCCATGGTTCTCCACGGTTCTCCACGGTTCTCCATGGATCTCCACGGTTCTCCATGGTTCTCCACGGTTCTCCATGGTTCTCCATGGATCTCCACGGTTCTCCACGTTTCTCCATGGTTCTCCATGGTTCCCCACGGTTCTCCATGTTTCTCCATGTTTCTCCACGGTTCTCCACGGTTCCCCATGGTTCTCCACGTTTGCAGAATGGCTTGTCGCCCATCCACATGGCAGCCCAGGGTGACCACCTGGACTGCGTGCGCCTGCTGCTGCAGTACAGCGCCGACATCGACGACATCACCCTGGACCACCTCACGCCCCTGCACGTGGCCGCTCACTGCGGGCACCACCGCGTGGCCAAGCTGCTGCTGGAGAAGGGGGCCAAGCCCAACTCCCGAGCCCTGGTGAGGAATGGAGGGTGGGCTCTGACCGTGTTCACAGGGGTCTCACGTTGAGGGAAGAGACGAGGATTTGACCTTATGTTTCAGAAGGCTTGATTTATTATTTTATAATATATATTACATTAAAACTATACTAAAAGAATAGAAGAAAGGGTTTTTTCAGAAGGCTGGCTAAGAATAGAATAATAAGGAATGGTAACAAAGGTTTGTGGCTCGGATTCTTTGTCCGAGCCAGCTGGGCTGTGATTGGCTATTAATTAGAAACAACCACATGAGACCAATCCCAGATGCACCTGTTGCATTCCACAGTAGCAGATAACCAATGTTTACATCTTGTCCTTGAGGCTTCTCAGCTTCTCAGGAGGAAAAATCCTAAGGAAAGGATTTTTCATTAAAGATGTCTGCGACAGTGGGGAGGCTGGGCCAGGGGAGAGGGAGAGTTCACACAAATGACTGTCCGTCTGTCCATCTGTCTGTCTGTCTGTCTGCAGAATGGCTTCACGCCCCTCCATATTGCCTGCAAGAAAAACCACATCCGAGTGATGGAGCTGCTGCTGAAGACGGGTGCCTCCATTGATGCTGTCACAGAGGTAGGTGGGCTGAGCCCATCCTCGGCTCTCCTGACTCTGCATGGGCAGTGTGGGCAGCATGGCAGGATGTGGTGTCCCTGCTGCTACTGCCATGCCCCCAGCACTTTTCTTGGTGCTCTTTGCAGCTCAGATTAGTCTGGCAGTGCCTTCCTGAAGGGCAAGGAGATGCAGGGGAGACAGCAGCTCCCTGTGTTTCCTCCACACTCACCTGCCAGGGTCCTTGGGCAGACTGGGGACTCAGATTTTACCTGTCCTGGGGAGAAGGAGGAGGGGACAGTAAGAGATATTGCCAAGGCCATAAGTCCTATCTTGTTTTTTGGCCCCTTTCTCTTCACAGTCTGGCCTGACCCCCCTGCATGTGGCTGCCTTCATGGGACACCTGCCCATCGTCAAGACTCTGCTGCAGCGTGGAGCCTCTCCTAATGTGTCCAACGTGGTGAGTCCCACCCTGGCTGGGGCTTTGGGAGCTCAGAGTATTGGGGTCCAGCAGGGTATCCAGGTCCTGCACCCTCTGTTCACCTGAGCAGCCCCTGGTGCCCTCTGCTTTGTGCTGAGTCTGCCATGCACTCACACCATGCACAACGAACCAGTAGGGGTTGCAGGCACTGCTCTCCTCTGTTCAGAATGACTGCAGGAAGGCATTTCCCCTCCTTTGGCCTCACCACTTTATCCTGTCTTTGGTGCAGAAAGTAGAGACTCCTCTACACATGGCAGCCAGAGCTGGGCACACCGACGTGGCAAAGTACCTGCTGCAGAACAAAGCCAAAGCCAATGCCAAGGCCAAGGTAGGTGCAGAGGAGCTGCTGATAATCAGCTCTGGGAACAGCTGGTGCTGGGTTTCTTTGCTGTGCCCAGAGTGCTGCCTACCAGGGGCTGTGCAACAGTGGGAGCAGGGCTGGGGTCCTGCTTTGGCATCACAAGAAGGGTCTGGTCTGCCCAGACTGTTGGGAAGGAAGAAAGTTTGGCAAGAAAGTCTCACAGATATGTGTGCTTAGCAGAAAGATTTTTAAATGTAGAGTCTGATGAAAGAATAGAGATGGAAGCAAGTTTTGATATGGAAGAAAAGAATTGCTGAGCCAGTCTCACTGGATAACCGAGGAGGCAAAGTTAGAAGTTAGAAGAAGTTTTTATAGCTTAGAGCAAAAGATAAACCCACCCCAAACAAGAAGATGTTTTTACCAAGCAGGAAGAGAGCACAGGCAAACAAGGCAGCAAATGTGGCAAGGAGAAAAAAGGTGTCAGAATTTTCCACTGCAAGAAAACTGAAAAACAACTTCTAGCTTAAACTGCAATGTACTGACTGTGAGTGATTGGAGAACAGTAACATGGATATGGTAATTATAGTAACTATGAGAGGCTATAGATAAAAGTTAAGGTATAGATTGGTTCTACTGTATGAAGATGCTCAGCAAAGAAAAGTATAAAATGCATTGTAACCAAAACCAAAGGGTTTCCAGGCCTGCCTGCAGCTGGAGCTGACAGCTGTGGGCACAGCTCTGTCACCCACCACCCTGGACTGCTGTAACCTCTTAGATGGAATATACTGCATTTTGTGTACAATAAACTGCATTTTGGTGAGCTGCCTGCAGTCCCACATCTCTCATTTAAGCTCTTACACCAGACAGCTTCTTTGCCACCCTCACAGGATGACCAGACTCCTCTGCACTGTGCTGCACGCATCGGCCACACTGGCATGGTCAAACTCCTTCTGGAGAACAACGCCAACCCCAACCTGGCCACCACAGCAGGGCACACGCCCCTGCACATCACTGCCAGAGAGGGGCACATGGACACAGCCCAGGCCCTGCTGGAGAAGGGAGCCTCACAGACCTGCATGACCAAGGTAGGCTGCTGAGCCCGCTGCTGTGGAAGGCTCAGCTGGGGCAAGGCTGGTGGCACAGTGTCCCTGTGGCAGGAGGGGCAGCCTCCTCCTGTGTTGCAGCAGGTGCCAGCTCTCTCTTCATCTCTGCCACCCTGTGATGGGCTGCCTTTCTCCTCAGAAAGGATTTACCCCTCTCCACGTTGCAGCCAAGTATGGAAAGGTGGATGTGGCAGAGCTGCTGCTGGCACACGACGCTCAGCCCAATGCGGCAGGGAAGGTGAGAGTTGCTTCTGTGGGAGGAGTGGTCTCGTGTGGGGACAGGCTCTGTCTCACCTGTCTGTCCTCTCTCCCCACTACAGAATGGCCTGACTCCACTGCATGTGGCTGTGCACCACAACAACCTGGAGATTGTCAGGCTGCTGCTTCCCAAGGGCAGCTCCCCACACAACTCAGCCTGGGTGAGTCTGGGCTGGGCTTCCCTGGGCATGTGGGGATGTGGGAATGTGGGATTTGGGGTGTGATGGTGTTCACAGGGGTCTCAGGTTGAGGGAAGAGACGAGGATCTGACTCCGTGTTTCACAAGGCTGATTTATTATTTTATGATATATATATTACATTAAAACTGTACTAAAAGAATAGAAGAAAGGATTTCATCAGAAGGCTGGCTAAGGATAGAATAGAATAGAATAGAATAGAATAGAATAGAATAGAATAGAATAGAATAGAATAGAATAGAATAGAATGATAACAAAGGTTTGTGGCTCAGACAGAGAGTCCGAGTCAGCTGGGCTGTGATTGGCCATTAATTAGAAACATCCAACATGAGACCAATCAGGGATGCACCTGTTGCAGATAATCAATGTTTACATTTTGTTCTTGAGGCTTCTCAGCTTCTCAGGAGGAAAACTCCTAAGGAAAGGATTTTCCATAAAAGATGTCTGTGACAGTGGGGATGTGGGGATGTGAGGATGTGGGGATGGGGAGATGTGGGGATGTGGGCATGTGGAATGTGGGGATGTGGGGTGTGCTGTGTGTCCAGCGCCAGCCTGGGGCCAGCCCAGCCCCTCAACCCTGGCACTCAGGGAATGCATGAGGGCCTGATCCCCACCAGGCTCTCTCCATGAGGCACACTGACACCTGCCTGTCCTCAGAGCGGGTGGAGCAGGCAGGCAGGGTGCCAGGCCGTGGTCCTGCTCCAGCAGATAGGGCTGTGTCAGGGATGGTCCTGCTAGCAGCACGCTGGCTGCTGCTGCTGCTACGTGGGGAACGTGTTTCCATGGCAAGTCCTGCAGAGCAGCGCTGCAGTCTGGCAGCTTGGGAAAGCACAGGCAAATGTTTGCATGCAGCTATGAAGCAGTGAGTCACAAAACCCACAGGCTTGTGAGAATCACCCAGCTCTGAGCCTGAGCATGGCGAGCATCTCCCCACAGAGCCCACCAGCAGGCGCCTTGCTTCCCGTGCTGTTTGCAAAAGCTGCGTCCTCAAAACAGCCAAGTGGCTGCTGGTGCCAGCCCTGCCCATCTGGCACTTCCCTCTCCCCTGTGCAGACATGCTGGTGAGAGGAATGGTGGATTTGTCTTTGCAAACAAGCTGTGGGTCTGCTGGGGGATAAAACCAGCTCTGGCAGAGAAAAGAAACAATGGGAAGGATTCCACTGATTGATGAATGGAAAAAGAGATTTGCTTTTACAAATAAACTTTAGGGTTGCTGGTAAATGAAATTAGACATTGAAAGATGAAAGAAACAACGGGGAAGAAAATCCCCTAAATTCCATAAGAATTTAAAAATTAAAAGGGAGGGTTGTGCATTATAGGGGAATCTTTGGTATCAGGTGTATTGGGAGGTCTGAACCTCTCAAGTACCTCAGAAATGGAGAAAGAGAGAAGGGAAATGCAGATGGGAAATTGGGATAAAAAGGGAGGCTGCATCCTCCAAAAACTGGACAGACCCCAGGGGAACGCCCCACGGCCTCTCCCTTTATTGGAACAAAGTAAAAACACTCCTCTGTCTCCTTTTTAGACACAAACCTCTGGTGTTTGTGGGTAATTTCCCTGACAGCGGGCAGGCCCGGGGAGCAGCTGGTGCCAGCCCCTGGTGTGCCTGTGTGTCAGCCCGGGCAGCGGGTGGCTGCCAGCTGCTCTGCTCCTGCAGCCTGGCACCACGGGCAGGGCTCAGGGCCCTGCAGGCTCTGCCTGAACGCTGATGCTCTGTGGTGCTGGGAGGTTGAGCTCCACACCTCAGCCAGGCTCATCCCTGTGCCTGCCCCAGGAGGGTGCACACTGTCCTGGTAGTGTGACCGTGCTCACAGGGGCTCTTGGGTTGGGGAAGAGACGAGGATCTGACTCCATGTTTCAGAGGGCTTGATTTATTATTTTATGATATATATTACATTAAAACTATACTAAAAGAATAGAAGAAAAGGTTTCTTCAGAAAGCTAGCTAAGAATAGAATAGGAAAGAATGAATAGGCTTGTGTCTCAGACAGAGAGTCCGAGACAGTCGGACTGTGATTGGACATTAATTAGAAACAACCACATGAGACCAATCACAGATGCACCTGTTGCATTCCACAGCAGCAGATAACCATTGATTACATTTTGTTCCTGAGGCCTCTCAGCTTCTCAGGAGGAAAACTCCTAAGGAAAGGATTTTCCATAAAAGATGTCTGTGACATTATAGGGCACCAAACAACACAATTGCACACACGGCTGCTCTCAAGGTGAAGAAAATTGAAGTTTATTTTCTGGCTCCGGCATTTATAGTTTTCTAAAAGTGGCAGTGGATTGGAGGGTGACAGTGCCACCTCTCCAATGACACCGGACAAACCAACAGTTTATCAAATCTCTCCTCCTCCATAAAAGAATGCAAAACAATGAGTGATTTACAGAAAGCATGTGAGAAAGTTCATTACAAGAATGTAAACATTAGAAGGCTTAGAAAATCTTAAAAAATCAAGGTGCCATCACAATTTCTGCTGCAGAAATTCATGTGCAGAAAACTCCAGGACAGCCCACCCCAGTCACACCTGAAGCAGGTGGTCTTTGGAACCCCCCTTGAGTTCCAAAGGGGGTTCCCTTGCTGACTTGGCTTGAAGGGTGGGTGGGATTTGGCATCAGTGCCAGGGCTGGTTGCTGTCAGAGAGATGGTGTTAGGGGGGCACCCCTGAGCTCTGGAGGCAGCCAGGAAGGGCAGGCCTGGCCTGCAGAGGGGTAGGGTGGCACCTCCTGTGCCTTCAGCTCTGCTTGGCAGGGCTGAGCGCTGCAATGAGCCTCTCTCTCCCTGCAGAACGGGTACACCCCCCTGCACATCGCTGCCAAGCAGAACCAGATGGAAGTGGCCAGCAGCCTGCTGCAGTATGGGGCCTCTGCAAATGCTGAGTCCATGCAGGGAGTCACTCCCCTGCACCTGGCTGCCCAGGAGGGGCACGCAGACATGGTGGCACTGCTCCTCTCCAAACAAGCCAACGGCAACCTAGGCAACAAGGTAAGCTGTCCCAGAGCATCCTGCCAGGCTGGAGGCAAACCAGCCAGCAGAGAACAGCAGAGAACAGCAGAGAACAGCAGAGAACAGCAGAGAACAGCAGAGAACAGCAGTCTGGAGGGTGGTGCAGCCCCTGTGCCTCCTGCCTTTGGGCAGCAGGGCACTGTGTCAGTCAGTTTGCCAGGCTGCAGACCAAGAGAGTCCCTGCTGTGGTGGCAGTGCCACTGTGCTGAGACCTCCTCTCTTTGCAGAGTGGCCTGACTCCTCTCCACCTCGTGGCCCAAGAGGGGCATGTGCAGGTTGCTGACGTTCTGGTGAAGCATGGAGTCACAGTGGATGCAGTGACCAGGGTAAAGTAGTGCATTGACCATGGCTTTGGTGAAACACATGGGGGAGCTACCTCTAGGCCTGCTCAGGGAAGAGCATTTATTTTCTTTTTATTTCTGCAAGAGACTCCCTTCTAGCAGGCATCCTTGCCACTTTGCCCCCTGTGTCCTGGGGGCTTTTCCTCCTCTTCCCCCCTGTGTCCTGGGGGCTTTTCCTCCTCTTCCCCCCACCTCTCTGGAGGGGTAATTCTTGCCTGCTCCTGTAGCTCACCTCTGTACCCACAGGTACAGCATGGTTTGAAGCCCTGTGCTTTGGTCTTGGGCTTTTGGGGAGCCCCCACATGCATGCCTCATCCTTCATGCACGGGGGCTTGCCTGAGGGATGAGCATATCCAAGGCAGAAGGGTGGAAAGAAGCGGTGAGGGCACAGAGAGACCTGATCTTGTCTTTCAGATGGGCTACACCCCGCTGCACGTGGCCAGCCATTATGGGAACATCAAGCTGGTGAAGTTTTTGCTGCAGCACCAAGCACATGTCAATGCCAAGACTAAGGTACAGAACTCCAAGGACCCTTCTGCCATGGGCAAATGTGGTGGCGTTCACAGGGGTTCCAGAACAAGGGAAGAGATGAGAATCTTGACTCCATGTTTCAGGAGGCTGATTTATTGTTTTATGATATATATTATATTTCAAGAAAATGATATATTATAACTAGAATAAAAGAATAGAAGAAAGGATTTCATCAGAAGGCTTGAAAGGAATAGAAAGGAATGATAACAAAACTTGTGACTCTCAGAGAGTCCGAGCCAGCTGGACTGTGATTGGTCATTAATTAGAAACATCCACATGAGACCAATCAAAGATGCACCTGTTGCATTCCACAGCAGCAGATAACCATTGGTTACATTTTCCTCAGAGGCTTCTCAGCTTCTCAGGAGAAAAATCCTGGCAAAGGGATTTTTCATAAAACATCATGGTGACAGCGCAGGTTGATGGGGAAGTGGAGCTGTCCTCATGCTCCAGGCACGCAGCCCTGTGTGCGAGAGGCCTGGGGGGGGCATTTCTGGGGCAGCACCTTCCAGAACTGACTGCAGCGTGCTCTGTGCTCCCCTGCAGCTGGGCTACACCCCCCTGCACCAGGCAGCGCAGCAGGGCCACACGGACGTGGTGACGCTGCTGCTGAAGCACGGCGCGTCCCCCAACGAGATCAGCACGGTGAGTGCCGTGTCCCCCTGCTCCTCTGCGCTCCGGGGCAGCTCCCTGAGCTGCCCTCTGGCTGCTGCTCACCCTCTTTCCCCCGCGCACAGAATGGCACCACTCCCCTGGCCATCGCCAAGCGCCTCGGCTACATCTCTGTCACAGACGTGCTCAAGATTGTCACAGAGGAAACCGACATCCCGGTGAGCCCCTGGGTGCCAGGGCCAGGATGCTGGGGAGGAGGGCTGGGGCTGGGAAAGGTCTGCAGCTGCGTGCCCAGCCCGAGTGCAAGGAGTCAGCTGAAGGTGGTTGTGCAGCAAAATAGGGGTCTCCTCCAGCCAGGTCTCACAAGCTGTTGGAGGTTATTTCGCACCCAAGATAGCTCATCTACCTCAGAAGGTATAAAATCAGCAGGATGGCTTCTGTGGTACTGTTGGAAAGAAAAAGGTTTTATTAAAAGGCAAAATCACAAAACTCTTTACAGAGAAACATCTCAGTGCCAGGACATCTTTGGCTCCAGTAAGGAAGGCCACAGGGTTGCAGTCTTTCTAAGAGATGTAACTAAAGAATACATGAAATATTGGTCTCCTCCAGCCAGGTCTCACAAGCTCTTGGAGGTTATTTCGCACCCAAGATAGCTCAGCTGCCTCAGAAGGTATAAAATCAGCAGGATGGCTTCTGTGGCAGTGTTGGAAACAAAAAGGTTTTAATGAAAGGCAAAATAACAAAACGCTTAATAGAGAAAAACCGAGCCAAGCGCAAGAGGTTCTTGCTCCTGGTAAAACACCTCACAAAAGTGATTAGTTTCTTTGTTCTCTCCTTTTTCTAGTAAGTTGCTCAGGCAAGACTTTTTGGCTTCTGTGCAATTAGTTATCCTTAAGTTTGAGGTGAGATGTCTTTTCACCTAATTGAGGAGAGGGCTTATTTCCTTTTTAAGGGGACAAAGGATAGTTTTGTCATTCTGTCAACAGGGAGCACATTCCTATACAAGACTTTCTGGCTCCTGTCCAATTGGGTATCCTTAAGTTTGAGGTGAAGTCCCCCAGGTCCCATGAGGTCTTTTCACTAATTGAGTAGAGAAACTTCTGGGCTTATTTCCTTTTTAAGGGGACAAAGGATAGTTTTGTCACATTCCTATAGGCTTCCTCTGACTCTGCTCTGCTCTGCTCCCACAGTCTGTTGGTGACAAGCACCGCATGAGCTTCCCAGAGACTGTAGACGAGATTCTGGACGTGTCAGAGGATGAAGGTGAGGGGTGGGAGTTGGGTCCCACCATCCCAGAGATCTGCCACACGGCTGGGTCAGTGTCAAGGGGATGGCACTGGTGTTCCTGCTGGAACAGGGACACCCCCAGGCCAGGGAGCTGCGTGGGCCCTGCTGAGGCCTTGCAGAGAGGATGAGGGAAGCCCACCAGGCTCCTGAGGTGGCACCTCCTGCCTTGGGTGCTTCCCTGCACTATGCAGGAGGGATATATCTGGACATCTCCGTGATCCCATGCCCCAGGGGCTGTGCAGAGAGCCCTTGGGCATGCAGAGCCCCCACTGTGCCTTGCTCAGGCAAGGAGGGTCCCAGCTCCCAGCCCAGCTGTAGCTGGTTTGCTCCTGCACCCTCCCACCAATACCTCACTTTTGCCTCTTCTTACTTTGCAGGCACTGCTCATGTCACAGTAATGGGTATGAAATGTGTCCCCTGCCCCAGCTCAATGGCCCATTTCACCCCATGGCCACTGACCATCCGCACGCCATGTCCATTGCTGAGCCTTGCTGCTGCTCCGGGGCTCTGCAGAGCCAGCCCTGCCATCCTGCCCTGCCAACCCGTGTCCGTGCTGCTTGCTGTGGTGTGACTGCATGAATGGGCATCCTCCCACTCAGGAGGGCCCTGACCCCCTGTCAGACCCAGGCCCTGTCCGTGGCAGGTGGAGGAACCTGGTCCTGTGACAATCCCTGGTGCCCCTCCACAACTGCCCCATGCCTTCCTGGCCAGAACAGGGATTATGAACCTGAGAGCTCAAGGGTCCCTGTGCTGCTGTGGCCCCCTCCCCATCTCTGGGGCACTCTGTCTGCTGCAGGAAATGCAGGACACCCTTCCCACAGGCCAGAGCCAAACCCTGATCAGCTAATTAGCAGGTATTAATGGAGCCAGTGGTCAGCATTGCCAGAGCTCTGTGCCTCCAGTGGTGTTAGGGCAGCCTCCTGATACTCCTAACATCCCCCAGTGGTGCCTATGCCCCTGTCCCAGGTGTCAAAGTGTCAGGCACCCCCTGCAGTCTCTGCAGTGAGTTTGGTGCTGTGAGAAGAGCAGGGATTAACCTGAGAGCTCAAGGGTCTCTGTGCTGCTGTGGCCCCCTCCCCATCTCTGGGGCACTCAGTCTGCTGCAGGAAGTGCAGGACACCCTTCCCACAGGCCAGAGCCAAACCCTGATCAGCTAATTAGCAGGCATTAATGAGGCCAGTGGTCAGCATTGGCAGAGCTCTGTGCCTCCAGTGAGGGGTAGTGTTAGGGCAGCCTCCTGCACCCCCAGTGGTGCCTGTATCCCTGTCCCAGGCATCCCCTGCAGTCTCTGCACTGTGTTTGGTGCTGTGAGAAGGAGGTTTCCCAGTGAGCAGCCAGATTCCCCAGTGGCTCCCACAGCCCCTGTCCCCCTGTTCTGCCCTGCCAGCAGAGCCATCCTGGCAGGCAGCAAAGCCCTCCCTGTGTCTGGCTGAGACCCAGGGGCCAAGAGTGTGTGCGTGTGTGTGTCCAGCAGTGGGAGCAGGGATGGGCCCTGGCAAGGGCTGGGTGTCTGTGCTCCCTTGTCCCTCTGCCTCTGCTTGCTGAGCCAACTCTTGGTTTCAGAGGAAGAGCTGGTTGCAAAGCCCAAGACTCCTGATCTCAGAGAGCAGGAAGGCAAAAGAGAGCTGCTGGAGTTCATGACCACAACGACACTGGAGCAAACGTAAGAGACACTGCCTGGTGGGGAGGGAGCTGGTACAGGGCACAGGACCAGCCTTGTGCTGGGCAAGGGGCACATAAAACTCCAGGCAAGGAACAGATCACTGAGCCCTCACGGGCTGGCACAGCAGGCAAAGCTGCTCAGTGCTGCTCCTGCTGCAGGACATGGGGCTGCTGCTTCATTTCCTTTTATCCAGTGGCCCCAGGACTCTGTGGGGATGGATGGGCAGGGGTTGAGGGACCCTAACACTCCCATGGCTGTCACTAACCCTCTCCTGGCAGGGTGGAGTCTCCAGCTGTCCTGCAGGTCCCCTGCGTCCCACCTGAAACTGTGGTGACCAGAGCTGAGGAGACTGAGCAGGTAGGACCTGTGGAGACAGAAGCTGAGCAAGTCAGCCTGCTGCATGCACCCTCGGTGTCCCCACAGGAGGTGAGCATGAGAAACAGCCTGCCATGGCCTCCCCCAGGCTCCCCCAGCACCACAGAGCTCAAGTGTGTGGTGGGTAATGGGCATTGACCCGCTGGTACAGGACGGTCCAGTGTAAGGGTGGGCTCAGCACCCCAAGACAGGACCCTTTGCCCACAAGGTCTCTTCCCTGCCTTTCACAGCCCTCCAAAGAGTTCGATGAGGACTCTCTGATCCCCAGCAGCCCAGCCACGGAGACCTCAGATAACATCAGCCCAGTGGCCAGCCCCGTGCACACAGGGTGAGTGCCCAGCCTGTGCAGCACCTGCATGTGATGGTGTTCACAGGGGTTCTTGGACTGGGGAAGGGACGAGGATCTGACTCCATGTTTCAGAAGGCTTGATTTATTATTTTATGATATATATTGCATTAAAACTATACTAAAATAATAGAAGAAAGGATTTCATCAGAAGGCTGGCTAAGAATAGAATAGGAAGGAATGATAACAAAGGTTTGTGGCTTGGCTCTTTGTCTGAGCCAGCTGGGCTGTGATTGGCCATTAATTACAAACATCCAACATGGGCCAATCCCAGATGCACCTGTTGCATTCCACAGCAGCAGATAATCAATGTTTACATTTTGTTCTTGAAGCCTCTCAGCTTCTCAGGAGGAAAACTCCTAAAGAAAGGATTTTTTTCATAAAAGATGTCTGCGCCACACGCATGCTCTGGCTGCAAGATGCCCACACTCCCGTGATTCTGTCCCCTCCAGGTTCCTGGTGAGCTTCATGGTGGATGCTCGTGGTGGCTCCATGCGGGGCAGCCGGCACCACGGGCTGCGCGTGGTCATCCCGCCCCGCGCCTGCGCTGCGCCCACCCGCATCACCTGCCGCCTGGTGAAGCCCCAGAAGCTGCCTGCACCCCCTCCCCTGGCTGAGGAGGAGGGTCTGGGCAGTCGGATCATTGCTCTGGGGCCTGCTGGTGCCCAGTTCCTCAGGTGAGCACAGCTGGGAAGAGAAGGGCAGTCTGGGCTGCCCACACCAGGACTGGGAACAGATCTGGGTTCTTCTGGAGGGCTTTACCATACAGGGCAAGATTTCTGCCTCTATCTGCTTCTTGAGGTTGCATGGGGAGAGATCCCAGCTCTTGTGGGGTGCAGCATGTTTCTGGCATGGGTCATTCAAGAGTTACTGAATGGTGTCACAAAAGCCCTGAGCAGCCCTGTCCACCCAGGTGCAGAGCTCTCTTTTATAGAGAGAGGGAGGTCAGCAATCCTTCTTCCCCAGGGCCACATTGCTGCCTGCGTGTCCCTGTGGCAGCTTGCGGGTGCCAGTGGCCTCCCTGTGCTCTCTGCAGCCCTGTCATCGTGGAGATCCCACACTTTGCCTCCTATGGGCGTGGAGACCGTGAGCTGGTGGTGCTGCGCAGCGAGAACGGCTCCGTGTGGAAGGAGCACCGCAACCGCTACGAGGAGAGCTACATGGACCAGCTGCTCAACGGCATGGACGAGGGTGAGGGGGCCAGCAGGGCAGGGGCTGCTCACCTAGCAGCTCCCTGCAGGCTACAGGTGGCCTGGGAGGTGGAGTGGGGCTGGGTGGTGGGGTCAGTGTAGCGTGGTGGGGTATTGAGTGACATCCACGGGCTTGGTCTATGAGCACCAAGTGACATCCACGGGCTTGGTGTGCCAGCACTGACAGCCACAGGCTTGGTGTATGAGCACTGAGTGACACCCACAGGCTTGGTGCATGAGCAGTGACAGCCACAGGCTTGGTGTATGAGCAGTGACAGCCACAGGCTCAGTGTATGAGCACTGAGTGACATCCACAGCCTTGGTGCATGAGCAGTGACAGCCACAGGCTTGGTGTATGAGCAGTGACAGCCACAGGCTCAGTGTATGGGCACTGACAGCCACAGCCTTGGTGTATGAGCACTGAGTGACAGCCACAGGCTCGGTATATGAGCAGTGGTAGCCACAGGCTCAGTGTATGAGCACTGTTTGATGGCTGTGCTGCCCCTGCAGAGCTGGAGAGCCAGGAGGAGCTGGACAAGAAGCGGGTCTGCCGCATCATCACCACCGACTTCCCTCTCTACTTTGTGGTCATGTCCCGGATCTGCCAGGACTGTGACATGATCGGCCCTGAGGGAGGGTGTTTGAAAAGCACACTGGTGCCCATGGTACAGGCCACCTTCCCAGACGCTGCTGTCACCAAGAGAGTGAGGCTGGCCCTGCAGGTGAGCCTCAGAGAGCCTGGCCTGGGGCTCAGACGCGCTTCTGCTTCCCAGCCTGGGGAAAAACCATCCCTGATGCCCATCCTTGTGCTCCCCACAGGCACAGCCCGTGCCCGATGAGTTGGTGACCAAGCTGCTGGGGAACCAAGCGACCTTCAGCCCCATTGTCACCGTGGAGCCACGACGGAGGAAGTTCCACCGCCCCATTGGCCTCCGGATCCCGCTGCCACCGTCCTGGAAGGACAATCCCCGAGACAGCGGTGAGGGTGACACCACCAGCCTTCGTCTGCTCTGCAGTGTGATTGGTGAGGCTGCAAGAGTGCTCTCCATGGGGAAGGGCTGGGCTGCCTCGGGGGGTGCAGCTCCAGGGAGCTCATTTCCCCTGTGGAGAAAGCAAATGCCCAGGGGATGCAGACCCCAGGCTTATGGAAAGACAGCATGTTCACCCTTTGCTTTCTGCTGCAGGAGGGACAGCCCAAGCCCAGTGGGAAGACATAACTGGCACCACAAAGCTAGTCTACGAAAATGAGTGTGCTAATTTTACCACCAATGTGTCTGCCAGGTGAGTCCTGGGCAAAAGAGTGCCCACCTGAGGATATCTGGTGCTCCTTGGGCCTTGCTACAGCCTTTGCCAGGAGAAGCCCCTTACCCCTGGTGCTGTGCTGCCCTATTCCTACATGCAGGGTGGTTTCCTCTAACTTTGAGACCCCCATGCTGCCTGAGCAAACTTCAGGAAACAGACAGCTGGGAGTGCAGGAGGAAGGGGATCATTATTTGTACTTGGCTGGGTCCCCATCCAAGATGGGGCTACACCTGCGTCCAGAAATCTTGGGGCTTCCTTTGCAGTCCAGTTGGCTGTTGAGTGTGGTGTTTTCGGGGTCCCCTGGATGGAGGAGGAATGATGAATCTGACTCCATGTTCTTAGAAGGCTAATTTATTATGATATAATATGATATGATATGATATATGATATAATGCTATACTAAAACTATACTAAAGAATAGAGAAAGGATACAGACAGAAGGCTGCAAAGATTGATAATGAAATCTCGTGACTCCTTCCAGAGTTCCGACACAGTTTGGCCATGATTGGTCATTAAGTCAAAACAATTCACATGTTGGATAAACAATGCCCAAACCACATTCCAAAGCTGCATAACACAGGAGAAGCAAATTAGATCATTATTGTTTTCCTTTTCTCTGAGGTTTCTCAGGAGAAAAAATCCTGGGCAAAGAGGATTTTTCAGAAAATATGATGGTGACAGTTGAGGGGTGTTGGGGGGCAGCCGCCACTGCCCAGCAGCCCCCTGACCCAAATCTCCTGCAGGTTCTGGCTGGCCGACTGCCCACGCACAGCTGAGGCCGTGCACTTTGCCACCATGCTGTACAAGGAGCTGACAGCCGTGCCCTACATGGCCAAATTCGTGGTGTTTGCCAAGATGAACGACGCGCGGGAAGGCCGGCTGCGCTGCTACTGCATGACTGATGACAAGGTTGACAAGACTTTGGAGCAGCATGAGAACTTCACTGAGGTGGCCCGCAGCAGGGACATTGAGGTTTGTCCCCAGCAGCATGTGCAGAGGGGAGAGGGATAACAAAGTGAGGGGAGAGGGATAACAAAGTGAGGGGAGAGGGATAACAAAGTGAGGGGAGACTTGTGACGGTGTTCACAGGGGGGTCCCAGGATGAGGGAAGAGACGGGAATGTTGACTCCGTGTTTCAGAAGGCTTGATTTATTATTTTATGATATATATTGTATTAAAACTATACTAAAAGAATAGAAGAAAAGGTTTCATCAGAAGGCTGGCTAGGAATAGAAAAGGAATGAGTGATAACAAAGGCTTGTGGCTCAGACAGAGAGTCCGAGCCAGCTGGACTGTGATTGGCCATTAATTAGAAACAACCACATGAGACCAATCCCAGATGCACCTGTTGCATTCCACAGCAGCAGATAACCATTGGTTACATTTTGTTCCTGAGGCCTTTCAGCTTCTCAGGAGAATAAATCCTAAGGAAAGGATTTTTCATAAAAGATGTCTGTGACAGAGACTGATACCAGTGGAAGGGGCTGGCCCTTGGAGAGTCAGGGTTGCCTGCCCTGTCCAGCAGCAGGACAAGCAGCTCTGCACAGGGTCTGAGCATATTTTCTGCTCCTGGCCAGGTGGTAGAGGGAATGCCTTTGCACGTGGAACTCTCAGGGAACCTGGTGCCTGTCAAGAAAGCTGCTCAGCCCCGCACCTTCCTCTTCCAGTCCTTCCGGGAGAATCGTCTTGTCATTCCCATCAAGGTAACGCCAGGGTACAAGGCTGAGCAAGCAGTTAGGGCCCTTGGCTGGTGCCAAGGAATCTAACTGGGCTCTGGCTCTCAGGTCAGGGACAGCAGCAGGGAAGCCAGTGGCTCCCTGTCCTTCTTGCGCAAGGCCATGAAATACGAGGACCTCCAGCACGTGCTCTGCCACCTGAACATCAGCATCCCACCCTGCAGCAAGGTCAGTGCAGGGCCTTTGGCACTCTGGTAGGGCCCATCCCTCCCCCAAGTGCAGGGGACAGCCCTTGCTGTCCTCACCTGCTCCACGTGGCCATGCCATGCCACTCAGGAGGTGAAGGAGAAGCAGCGGTGTCAGGGCAGAGCTGCTGCCCTCTCTTCAAGCTGTTGACCCCTTGGTTTGTCACCACTCTCACAGGGAAGTGGCAGTGATGAGCGGAGGAGGACACTGACCCCATTGTCTCTGCGGGAGCGATACAGCATCCTAAGTGAGACCAGTTTTGGTATGCAGCCTGCTGGGAGCATCCCAGCCCACTCACCACCTGCACCTGGGGTGCCCAAACCAGTGCAGAGCTGGGATGGTCCTGTCATAGTCGCACTCACAGCAACTTCCCTTTCCCTGGAGGTTCCCTTGGTGCTGCCTGCAGGGTCTGTGTGACGCCAGGGCCAGCACCCCCTTCCCCTCACTGCTCTGGGGCAGGGCCCTGTGCAGCTGAGCTGTGACTCCTTCTCCTCCTGCAGGCTCCCTGAGCAGCACAGACAAGGCAGACCAGAAGATGGTTGACATAGCAGAGCAGCTGGGCCTCAGCTGGGCAGGTGAGTGCACACCTGAGGGTTCTGAGGATGCACAGCACTCCTGGCAAAGCTGGCACTTAGGGAGGCTGGAAGTGGCTGCTTTGCTGCTGCGAGCATTCCAGGGCACTAAAGTGAACCTTCCCATGGCTGTGCACATATTCACGTGCATGGCCACCAGGCTAGGGCTTTGTTAGGAGTTGTACACCTTGCTGCTGTTCATTGCAGCAGAGCCCACACTTGAGACCTTCCTGTGCTAGGCACAGCCAGCCTGAGCTGGGGGGCTTCAACCCCTGCCCCATCCCAGCTCCTGCATGTCCTGCTGTGTTCAGCTGTATGGAACAGAGGGTCCCTGCACTGGTCCTTCACTGGCTGAGCCCTTCACAGCACGGCCAGCCTGGTGGTGGGCACTGAAGGTGTGATACTGACCCGGTGCTTTCCCCAGAGCTGGCGCGTGAGCTGCAGTTTGGCGTGGATGACATCAACAGGATACGTGTGGAGAACCCCAACTCCCTCCTGGAGCAGAGCATCGCCTTACTCAACCTCTGGGCCAGCCGTGAGGGCAAGAATGTCAAGAGTGAGTAGCTGTGGTTCCCCTTCACAGGCACAGAGGTGCCTGTGCATCTTCAAGCACCACTGGCTGCCTTTGCAGTGGTGGCCCATGCATATCTGCCTTCCCACACCTGGAGGGTGCCTGGGGCATGGCTGTGCCTCCCTGTGAAAAACGCCAATCACTTGGGTTTGGAATTTTAAAAGTTTAATAGTAATAAAGTGGTTATAAAAATAGTAACACAATTAGAGTAGTAATAATTTGGGCAATTTGAATTAGGACAATATGAGACAATAAATACAAAGAGTTACGGATGTCCGGGTACCTTTTTCTGGGCAGCACGAGCCCGAAAAAGGACCCACGTTAACAGAGGATTAACCCTTAAAAGCAACAGCCTGTTGCATATTCATACACCTCATACATGATGCATAAATTCCATTCAAACACAGGATTCTGTCTGGTCAGTGTCAGCTTCTTCCTTCTAATCCTAACAACACCTTCGAGGTGGGAAGAAGTTCATTTGTTCTGATAAGAGGGCAATAAATTCTCTTTCTCTGAAAGATTCAGGTGTCCTGTGGCTGCTATCTCACTGAGAGTACTTTCTTTAAAAAAGGTATCCTACATAGCATTGTTTCTATTTTAACAATTTTTACAACCTAAAACTATATTTAACACACTACTTAAGAGAATTAATACATCCTTACTTTCTAACACAACACATATAATATTCATTTGAATATTTGCCAGAAGCCAATCATAAAATACGTGCATTTTTCACACCCCCCAAGTGCCTGGTTTGCTGACACCACCTTCCCCCTGCAGTTGAGAACCTGTACACGGCGCTGAGGAACATCGACCGCAGCGAGATCGTCAACATGCTGGAGGGCTCGGGCCGGCAGAGCCGCAGCCTCAAGGGGAGCTGGCGCTTCTCAGACAGAGACTACTCCCTCTCACCGTCCCAGATGAATGGTGAGCCCCACCGTCCGGCAGGGAACGCAGCAGGGCCCTGGGGGCACATTCTGTGCGGACATTGGGGCTGGGGTCTTGCCTGAGCAGGTTGCACCCACTGAGAAGGGAGTGGGCACTTGTTGCTGGCAGATGTGGCCTCTTCACTGGGGCTTGTGCTGCAGGAAGCTTGGCTCTGCCATAGTGCTTTCTCAGAGACGCCCCAGGTGGGGCTGACATGTGTTCCTCATCCCAGTGTGAGAGGTGAGAGGCGTCTCTGGCTCTGCCAGTGGAGCTCACTGAGTCCCAGCTGTGCAGCCGGTGGTGGGTGCCAGGCAGAGGGGACCTGGATGCGGGGACACAGCCAGAGTCAGCTGTGGCACACGCTGCTGGGGAGCCAGCACAGCAGGCAGGGGCAGGGCTTTGTGCTGCTGCAGCCCTGCACTGTGGCTGTGGCCCTGCAGCGCTGGCTCATCGCTCTCTCCCTCTCTGTCTCTCCCCTTGTTCTGTTTTCTCAAACATGCCACCTAGTGCTGCCAGGTGCGGGCACTCCTGTGGGTCACTTCTTTTCATCTTTCTCCTCTGAGCTCATCCTGGCCTCTCCTTCTCTCATCTCCCACTGCCTGTCTCCACTGTCTCCACCTCAGCTAAGCCCTCTGGGAGCCGCATCCTGCTCCAGCGACTGCATGTCACCAGGGACTGCCCCTCTGAGAGCTGGCATGCTTGCAGGCAGCCATCCCAAGCCTTCTTGTGCACAATCCCAAGCTCCTTCCCTTGCTGGCACTGCACTGCATGCCCCTGGCCAGGCATCCTGATGCCCATGGGTGAGGTGCCCTTCCTGTGCCAAGCTGTACCCTGTGCCTTGGCTGTGGCTGGCATTCCCTGGCTGCCAGGGCAGCAGAACGGGTTCACTGCTGAAATCCAGGGGTGAAAGAATGGCTCAAAGCTGGAAAAGGCTGAGCAGAGCCACCTGCATGGGTGGGAGTGCCTGGCTTGGTTGTGGCTCATATGGACGTGCCTGAGCTGTGCACATGGCCCTGGGCATGAGACATGACAATGGTTTGTAGCCCTGGAGACACCAGCGGGGTTGTGAGGCCCTGGCTGCCTTCTGCAGGGCCTTGGGGTTGCATGGCATGCTCTGGGGCCATCCTTCTGTGCTCATGGTACTTCCAACCCGCTCCTCTGTGCTGTGGAGAGTGTTTGGCTTTGAGAGTTGGTGCCTGCCAGACTTGGCTACTTGAACTCCAGGCTAATGGCCAGCTGATGCTGGATGGGGGCTGTGGGCAGGGGCCAGGGGGGCTGATGGAGCAGGGTAGCAAAGAGGGCACTGTGTCCTGCAGTGTGGATGGAGAATCGTGTGAACACCAGGCCAGTCCTCCTCACAGGGCGGAGGCAGCCCCAGGACCTGCCCAAAGCAGCCCCAGGATCTGAAGGGAGGCATGGCAGCATTCGCAGGGACCTTGTGAAATCCGCTGTGAGCACAGCCCTGCTCAGCCTGGCCACAGGGGCTGGGGCATGCCCGTTGCTGTCCTTGGGGCTGCCATTCCTCCCAGAAGCTGTTTCCCTTTTGCCCCACCGTGCTTGTGCGTGCGTGAGGGTGGCTGCTGGACATGATGCCTCTGTCTGCCCATTTAGGTTACGCTTCACTGCAGGACGAGCTGCTGTCCCCTGCCTCCCTGCATTACACACTGCCATCCCCGCTGCGTGCCGACCAGTACTGGAATGAGGTGGCCATCATGGATGCTATCCCCATGGCTGCCACTGAGCAGGATGCCCTGATGGAGATGTCCGACATGCAGGTGTGGTCCTCGGGGCTCACCCCCTCGCTGGTGACTGCTGAGGACTCCTCTCTGGAGTGCAGCAAGGCTGAGGACTCGGATGCCACGAGCGAAGGCCGCTTCCCAGGGCAGCTCCTAGCAGATGCTCATGGCCCAGACCACATGGGCTCTATGGACCTGGTTGAGGATGACACAGTGGACTCAGATGCCATGAATGGGCTGATTGACCTTCTAGAGCAGGAGGAGGGGCAGAGGCCAGAGGGGAAGATGCCATCTGGTGATCATCAACCAGGGACTGGGGAGCAGGACCCGGAGAGTGAAGTCTCTTTTGTTTCAGTTCAGGAGAAGGTGCAAACCAGGATCTTGACATCACCTACCTTTAGCCATGATGTGGAGAAGAGTGCAGACAGGTACTGCAGCCTGGGTGAGCGTGGCAGGGGAGCACAAGTGCTTTGCCAGCTACTGCCCTGTGCTGGGCCAGCTGCAATGATCTCCCTGCTTTGCTTGCTTCCCTGCTGCTCTCCAGCTCTGCAGCCCAGGCATCTGCAGTACACAGAACCATGGCTGGGCCTCACTCCTCTCTGGCAATGCTCTGGAGGGCTCCTGGAAGAGACCCCCAGTCAGCCAGGCCCTGCATGGAGGTTGTACTTAGGAGAGCCAACCCTAACCTGGGCTGCCTCCTCCCACATGGTCACTACAGGACACAACACGAGCACACACACTGCTGCTCTCAGGGTGAAGAAAAAGGGGAGTTTGCTTTCTGACTCCAACATTTATAACTTTCCAAGAGTGACAGTGGATTGGAGGGTGACAGTGCCGCCTCTCCAATGACACTGGGCAAACCAGCAGTCCATCAAATTTCTCCTCCTCCATAAAAGAATGCAAAACAATGAGTGATTTACAGAAAGTGTGTGAGAAAGTTCATTACAAGAATGTAAACATCAGAAGGCTTAGAAAATCTTAAAAACTCAGGGTGACATCACATTTCCAGTGGTACTGGACTCATGAAATCCTTGGCAGCACCCAGAAATGCTCCACAACATTAGACCACATTAGAATTAGAGCTAGACCACACTAGACCACGAGAGCACAGCATGCTCTTGCCTCGGACCCTGGCCGAGCTGTGAGGCTGCGGGAGGGGCAGGGAGCATGGCATGGAGGTGGCCTGTGCCTTTCTGCATCTGTGCATCTTGTGCTGCTTCTGCTGGGCTCCCAGCAGCGCCAGTGGGGTGCAGGTGTGGTGCAGGTGTGGTGCAGGTGTGCCTGTGGGGTACAGGTGGTGTCTGTGGGGTGCAGGTGTGTGCCTGTGGAGTGCAGGTGTGGTGCAGGTGTGCCCATGGGGTGCAGGTGTGGTGCAGGTGTGCCTGTGGGGTGCAGGTGTGTGCCTGTGGGGTGCAGGTGTGGTGCAGGTGTGCCCATGGGGTGCAGGTGTGCCTGTGGGGTGCAGGTGGTGTCTGTGGGGTGCAGGTGTGGTGCAGGTGTGCTTATGGGGTGCAGGTGTGTGCCTGTGGGCTGCAGGTGTGTGCCTGTGGAGTGCAGGTGGGTGCAGGTGTGGTGCAGGTGGTGCCTGTGGGGTGCAGGTGTGATGCAGGTGTGCCCATGGGGTGCAGGTGTGCCCATGGGGTGCAGGTGTGGTGCAGGTGTGGTGCAGATGTGTGCCTGTGTGGTGCAGGTGTGCCCATGGGGTGCAGGTGTGCTGCAGGTGTGCCCATGGGATGCAGGTGTGCCCATGGGATGCAGGTGTGGTGCAGGTGTGGTGCAGGTGTGGTGCAGGTGTGCCCATGTGGTGCAGCTGTGGTGCAGGTGTTCCCATGGGATGCAGGTGTGCCTGTGGGGTGCAGGTGTGGTGCAGGTGTGATGCAGGTGTGGTGCAGGTGTGCCCATGGGATGCAGGTGTGCCTGTGGGGTGCAGGTGTGCCCATGGGGTGCCCAGCAGTGCCTGTGGGGTGCAGGTGTGATGCAGGTGTGGTTCAGGTGTGGTTCAGGTGTGGTGCAGGTGTGGTTCAGGTGTGGTGCAGGTGTGGTGCAGGTGTGGTGCAGGTGTGCCCAGGGGGTGCAGGTGTGGTGCAGGTGTGGTGCAGGTGTGGTGCAGGTGTGGTGCAGTTGTGCCCATGGGGTGCAGGTGTGCCTATGTGATGCAGGTGTGATGCAGGTGTGGTGCAGGTGTGGTGCAGGTGTGATGCAGGTGTGGTTCAGGTGTGGTTCAGGTGTGGTGCAGGTGTGGTTCAGGTGTGGTTCAGGTGTGGTGCAGGTGTGGTTCAGGTGTGGTTCAGGTGTGGTTCAGGTGTGGTTCAGGTGTGGTTCAGGTGTGCCTGCCGGAGCTCGGCTGCTGCTCAGGGTGCAGCACTCCGTGCAAAGCTGACTGCCCCTCTCTCTCTCTGTCTCTCTCTCCCTATCCCTGTCCCTCTCTGGTGCCCAGGCTGAGGGACTGGAATGCAGAAGGCTCCTTTATCTCCTGCCTACAGGACCTGACAGCGGGCTCCTGGCAGGAGGGAGTCACCCGAAGGCTGCTCCCAACGCACACCACAGCCTCTGGGGCACAGGGCCAGCAGCAAGAGCAGGTCCTGGTGGCAGCCACGGAGCTGATGAGGGTCAGCTCTGCAGAGGACAGCGACTGGCAGCCCCAGCACCCCACAGGCGGCTGGCAGGAGGAGCCCCACAGCCGCTTCTTTGGGCAGGTGAGAGCAGGAGCAGGGGAGTCAGCCCTGCAGGAAGGTGTGACCCTATGGACAGCCTTTCCTGGAGCCTGCTGCAGGGCCTGTCAGGCAGACCAGGTGACAGCAGACCTCCTCAACTCCCCTGGCATACTTCCTGCCCTTTGGGGTGCCTCTCAGCCCAGAATAGCCCGCTGTGCTTGATACCTGAGCTCTTGCTCTCCATTTATAACCCAGTCACCCTCCCAGAGTCGTTCCTATTGAGTATCTGCCCTGGCTGGCAGCCCAACAGCCTGCTGGAGCCAGAAATAGAGTTGGCCTAGGGGCCAGGCTGGGTGGGGGGCTTGATGCCAGGGTCACACAGAGCCAGCAGGTACAAGGTGAGGGTGAGCACCTTTCCCCAGCCAAGGCACGCGCGGCCACGCTCGGAGGTGACTGCTCAGCCCTGCGTTACCTGAGTCAGGTGTGACTCCAATGACACCCCAAGGCTCTGGGCTTCAATTATCCTGTGAGCCAGAACTGCCCACCATAGTCAGGGGGACAGGCTGTTGGGAAGGGTGACAGAGGGACAGATCACTGCTCACTGCCTGGCCATGGCACAGGCTGTTGGATAAGGTGACAGAGAAGAGGGACAGATCTGTTTTACTCTCTGCTGTAGTCAGGGGGACAGGCTGTTGGGCAGGGTGACAGAGGGACGGACCTGCCCTGCTCTCTGCCTGGCCATGGGCAGGGTGACAGAGAAGAGGGACAGATCTGTCCTGCTCCCCCTGGCCATGGCACAGGCTGTTGGAAAAGCTGACAGAGGGACAGATCTGTCCTGCTCACTGCCTAGACATGGCACAGGCTGTTGGGAAGGGTGACAGAGGGACAGATCTGTCCTGCTCCCCTTGGCCAGGGCACAGGCTGTTGGATAAGGTGACAGAGAAGAGGGACAGATCTGTCCTGCTCTCTGCCTGGCCATGGGACAGGCTGTTGGAAAAGCTGACAGAGGGACAGCCCTGCCCTGCGCTGCCTGGCCGGGTGACAGAGAACAGGGACAGCCCTGTCCTGCGCTGCCTGGCCGGGTGACAGAGAACAGGGACAGATCTGCCCTGCGCTGCCTGGCCGGGTGACAGAGAACAGGGACAGCCCTGCCCTGCGCTGCCTGGCCGGGTGACAGAGAACAGGGACAGATCTGTCCTGTGGCTGCCTGGCCGGGGCAGTCCCGGCCACATGACCGCACAGGACGCTCCACCTGCCCGCTCCCTTCTCGCCGCCCACCGCCGGCGGGGCTGCGGCTCCGGCAGCTCCCGGGAGCCGCGGGCAGGCGGCGGCGCGGCATGGCCGGGCTCTGACAGCGCGGCCGGGCACGATGTGGGCTTTCCTAGCCCAGCTGCTGATCGCTCTGGTGCTGCTGGCCTTCTTGCTGGTCAGCTGCCAGAACGTGATGCACATCGTCAGGGGCTCTGTGCGCTTCCTGCTCAAACACGCCCATCGGGAGCTGGACAAGGAGCTCGGGGAGAGCCAGGGGCTGGCGGATGATGAGGAGGCTCTCTCCGCCAGGGTCGTCCGCCGGCGAGTCCTGCTGAAGGTAACGAGAGCGGAGAGAGCAGCCCCGGGCAGATGCAGAGGAAAGCAGGGACGGGGCAGGGCAGGGAGGGATGCGGGTTCGTGTCAGGTGTGTTGTTCTGCCAGGTGAACCACTCCCCTCACCGCCCTCACATGCCCTGATCTCCCCCCGTCCTGTTCCTGCAGGGGAATGAAGCCCTTCATCTGCCTGGGGAGCAGGTGACCGAGGAGCAGTTCACAGACGATCAAGGCAATATCATCACCAAGAAGGTGAGTGAGTGATCGGGGTGTGGGTAAGGGCACGCTGCAGCCTTTCCCTTCTCTCCCTTCCACTCTGCAGCCTTTCCCTTCTCCCTTCCAGCCTTTCCCTTCTCCCCTGCTCCCTGCAACCTTTCCCTTCTCACCTGCAGCCTTTCCCTTCTCCCCTGCACCCTGCAACCTTTCCCTTCTCCCTTCCAACCTTTCCCTTCTCCCCTGCACCCTCCAGCCTTTCCCTTCTCCCCTGCACCCTGCACCCTTTCCCTTCTCCCCTGCACCCTGCAGCCTTTCCCTTCTCCCCTCCAGCCTTTCCCTTCTCCCCTGCACCCTGCAGCCCATGTAGGGCATTGCTGTGCCGCTGTCTTGGGTTACACTCACGGCATTTCTCCAGCTCACAGCCGCGGGCTGGGTGCGCAGGGACTCGCGGTGCCCTGGGGCTGGCTGTGACACGCAGCTCTGTGGGTCCCCGCAGATTATCCGGAAGGTGGTGCGCCAGCTGGGCCCTGGTGACATGGGTGACAGGCAGGAGCAGGAGGAGCTGATCCTGGAGGGCTCCCTGCAGGAGCCCCAAGACCTGGAGGCTGAGGATGATCACTTCATGAAATACTCCATCTTGCACCGGGATGGTCTGGGTGCCAAGGTACAGTGTGGCTCATAGCTCTGGGTTTCTGCAGGACTCTCACCCTCTGTCCTTCCTTCTGCCCCGCACTCCTCTCCTGTTTCCCCTCTAAGATTTCCAAAGCAAATCGTGCCCACTGCGCCAGTCTTCTTGCTTGGTGTTTTCTGCCTGCCAACTGACTCTACCTTTCCCTTTCCTGTCCTTTTCTCTGTGTCTGTCTGTCCACCCGGGTGATGTCCTGCTCCCTGGCCCTTCGGCTCCCTCAGGAGGAGATGCGAGTGCGCGTCCCGAAACCAGAGGTCTCTGGGGGCAGGATGGGGGCTCAGATAGTGAAACGAGCCAGCCTGAAAAGGGGGAAGCAGTGACCCCTCAAATGGCCTCTTTTTTGAGGTAACCCTGCCTTTGCTCTTCCTTCTGTCCTGGCTGCCTGCACTGAGCTGCTGGTCATGCACATTCTCCTGGGGGAAGTGTGGTGGGGCAGTGCCCAGCTCCTGGGGGCACTGAGGGTTTGCTGTGCTGCAGAAAACGACTGAGGGTGGGCAGCAGTGTGGCCCTGCTGATGCTCCTGGGTGCTGTGGGCACAGGGTGCCCTGGTCTGCAGTGATGCTGCAGCCAGCTGTGTGCACAGCACCCCCCTGCAGCCACAGTGCCAAGGGCTGCTCCTGCAGTGACAGCACCTGGCGTGCTCAGGGGTGTCACTGCAGGAGTGGCTGGGGGTCCCCAGTGACCTGGGCTACAGACAGAGGGATGGTCTTTGTCCAAGTCACTCCAGGGACCAGATTGCATTTGCATGGGGTCTGAGCAGAACTGCCCCCTCCATGCATGAGCAGCACTGACTGTGCAGCCTTGTGGCAGATGAGACCAGCCCTTGGAGCAGGTGCCTCGGAGTGCCCCTTCCCAGGGGGGCAGCTGAGCCCTGGCAGAGCTGGGGGTGAGATGCAGGGTGGGTTCTGTGGGGCTGTGGCTGCTCCCTGTGCTCACAGCACTGCTGTGGGATGTGCAGCTGCTCCCTGTGCTCACAGCATTGCTGTGGGGCTGTGGCTGCTCCCTGTGCTCACAGCACTGCTGTGGGATGTGCAGCTCCTCCCTGTGCTCACAGCATTGCTGTGGGGCTGTGGCTGCTCCCTGTGCTCACAGCATTGCTGTGGGATGTGCAGCTGCTCCCTGTGCTCACAGCACTGCTGTGGGATGTGCAGCTCCTCCCTGTGCTCACAGCACTGCTGTGGGATGTGCAGCTGAGCCCTGTGCTCACAGCACTGCTGTGGGATGTGCAGCTGCTCCCTGTGCTCACAGCATTGCTGTGGGGCTGTGGCTGCTCCCTGTGCTCACAGCACTGCTGTGGGATGTGCAGCTGCTCCCTGTGCTCACAGCACTGCTGTGGGATGTGCAGCTGCTGCCTGTGCTCACAGCATTGCTGTGGGATGTGCAGCTGCTCCCTGTGCTCACAGCATTGCTGTGGGACATGCAGCTGCTCCCTGTGCTCACAGCATTGCTGTGGGATGTGCAGCTGCTGCCTCTGCCAGCCATGCACTGAGTCTGCTGAAGGCAGGATGGGGCAGGCCTTGGCAGGGTGCTGCAGGAGTGGCAAGTGCAGAATGTGACACCTGTAGGGGCTGACAACAGGGCACCCACCTTTGACCGAGGACATTTCTTCCTTTGATCCTCACTGAGCTCAGAATGACCCCTGAAGCCTTGTGCATTCCCTGATGCCCCTGTGGAGTGGGACTAGGCCAGGTTGAAGGCAGGGTGCTTGGCACAGCACATTCGAGCCGAGCTGCACCATTTTTCTCTGCATACTCACTGCTGGGCTGGCAGTGCAGCACTGGGGGAAGCTGTTGCATGGTGCTCCCCAGCTGCCCTGCCCTGCATCCTGGCAGGAGTGGGGGCAGTTGGTCCTCTGGCCTCTGTTGTACATGCACGACTGGCTCTGTCCTCCCTCTCCCTTCTCTCTCCACTCTCTTAGTGAGCTCTCTGTGGGTGTATGAAAGTCAAGAGCCTTATGCTTGTTCATGCAGGCTCTGTCCCCCCTGCCTGCCCCACTCCCCAGACACTCCCTGGCTCTGCTGGCTCTGGGGCCCTGCTCCTGTCTCTTTGCTTTTGCAGTTTTCCACCGTGTGAAAGTGGCCCTGGGTGTGCACTGGGGAAGGTTTTCCTCACTGCTGGGAGAGTGGGCTGTACCTGAAGGCTCAGGGCTGGCCTCCTCCATCCCAGGTCCTGGAGCAGCCCTCCCAGCTCCCTCCCAGTGCCACGCTGGTGCAGCTCAGCTGCTGCTTGCTGCTCTGAGCAGACGGGGCAGCACCATCAGTGCCACCCAGGTCACTGACCCTGGCTCCAGGCCTGCTGCTTAATGGTGCTCTGTCACTGTCTGGCAACCCCCCAAAACTTGTCTTGTGGTTGCATGGGTGCATGTGGGACAAGCACAGTGGACAGAAGGGGCTTCCCAGCCCTCACCATTAACCCTGGATGTGCCAGCACGGATCCCTGGTAACCCCATTTCTGTGTCTCTCTCTCCAGGATCACACCTCAACACCAAACCACTGAACTTCACCCACGTTCTGACACATACCTGAGGAGAGAGGAGAGGAGAGCAGAGAGTGGAGGGGAGCAGGGCTGGCTGTACATGTTTCTATAGGCTAATGGCATGATTCCTGTATGAGATATACTTACCCTCCTATCCGCATGACTGACTGACTGCAAGACGCATGAGCTACAGTACTTCAAACAGATGAGGGGCCTCCATCCTTGCCCCAGAGACAGCACCACACACCAGGGGCGTGCTCTCAGCTCCCTGGGGAGGCAAGAGCTGGAGCAGAAGAAAAGGAGAGGGAAGGAGATTGCACCTCCATGTGTAGATGCATCCCCAGGTGTGAGCTCCAGCTGCAGGAGGAAAGCTGGGACAGCATGGCCCAGCTCAGCGTGGAAGGAGAGGTGCTTGGCCCCCCCTGCAAATGCCTGTGCTGCCTCTGCTGGACTTGCTTCTCATCCCTCCCTGTGAGTGTTGGGCTTTGGGGAGGGCAGCAGTGGCCGGAGGGTGCAAGGGGAGGCCGCAGGGAGCACGGCTGCCCTGGGCAGAGGGGCTGGTGCAGGGCTGCCCTTCCTCTCCCCAGCACGTGCAAAGTCTCCCATCAGGGCAGAGCACTGAGCTCGTTGCTTCTGTTGAAAGTGTAAACTGTACAGCAATCAGCCTTGTGTATATGAACCAATAAATACTATGCAAACCCCTAGGGACACTCTAGCAGTATGTACAAAGCACTGACAGCTCTGCTCTCATATACCTCTTCAGGCTGCAGGGTGGGCAAAGCCTTTGGAATACGTGACCAGGAAGGCTGTGGGAGTGAGAGGGCAGCAGCCTGCCCCTGTCCTGTGCCCCTCTGCCTGAGCCTGGCCCCTTCCTGGCCTGAAGAGGGGGGGACTAGAGGTGCAGTCCCAGGCTCCAGCCCCAGTTTGTGCTGGCTCCAGCTGGGTTGAAGCTGTAGAGCTGCGCTGAGGTGCTCGGGGCCCAGGGAGGATGTGCAGAGAGAGAGAGCAGGAGGTGCTTGTGCCACAACGTGGGGTTGTGCCTAGCTCTACTCAGCACAATATCTGCTCAGGAGATGAGCCAGGAGCTAGCAATAGCCAGCAGCTGTGCAATATGCACCCCAGGCAAGGGCTTTGCAGGGACCCTGGCCTCCCTGCAAGGGGGGTGAACAGCCCTGGATACTGACTCTCCCGGGACCAAACCCAGAGCCACGGGAGCTGCTGCTGCCCCGGTGGCTGCATTTTCTCCAGGTGGAATCTGCCTGAGCCCTGGGCGCTGGGGCAGCCTCCAGGCTGCTCTAGCAGCAGGAGAGCTGTGCTGGGCAGAGCTGCCCAGGCAGCTCAGAGCTGGGCAGGACATTGACCCTCTTGTAATACTTGAGCCCAGGAGAGCAGGGAGAAGGTAGTGGCACTTGGTCCCAGGTCCCTGACCCTGTCCTTGACCCAGCTGATGTGGGGACCTGGCCCTTTGTAGCACAGTGATGTGGGGACCCCCTGCTCTTTCTCCTGGAAGTGGCCACGGCCCTGCTTTGCAGAGTCTGAGATTGTTCTCTGTGGCCAGGTGCAGAACAAGCGCCCCTCCAGCTTCAGGCTCCGTGCTGGTGGCCTTGGCAGGGCAGCCCTGCCTTTCAGTGGGTGCACATCTGCTGGGAGAGCCCCTGGCTGCCCTGAAAGCCTCGCTGCAGCGAAGCCACTGACCCAGCTTAGCCTCGGAGAGCAAAGCAGTCCCCTCCCCGCCCCAAAGCTGAGCCATACAGGCACAGACTCTCCATCCATCACCCTTGCTGCGTACAATAACCTCCCTAGACCCACTGCAACAGCTGACTCCGTAGCATCACCCTAGAGTTGTGTGTGGGTCCAGTGCTTTGGCCTTGTGTATGCCGTAGGGAATGTGCTGTGCTGCAACCGTGCCAGGCACCTGCAGTGACATTGCTTTGCGCTCAGATTGCTTGTAGGGCTGGTAGGGGGAGGCTGCACCCGACATTGAGCCTAGAGAATGCTGCAGTCTGCACACTAGAAGCTTTTTAGAAGTTTTAAAGATTACTTTTATTTTCTTTTTTTAATTGTTATGGAAACAAGCCTTTTGGATCTCCCTGTCTTAGGCCCCTGATGTATAGATCATTTCCCTGTACACCAGCTATCAGAATATGAATTAATAAATAAATCAACACAAACAGTGTCTCGTCTCTGCTTTTCCAAAGGTGGGGATGATGGAGAGCCCGGGGCCGGTCCCCTCTTGCCGGGAGGGCGGGGGCGGCCGCGTCTCTGCCGTTCCTGGAGCAGCTGAAGGGAGCAGGAGCCCCCGAGGGGCTGCGCCGGCCTCTCCCGGGGTGGGCGAGCAGGGAAGCGTCCGCGCCGCCCCGGCGGGGGCTGGCCCGGGGGCCGCGGCGCTGCTGAGACCGCACCGGAGAGCACCGGCCCGCCCGGCGCTGTCCAGGGTCCGCGCCGCCCCGCGCTCCGGTCCTGTATGCCACCCATCCCTTCCCATCCCAACCCATTCCGTGTCCTGACCCGTCCCATCCCGACCCATTCCCGTGTCCTGTCCCGTCCCGTCCCGTCTGTCCCGACCCGTTCCTTCCCATCCCATCCACCCCGACCCATTCCCGTGTCCTGCCCCGTCCCATCCCACCTATCCCGACCCATTCCCCCTATCCCGACCCATTCCCGTATCATGTCGTGTCCTGTCCCGTCCCATCCCATCCATCCCGACCTATTCCTGTGTCGTGTTGTGCTCCGTGTCCCATGTCCCATGTCCCGTGTTCCATGTCCTGTCCGTCCCATCCCGTCCCGACCCATTCCGACCCATTCCCGTGTTCTGTCCTGTCCCGTCCCATCCCATGGATCCCATCCCATCCCAACCCATTCCCGTGTCCCGTGTCCCATATCCCGTGTCCCATATCCCGTCTCCCATGTCCTATATCCCGTGTCCCGTGTCCCATATCCCGTGTCCCATGTCCCGTGTCCCGTGTCCCGTGTCCCATATCCCGTGTCCCGTGTCCCATATCCCGTGTCCCGTCCCCGCCGCCGCCGCTGTTCAAAGCCCCATTTGTCTGGTCCGCACCAATCAGGCGCTGCCGCCCAGGCTCAGCCAATGGGAGGCGCGGCCGCCGAGTCCTGGCCAATGGGCGCGCCGCCCGCAGCCGCGCGGCCAATGGGAGCGCGTTATTCTAATAGGCCCCGTCTTTATCAGAGAAATGTTGGCGCTGCCCGAGCCCAAGTTGAGGGGCCGGGGCCGGAGCCCCCCGAGGTCACCGGGAGCATCCCGGGACCGCCGTGCCAGCCTCACCCCCGGCCAGCGCGGACCCCGGGGCTCTGCACAGCCCCCGGGCCGCCGGTAATGGGCCAGCCGTCGCACCTCCGGGCTTGCGGGCTCTGAGTGCCGCCTCGGTGCTGGAGCCATGGATGCCAACCTGCCGGGCACCTTTCTGCTCAACGGCCCCTCGCTGGGCCCCTTCCCCGAGGCCAAGGCGCCCGTTTGCCAGTATTCAGTGCAGAGCTCCTTCTACAAGCTGGGACCCCCCGGGCTGGGTGCCCAGCTGGCTGCTGGCACCCCCCACGGCATCTCCGACATCCTCGGCCGGCCCGCGGCGGCGCCGAACGGCAGCATCCTCCCCGGTTACCCGCACGCGGGCGGATTTAACGGACTGAGCTCGCCGGGCGTCTATTACGGGCCCCAGGTGGGCGCCCTCCCCAAGGCCGGTGGCGAGTACCTGCCGCGGGGCCGGAGCTGCTGGGCGGAGGCGGCCCCGGAGTGGCGGGGGGGCCGGCAGTGCGGCGGCCGTAAGTACGGGGGGCTCGGAGCGGCTGCTGGGGCCGGGTGGGTGCGTGGGGATGGGCGCCGTGAGGCTACAAACGGACCGCAACAGGGCAAGGGCATGGGCCAGGCTGTGTCTGTTCCATTGCCCTGCATGAGGTTGGCCAGCGGGCAGCGGGAAGGAGCCCAGCGCTGGAGATGCTGGACCTCAAATGGTCACAGAACTTTTTGGCTCTAATGATAAATACTGGCCACTTTCACACAGTGGAAAACTGCGAAAGCAAAGAGAAAGGAGCGGTGCCCCAGAGACAGCAAAGCCAGGGAGTGTTTGGGGAGTGGGGCAGGCAGGGGGGACAGAGCCTGCATGAACAAGCATAAGGCTCTTGACTTTCATACACCCACAGAGAGCTCACTGGGAGAGGGAGGACAGAGCCAGTCGTGCACGTACAACAGAGGCCAGAGGACCAACTGCCCCCACTCCTGCCAGGATTTGTCATTAGAGCCAATTCTTTGCACCCAGGCAGCCACAGCGGGCAAGGACAGGCAGAGCGCTCTGACTCACAAGATCTCCCTGGCTCTCAGGCAGCCTCAATGGGGGCCAGTGCCTGGGTAGTTCATGGCAGAGATAGGCAGGACCAGGAGCCCCAGGCTGGCAGCACTGGTGGAGAGCTGTCAGGAGGAATTGCAGGGCATGTTGCTGCTGTCCCACAGGGTAGGTGGGACGGGTGCATCCGCTGTCCCGTGGGAAGCCTCAGGAGGCTGCGAGCAGCTGTTCAGAACCTGCAGCTCTGGTCCCCTTCCCCCCTTTGCAGGTGATGATTTTGGAGCAGATGGGTTAGGCAGCTACGAGCCAATGACCAGCTCTGGCTGTAATCTGTCCTGCATCCTGCAAGGTGTGGGACATGGGGGCACAGTGTTCCCACTGCTGCATGGCTCTGGGGTCAAGCACTGCTGATAGCAACCCTTACCCTCCCAGCAGAACCACTTAGCACTGTCCTTGACCAGGAGGTGCCTATCCCACCCCTGTGGGACCTCCACAGTGGGCAGCTCAGCCCTCCTGGGACAGGGCTGAAGCCCTGAAGCGGGAATAAAGTTTTAATTTGGAGAGGAGCAGGTGTGGAGGGACTGTTTGGTCACGGAGGGCTGGTGAGTGCAGACAGAGAGCTGTCCAGAGTCGTGGGCTGCCCAGAGCTCACCCTCTTGTCTCTTCCTGTCCTGTAGCCCCTGCTCACTTGGCTGACAGCATCCACAAGAAGAAGCACACGCGCCCAACCTTCACAGGACACCAGATCTTTGCTCTGGAGAAGACGTTTGAGCAGACCAAGTACCTGGCAGGTCCGGAGAGAGCACGGCTGGCCTATTCCCTGGGCATGACCGAGTCCCAGGTGAAGGTGAGTATGGCTTCCTGCGTGGCACGGGGCGTGCAGCGTGCTGGCTGCTAACTGAGCTGGGGCACCAGGTCTGGTTCCAGAACCGACGGACCAAATGGAGGAAGAAGAGTGCCCTGGAGCCCTCCTCATCCTCGCAGCGGGCGGGGGGCTCTGGCGGAGAGCGGGCGGCCTCCGAGACCGAGGACGATGAGTACAACAAACCCCTGGACCCAGACTCGGATGACGAGAAGATCCGGCTGCTGCTGAGGAAGCACCGTGCAGCCTTCTCAATGCTGGGCCTGGGCACTCACAGCGGCTGAGCAGGGGCACAGCCTGCCCCTCTGACCCCCCTGAGCAGCAGAGACCCTGCCTGGCTGCTGGCATGGGCTGGCTGAAGCTGCACGGGGAGCACGGCTCACAGGGCTGGGAGCAGCACTCTGGTAGTGTCAGGTGCAGCTGTGCCATCCTGCACGGCTTTTATTGATGAAATAAAGGTCCCAGTCAAGTCCCAGCACTTGTTTCGTGGGCATGTGGTCCAGGGTGGCCTTGTGAGGCTGGGCTAGAGAAGGGTTGGGGATAGGATGGATGGGGCAGGGTCTGCATGCCAGGCAGGGTGGTGCTGCATGTGGGACAGGAAATGCCCAGAGAAGCAGGGGAGCCCTGGAGATTTTCCCAGGGTTTTCTCTGGTTTGGGTGTGTACCAGCAGCAAGAGCTGCTGGTTCAAAAGTCACTCACTGGGGCCTCTTATTGGAAGCTCTTAGCAGCAAATAAATATCATTTATCTTAACAGTGTGAGTGAGAGCCCATTCACCTGTCGGGGCTGCAGGATTGATGTGGCATCAATAGCCCCAGTGTGTTTGCCTGCCAACCTGTTGGGTCCCCCCCTGCTCTGTGCTGCACAGGGGGCTGCACACACAGATATTTGTGTGCACCTGGCTCTGCACACCCCCTGTTCTGGCTCACCAGTGGCATGCCAGCTGTGGGTGCCAGCTGTGGGTGCCAGCTGCCCCTACCTGCTCAGGACACCAAAGGAGCTCCAGCTGGCACAGACACAGCGCTGAAGGCTGGGCAAGCTTGGCAGTTGTTCAGCCAAGAGCCAGCTAAGTGCCAGCCAGGTGTGAGCAAACACGTGGGCTGTGTCTTGGAAGGAAATCGATAGCAGATAAGGTGCTGCCGGCCCACCAGGCACTGATAGCAGCATGGCAGAGGCACAGGAAGGGGCTGGAGTGGGGCTGGGGAAGGGCTGCCCCTCCCTGAGCCTGCAGGCAGCACCTGCAATGTGGCTGAGTCCACACTTGGGCCACTGGGACCTTTCAGTGGCCCGGGCACCAGCCTTGTGTGGGGCTGCAGGTCATTGCTGTGCAGCCTGCCAAGGCCCACGCTTGGCTTAAAGCCCTCTTGAATCTCTCACTGGGCTCTGGGCACTTTGCAAGGAGACCTGAGTGCTTGGTGCCACTTTTCCAGAGCTTAGGGGATGGCTGTCCCTGCACAGGTCCCTGTCCAGCCCCTGCAGTGAGCATGGGGTTTGTAGTGCTCCCCTCTCAGCCATGGGACAGATGCTGGGCCAGGACAGAGCTGATGGAGCCTTTGGGCTGGCAGGGATCTCCCAGGGGAGCACGGTGGCAGTGCCACCAGGAAGGGACACATCGCTCTGTGAACAGAGCCAGCGCTGGGCAGGAGCAGGTTCCACATGGTGGGAGAAGTGAGGGGCTGCTGGTGGGATATTTTTTTAACATTTTCTAAGCTGCCCAGCTTGGCTGACAATTTTTAATGTACTAACTGCCTGGTCCAGTGAGCTGATTAATTGGTGCTGTGGAGATCAATACAAAACAGAAAATTAAAACAATTTTAAAGTGATTAAGTAGTTTAACACCTGTCTGATGCCACGTCAGGGCTGGGAGACAAATAAAGCAGGTGGCAAAGGGCCTGCTGTAGCCAGGGAGAGTGACAAATGGCTGCTGCAGCCTGGCTGCCCTGTGCATCCCCACATTGAGACAGGACCCCAAAGAGTGCTGATCCACGCAGGGACCAGCCTGGCAGGCAGGACTGCCCCTTCTCCTTGCGCTGCCCGCTTTGAGCGCTCGCTGCTGCAGCAGAGCTGTGCCCCTCAGTGCTGGCAGAGCCGGCAGCAGCAGCTCTGCCCAGGCTGGCCCCGGTGCCAGGCAGCCTCAGGCTGCGTGGGCAGAGCCAGGAGCCACGCAGGGGGTGCAGCACAAGGCAGGCCAGGCTGGCAGGCAGATGGATGGCAGCTCCGCTTCAATTCCGCATCCCTTTTCTCCCAGACAAACCCCGTCGGATTTTCATAAATCAAAGCGCCACACTGTTTAATAAAAATTTATTGACTTACAAGTGATTATTTATCAAAAGGCCATTAATAGCAGCTCCGGGAATGATGTGCTACTGGGTGGTGCGTGGAGACTAATAGCAAATCAATGCCAGCATCCGGGCAGAATGCATATGAGGGCTCCTGGCCCCAGTGGGGTGCACGGCTGCTGCAGCCAGAGCCAGCAGCCCCTACCCCGTGGGCCACCCAGTGCTCCCCCCTTGGTTATTTATGGCTTACAAATGAAATGATCGATACTTTTAATCTAGAGCTAAATTTATTAACTTTCTCATCGGAGAGAGACATATTGACTGGGGGCATGGGGTGGGAGAGCCAAGGAAAGATGGATGTGTGCCTCCTAACCTGTCCAGCCAGCTCCTTGCCTGCTGTGGAGTGTCCTGAATGCTGCTGGGGACTGTCCTCAAGCACGGCAGGGTGGCTGGATGTCCTGCAAAGCTGAGGAGGGCTCTGCAGATTGCTGTGGCATCAGGCACAGGGCACCCAGCTGCAGGCAGATTTGTGGGCACCTGCAGCTGGATCCAAGTGCCCGAGGACGTGGCAAGGGCTGAGCACCTGAAGGAAATGTCCATGGCACCCCCAGAGAGGAGAGCTCTGGGGACACAGCCTTTGACAGGGCTCAGGAGGGGCTGCTGAACGGGGAGGAGAGCCTGGCAGCAGTGGCCCTGTCCCCAGCTGCAGCCATCCACAGCACACAGTGAGCACAGCACTGCCTCAGCAACCCACAACTCACTGCAGCTCCCCCCAGGGCTCCCCACACCACAGGCAAGGTGCAGGGCTCTTCATCCAAATGGCCCCTGAGCTGGCAGCCAGAGCAGCAAAGTTCCATCAGGTACATAAAAAAGTTGAAAATTCAGATTTAAGGCCACTTACACAGAGCAGCTGTCCTCACCTGGCATAGCAGATGCCCTTCCCAACAAACACTCAAGGTACAAAGGAGGCACTTGGGTGCCTTCTCCAGAGCACTAGAAATGCAAGCAGGCTTCAGCAGGTAGCAGTGAAACAGCTCTTGCTTGTAAGAGCAGAGAACCCAGTGTAAGTGCTCAGGTTTGTAGGAATGTAAGGAAAATGGGAAAGTACATGGGAGAAATGCTCAAATGCAAGTTGTTTTACCAAATAATTTACATGCAGAGCAAAAAGGGCCACAAGATTTCAGGTCTCGTGTGTGCATGACAAGGTCAGATGCCACCGTTTCCCTCAGGAGACATCTGAAAAGGGATTTGCTGCCCTAGCCATGAAGTCTTGGGCTCTCCTACACACTCCAGGCTCCTACTATAGCACGTTCAGATTCCTCAGGAGCCCCACCTGCCACTCCAGTGACACCTGGCACCCCACAGCCCCAGGGGACAGAGGGAGATTTCCAAGGAGTCTGATCCTTACTGCACCAGGAGCAGTGGAGAGGCTGTTACTGACACTGCAGAAGCAACAGTCTGGGTCAAGCTGACAGGAAGGTGGCAAAAGAAAAAGATTTCTCCTGGAAGTGGATCTGAAAATGGCCTGAGAGGCACATTCTCTCCTAAGGGGTTTATGCCTCACACATGAGTGGGACAGGCTGATGAGGATTCCCTTGGTTGTCAAAGCAGCCAATTTCAGCACAGCTCAGCAGCTTTTGTGTTGTGAGAGACTTGTGACTGACACACATGCACATCACACCAGTCCTTCCCTGGGGCTGGACACACCAGATGGAAGCACAGGACACCGTAAGAGTTTCATTTAATACTGCCCCTGCAAGGGGCTTCACTGTAACAGTAACAAGAAGGCATCTTTGCCATGAGCTGCCAAAGGCCTAGAGACTCCAGGCAGCAATAGTGCTCCTCAAAACAACAGCCAGAGGATGAAAAAGCCAGTCCCAGCAGCTCTGGAGTAGCCCAAGTCCAAAGATTGAGAGGTGCTCCAGACAAGCCCTGGCTGGTGCTGGAGGCAGGGTGGCAGTGCTGGAGGCAGCGCACTCAGGAGCGGCTCCGGTCTTCATGGCTGCCTACAATCATTTTGCTGTAGAGTTTCTGTTGCTCCTCCTTGAAAGCATCTTTCACCTTCTCCCTTTTCAGTCCTCCATCCCTGGGGAGAGAGTCAAATCAGAGAGGCTGCAGGCAGGCAGCATCTTCATCTGGGAGTGTTCAGGGCAGGTCAGAATTCCAGTTGCCCTGGTGGCACACCTGTCCCCAAAGAGCATCACTTTCTCACCTGGTTCTGCCAGGAGCTGCCCCCATGGCCCTGCACTGTGCTCAAAATAGCAACTCTGCCAGAAACATGAGCTACTCTAGCAGAGCTAAGGAAACTGCCTGCCTGCCTCCTGAGCTCTGAGACCTCAGGGCCTAGGAAAGCAAGTTCCCAAGCTGAACACACCTTGCTGAGTAGGAACAAGTCAAACCCAGGGCATCCCAATGAAAGCTACAATCAGAGAATGAAGCTCTGATGCCCAGCACACAGAAGCAGCAAAGACTTTGGTCCCTGCTACAGAAGGATATTCCTCCAGAAGCCTGCTCTACCCTAAGCAAGGGGTTAAACTCTACCCTAAGCAAGAAACAAAAGGAGCTCTACAGCCCATGAGCACATCCCAGGACAAGGAACTCTGGCACCAGGAAGAGAAAAGCCTGCTTGGACTCACCAGAGCAGATCCACAAGGCCCCCCTGCCTGGCAATGGCTGACTTCACTCGATTGGCAAACTGCACTGCGTCCTCTTCAGGCTGGGGCAAAACAAGAGTGTTCAGCAGGAGCAAAGGGCACAGGAGCACAGTGATCAGACAGGCTGCTTCACCTTACCTGCCTGGTCATTGGGGGCAAGTACCAGACACTGCAGACAATGGCCCAGCTGGTCATCATCCTCAGGAGGTAGGTCACCATGCCATACTTGCTGCTGTTCCAAAAGGCATCTCCAAACTGGGGGTCATACTACAAAGGCAAAAGAGTTCATGAAGTCAGGCAGGGGCTGCACCCTCTCTGAGGCTCCAACTTCCACCTCAAACTGAGCTAAACTCAGCTCACTACATGGAATGACCTCAGCTTTCCTGTGCCCGCAGACCAGGCTGGGCTGGGCTGCCAAGACAGAGATACAGAGGGACAGACAGACTTGTGCCTTGTCATACCTTGATGGCTACAGGGTAAACTGTAGCTCCAATTTCGAAGCTCCCCTTTTTGAACATCATCACAGATGTGTTGTTGATGCATGTTCCTGTAAGAGACAAGCACAATCTTAACTTTCCTCTGCAAATCAGTTCAGAAGTCTAAGCTACAGGCTTAAGGGCAGAGTAACCCTGCAACTCTCCCCTAGCTCTCCATCCAAGCCCTGCTCTCTGTGCACAGAAAGGGTCACTGGGACATCATGTGTGTCTCCTGCACTCTGGGCTCCTCAGCTCTAAAGACACAATGTCCCTCTTGTTTCAGTGGAGGGGCTCAAGCCCTTGGCTGTGTGAGAAGGAAAGGGACAGAGATGTGGTGCTATCTCAAGGTGCCTTCTCCACCCTGTGCTTTTCTGGCCTTGTTGCACTCACCTTCTGGAAAAATAAGAATGGGCAGTTTGCTTTTGTCCTGGACATGTTCTGTGAGCCTAAAGAGAAGAGTGTCAAAAATTAGCAGAAGGGACAGATGCTCTCAGTAGCAATCCACAGAGCACAATAATCCATACCCTGCAGTCACCAGGGACTATCAGGGTGCCAACAAAGGGGCACAATCTCCCAGCACTTATGAGGCCTCACCCAAGGGAGGTGCCCAGCCCTGGCGTTCCCCCAGCCCTCAGAGCCACCCCTGCAGGCAGCTGTCACACACTGTCACACCTTCTGGCCACGAGGTGACGATCCTTGACCTCGGAGCGTTCGAACCAGACATGGGGACAGGCTTTCACCATGGCCCTCTGGATCACACCCATGAGCCCTCCATGGATCTGACCCACCTGACCAGGACAAGAGACACAAGTTACAAGACCTGGGCACACATGGAAGTCAAGGCTGCATTCACAGCCAAACTGAGGTTTATCTTCCTGCCTCTATCCTGGAAAGGCTAAGAGGGAAAGTCCCAGGCTGTGATCTGAAAGACAGATACAGCAAACCCCAAGTGCTTTCCCCATGGCAGGAGGTCCAGCACTTTGCTCTTCCAGCAACAGCAAAGCCTAGAGCTCTTCTTGCAAAGCTGCACCCACAGAGCTCTGGTGCTTCAAGCTCCAGAGCTCTTTGCACACCACAGACAACAGAGTCTGACAGTGCCCCACCATGTCATGCAGGGCCAAGTAGTTCTACATGCTCCCAAGACTCTTGCTGCCCACTTCCTGCCCCATAACAAGCTCTGCTGCTCCCTCCATGCAGGTGGCCAGGCAGAGCTGATACCTTACCATGGCATAGTAGCCATCACTGGCCAGGATGATCACATCAATGGGGGAGGTGTGATTGGCCACACAGATGCCTCCATTTCGGGGTCTGTTTTCTCTACAAAACAAAGGCAGAGGTGAAGAAAGAGGGAAGGAAGCATGAGAGCTCCATAATGGCCAGCATGGAGCACCCCCTGGGCAGGGACAGCCTGGAGCAGCCAGGCCTTACCTGTCGTGGTAGGTGATGATGGCTGTGAGGGCACGCACACAGATCCGGTAGCACATCAGGTGCACGTGTTTGCTCAGGAAATCCTTACACCTGCAGCCCAGGACAGAGACCATCACTCCCATTATATATATTATATATATGTGATATATATTGTACATACTACAATATCCCTGGTAACAGTGCCACAGTGAAATCCCACTCCCCAGTCCTACAATATCCCCTGTAACAGTGCCACAGTGAAATCCCACTCCCCAGTCCTACAGTATCCCCTGTAACAGTGCCACAGTGAAATCCCACTCCCCAGTCCTACAGTATCCCCTGTAACAGTGCCACTCAGCCCAGTGAAATCCAGCCAAGTCTTCACATCTCTCCTACAGAAACACAGCATGTCCTGAGCTTTGCTGTCAGCTTATGATCACTGATTCTTAACTCATGAGAATAAATTTTTGGCCTTTTCTGTTATTGCTCCTTTAAGAGGCCAGGGCTGAGTGCTCTGCCACAGGCTTAGTGCTCACATCTAAGCCCCTTGTTGAAAATTACAGGGTGCCCATTCCTGAGAGACCACCTGCTCTGCCTGCAGGTGGTAGAACAGAAAGCTTTGTAGGGAAATTTCAGAATTATAAAGTCTCAAACTGCACGGAGCGCTCCCCATCTGCTTCTCCCTCAAAGATGCACTCACCTTCCATTTGGCAAATATCCCACCACTGTGGTACCAGTCACCAACAAGCTGATGCCAGTGAATGCCAGTGCTATCCTGCAGAAAGAGGGAAACCACATGCTAGAAAAACCCAGGCCACCAGCACCTTCTGGGCAGGCAGGTGCCAGGAGCAGGAGTCACCTGAGGGGCAGAAGGAAGCAGTAGCGGATGAGCACACCGAGCCCCCAGAGCACAGTCAGGCGCAGGCTGATGTACTGGAAGTTGTAATTGGTCCTGCTGAGCAGGTTCCAGGACTCCAGCTCTTCAGCTGAGAATCTCTTGGTCACTTCATCATCCATGATGGTCTCGATGCCTTTGCGGCAGAAATAGAAAATATCTGAGAGCTCAAACTCAGGGGTGTCCAGGGCTTTGCCGCTGCCGCTGCGGCGCAGCTCCTTGATCTCCTCCTCCAGGGACGTTGGCTCCTTTGCAATGATACCTGCAACACAGCACAGGCAGCTCTCAGCAAACTGGGACTTGCCCACTCAAAGGGAGACAAAAGTCAAGGTCCTCCCTCAACCACCCTCCTCAAAGTCCCCTTTCCTTCTCCAGTGCAGACAGGCAAAAACCTCCCCACTCCCAGGGTGCTTTCTGCCCTCCCTCACGAAACAGAGCTCTCTACAACTCCCTCCTACATGGAAAAGACTTCCCAGCAGACCTCAGCTGCTCAGAGACACCACATTCACCCCACCTCCCCACAAGAATTTCGAACTCCATGTCCCCATGCAGGGCAGGATCTCACCATTGACATAGGGCTTGTACAACGGATGGTTCTTCTCCTTGGCACCACGCTCTATTCTCAGTGTTGCCCACTGCAAGACAGACAGGACAACCAAGATTGGAAGTAACTCCACACTACTGCCCATTTCAGAGCTGACTTTCAGGCAGGACCATAGTGCAGGGGAGAAGATGGGGCTGAAGTAGGAGGCTTCCATACAAAACAGAAAGAGTGAGTGATGAACTCAACTGAACTGAGGTGGAAGCAGAGGCTGGCCTGGGAGTGCCAGAGGGAAGAAGAGTGCTCAGTGCTGAGATGGCACAGCAAGGTTTTCTGCAGTTTCTGTGACCTCTCAGCTCTGCTGCACCTTGCACGTGGTTGCCACTGCACAGCTGCTGTCTGAGCTGTGCAGCCTGCTGGGGTGTCTGCAGCACAGTGCAGGAAGCTGGTCAGGGCACCAGTGCTACTCTTCAACCCTTGTTTCTTCCAAATTCCAAGCAGAGACTGTGTTTTCAGGCTGCTGCTGACACATCAGGCTGATGATGGGATGGGATCCTTTCCCCTCTGATTCAGCTGATGGCTGCTGCTGCTTCTCAGCTCAGCAATCTGCCCAAAACAGCAGCAGCAAGCACCCTCAGACAGCTGGTTGCCAAATCCTGTGCCAGGACTACTTGTTCTATCAGCTAATTTTCAAGGGCACCAGCACAAACTGCAGGCTGTATTTCTGTGCAGTATTCCTGCCTGCCCTCCAAATAACCTTCACAGCCTGTAATTCATATAGGTCTGGAAGGAGAAGCTTCAGAAGAAGAAGGACTGGTGTACAATCTGCTTCTCTGTGTGGAGGGGAAGCTGCTGTGAACTCTGGCCTCCCAATCTCAGCCCATTCCAGCAGCAGATCAGGAGGCAGCAATGAGGGAATGCTGACTGCATACAGAGAGTCCTGCTCACCTTGCAGCTGCCTCTGCCAGCAGCCACACTTCAGCATTGCACAAGATTGCCTGGATGCTGCCAGCCCAGAAGTCAGGAGAGGAGCTCTGACCTCACAGGAGTTAAGCAGCCCATGGAGAAGGCAGTGCTTGCAAGGCCAGCACATCTCCATCCTGACTGTGGCAGCAGCAAACCCAGGCTCCCACCTGAGAGCCACCAACCAGACAGGTGCCCTCCCTCCCACCAACACAGGTGTGCTGCTGCCAGCCAGGCCCCACAGCTCTGGCTGTGTCCCACAGGCTGCCAGACTCTGCCACACTCCCAGCTCCTGCCCCTCTGGGTTCCCAACATTGGCCTTGAGTGCTGGGAAATAGCCCCCCAAAATACAGTTCTGAATGGTCAAACTTAATGAGTGAATTTTCCACCAAATCAGTGACCAGTTGTGCATGAGTGCTCCTCTATTCAACCACTAAGATCCTTTAATAAAACTGGAATAGACTTCCCAGTCTTTTCAGAAAAATAGCTTCAAACACCAATATAGGTGTTGAGAGTAAATGTTCCTGAATTGAAGGAAGAGGGGGAAAGAAAAGAAAACATTGTGAAAAGTTCTATTTAAAACTTTTTTTCTCTGCCAGCTTCAGTCAGTAAATTTGTAGCCAGGTCTTCCAATATCTGTGTTAATGAAGCCCCTCACAAAGCCCAGGGTCTTCCCATTTATACCTCAGGCTTTTGGGAGGACTCAAGAGTTTAAAGAGCTGAGCTCCAGGGCTGTCTTGCCAAGCCAGCCAGTACAGGGATACTCTGGGGACAATCATGGTATAATCATATATAATCATGGTATAATCATAATATAATCATGCTCCAACAGCAGTAGCTATACCATACATCCTTTAGCAGCATGAACTCCATATTTAAGAGCCTAAAACCTCCCTAGCAAACACTTTGCCTTTAACCTGGGCTGCCAGGATAGGGTGGTATAGGCTTTACCTACTACTCCTAGTAGATAAAAAATTCTGGTCTGGTCAGGAACTTGCTTCAAGAGGTGTTGGCTCAGAGACAGCCTATAAAATTAGTGCACCAAAGGCAGGCAAGGGAACAGCATGACAACAAGCTGGAAAATTCCACTTGGCCTCTCTGTGCCAAGAGGGTGGGCAAGGGCTGCTGGTTGTCCTCCAAGGCAGCAGGTCCAGACAGGGCTCAGTAGGTGACACTCCAGGACAGAAGCATGTGGAGAGCTCTGGGTTCTGGCCACAGACCACTCAGGGCTTGCAGCACAAATGTCCTGCCTTACCTCCTCTGCTCTTGCTTCCTCCAAATGTGACTCAGAGAGGAGCAACATGCTGGCTCTGGTCCCTCCCCATCACAGCTGGCACCACTGCAGCAGCACCCTGCCTTGCCTGGGACACCAAGCCCTCCAAGCTCCCCCTCAGATCCTGCTGACTGCACCTTGCCAGACTATTGCTTTACTTGAAGATTTACTAGATTAATTACAGGGAAAAAACAGCCCACAAACAGAGGTCTCAGCAATGGCATTTAGCTGAGATGAGCCAAAGAGGTCAACTGGCAGCAGCACGACATCCACAGCCCTGTCTTCCACTCTATCACCCAAAATCCCCTCCTGAGGCAAAAGCCTCTCTTCCATGCTTGGACAAACCTCTGCAAACACAGAGAACACTCTGAAAACATGACTTACCTGAAAAATCTTTAATAAAGTTTTCATGTAAACCTTGCGGATGCCAAAGGAGACTCCAAAAATTGCTGGCACGATGATGAAAACCAGAAGCAGAGTGAAGAGGACAGTTATGGAAATCCCCAAGAGATTAACCACTAGGCTGTCAAAGGGGAGCAGGAGGAACATGGTGAAGGGCCCAGGCAAGGCTGGTGCCCTGCAGCCAGACAGAAGGGCTGCTCACAGCAATGAACCAATCCTCCTGTTACTCAGCAACAGTGTCACACATGCACCGAGTCTGCAGCGTGCTCAGAGACCCCATTCCAAAGTTCACATCCTTTCGGGGCTCTGAGAGAGGGAATGCAACAGGATCAGAGAGAGCACTTGGGAAAACAAGCCAAGAGTCTGCCAGGAGCTCAGGTGACTTCAGACGATGCAGGCCAAAGAGCTCAGAACACACACACACGGGTTTGTCCACAGGCAGGGCAGCAACACGAGTGCAGGAACTGATCCCCTCCCAGGCTGCCACTGAGCAAGTCCTGCTGCGGGGCAGCTTGTGGAGAATCTGGCAGCAGAATCCCCTGGTGGCTGCTGAGAGCATGCAGAGTCTCTTCAGAGGGACAAGGTGGAGTCCATCCCTGAGCCTGCATTGGAGGAGATGGAGGGAGTTGGCACTCACAGGAGCCTACCGTGTGTGGAGCTATTATTGTTCTGGCCACGAGGGCAGGCGCACCAGCACGGCCGCTCCTCGCATGACGCCTGGAACAAGTTCAGTTCTGGAGGCCCCTGGCATCCACTCACGCTGAAGGGTCATTACAGACACCACTGAAAGCTTGTGCTCCTGGAAAGCCTTCAAACAGCACGTTGGCTTCTTGGCAGATGTGGCACTCACATGCCAGCAGCAGCAGCAGAGGAGGAGAGCGACTGGAGCCAGCAGATCGGAGATGTCAACGCAGGGAGTGTGGCAGAGGCAGTGGGCTCTGAAACCTGCAAGGCAGTACTTGGGCTGAGGTCACACCGTTCACAGCAGCTCCCCAGACAGCAAGACTGAGACTCTATATCAGCAACTCTGATAGTCTAGCTACTGCCTGTCACTGTCACAGACTGGGGAATCACCTCCTGCTGCCATTCATCCTCTATTTTCATACCATGCACACCTCAGACGGAGCACACTCATCCAGAACCACGCCCACGGCACAGGACGCTGCAATCAGGTCTCGAGTACAGGAAAGGAGTGACAGAAAACCCTTCCTCATGACAAAGACCTTATCATGTCTCTCATTTCAGGGGCATCCGAGAGAAGTGAGGAAGCCAGGTACCCAGATTCCTGGGTAGGCATCACTTCCTCTGCTCCTGTAAGTCTCATGCCCAGTGACAAAGGGCAGATTTAAACAGTTCAGGACAGGAAGTTAGCCCCTAAGGGGAGAATTACAGCTGATGATTAGTCAAAGAAGAACTTGCTGGGGCACAGGGCCCAGTCAAAGGTCACACACCCACAGGGTCAGCGGTGCCTTATGATAAAAAATGAGTCTGCTCGGGGGAGCCTGCCCTCTGGACATCACCTTCACCAGGCTACAGAGTCTCAACCTGAGGATGGGATTTAACAGGTACCTGACAAGCACACAGGGCAAAGGAGAGTGTGTAAAGATCCTCTTCCTCCCCTGTACACAACGTTCCAGCTGCTGGTTAAACACTGCTGTACCAGTAACGCCAAGAATAGTGTTAATGCTTCACAGTCACACACAGACCGGGCACCGGCAGAGGCAGCTCGTCAGCCACACGTGCCCAAGATGCCACAGCTGTCACCCATCACAAGCAGGACCGGTCACACGGGGCCCTTGAGGCGGCAGCCGCTCCGTGAGGACTCAGCCATGACTCCCCTGCCCCGAGTCACCGGCACGGCAGAGCCCACGTGTGCTGCGGCCCTGCCCGCGGGCTCCCGGCGCCGGCAGCCGCCCCTCCGGCCCCGCCCCGGGGCTGAGGCACGGCCGGGCGGGCCCGGCAGGCACACAGCCCGCTCCGCCGCGTCGGGGCTGCAGCGATTCACCGCTCGGCAGAGCAGCGGAACGGCCCGCCCGGGGCGGCCGCGGCGAGACCGGGGGCGGCGGAGACGGTGGATCGCAGCTCTGCTCCCCGGGAGCGCGGCGGATCGCAGCAGGGCTGGGCCCGGCCCTCCCGACGCCCTTCGTCCTCGGTGCGCGCGGGGCGGGGACGCGCGGGGCCGGCGCGGGGGGCACTGCGGCGCGGCCTGAGGGAGGCCGCGCTCCCGGGGATAACGGCGGGCGGCCAGGCCGGGCCGGGCCCTTTCTGCCGGGCGGGAAGGGGCGCGGAAGGCGCCGCGGTCGGTCAGTCGCTCACTCCCTCCCTCGCTCACTCACCTGCTGCTGCCGCCGCCGCCGCCGCCGCCACCGGGCCCCGCTCCGCCCCGCCACGTGCCGTGCGCGCCCCCGCACCGCGCTGCGTGCGTGGCGTCAGCGCGCCGCCCGCGGGGCCGCGCCCGCAGGGCCGCGCCGCTCTCCCGCCGCCGCCGCCGCCAGGGGGAGCCCGCGCGTCCCTCCCGCCGCCCGCTGAGGGCCCGGCCCCGCCCCAGCCCCGGGAGGCGGACAGGAGGCAGGAGTCGCCAAACGCCGTCACTTTATTAACTCCCCGTTACAGCACCAAGCACCGCAGGCACCCCGCCGCTCCTGGCACAGTGAGCCCGCGGTGAGCTCTTCTCGGGAGCGCCAGGATGGTGCCCCCTCCCTCCACACAAGGCACTTGGGCAGCACCGGCCACCGCGGCTCCCGGCCTGGTTCAGAGCTGGCCGCGAGTCCCAGCCCGCAGCCCTGCCCCTGTCACTCCCCTACTCTCGTGTTGCCCTGAGAACCTACACGAAGGAGTTGCTTCAAGCAGCAAGAAGTGAAGAAGCTTCTGCAGTGACTGGCGGCTGCTCATGGAGCAGCAGGCCATGAAGGAGCTAACAAAAATGTGAGGAGCATCTTCTGCAGCTGACCCCTCCCCAAGGGACAGGGAGGGCACCTACATGTCCCCACACTGCCTTCCTACCAATAAGGAGCCCGGGTCTCTGAATGCCGCCAGGTCTGCAGGTGAGAAAGGACTAAAGCGGCAGCCCCAGAGGTGCCAAGATGCTCCCAGGCCCTGCTGGCGCTCTTCACAGCACAGGAGGCAGGGCGGATCACGCCCACCTGGCAGATCTTGTAGTTCTTCCCATGGTTGTTGTCCCAGTGGGTCTTTTGTCCACACTGGAAGGAGATGCAGAACTCTGCGCCCCTATGGGAAATGGATGGTTTGGGCAGGGTAAGCTCAAAAGTGAAGATGTCCGTGTCGGCTGAGCCGTACGTGCTGTGCATGTACTGGCAAGGGATGTCCCGGAAGCTCTTCCAGCCATCAAAGGTGATGCGGACCATCACTTTCTTCTCGTACTCGATGTTTCGAACCTTCACTGTCCCTGACAGAGCACGGCCCTGGATCACACAGCTCTCCAGGCACACCAAGTTGCTGTGCAGGCTGTTCCGGAAAGCCACGTAGTTTGCAGATGGCTGTGGGAAGTCCAGCACGTACCTGCCTGCTTCCCACAGGGGGCTTTTCTTAGGTCTGAAACAGGCAAGGTCTGACAGGGCATGCTGCAAATCACAGAGGTCCTCCTCAATCTTTGAGAAGAAGCGGACAGCTGTCAGTGAGAGCCCCTTCATATCAGCAAACACAACCTGCTTCTTCTTCTGGCCCTTGGAGCCCTTGTCTCGCCGCTCCGGCTCAGGTTCTGCGCTCAGCTTCTGGTTGAGACAGGATCGGAGGGGTTTGCGGCCTCGGTTGCCCCGCAGCTCCTCGTAGGAGTTCAGCAGTTTTCGGATGGGGGGCGAATGGCTCAGGCAGAGCCGCACGGCCAGGTCCACGGGCATGGCTGGCGGGGCGACAGCCCGCCCGCTGCACACCTGGAAAAGCCTAGAGACGAACAGGGAGGGTCAGGCGGCGCGGCCCCGGCGAGCCCCCCGCCCCACCCGGCCCGGCCCCGCTCACTCGCCGCAGCTCATCCCCGCTCCGCTCCGCTCCCGCCGCGCCGCCTCCGCATCAATGGAGCCGTGGGAGCGCCCGCGGACGGGACACCCCGCCCCGGCCAATCAGCGCCGCCCCGCGCTCCCGGCTGGCCAATGGGAGCGGGCTGTGTCGCCTCGCCCCGCCCCCTGGCGGGGCCGCGCTCCTCCCGGGCCCGGCGGTGGCGGCAGCGCGTCCCGGAGAGGCGCCGGTAGCGGGACCGGCCCGGGGAGAGGGCACAGAGCGGCTCCTACCGCGCCAGGCAGGGGGAACAGAACAGAAATGGGCCCTGGGGCCAGAAAAACACGAGTGCTTTCGGAGGAGCAGCAGCTGTGCAGTGTCAACACCGGGAGGGAGCTCTGGAAGAAAGGGGGGCATGTTCCTCTTACCCAGGCTTTAATATGTTCCTCTTACCCAGGCTTTAATATGTTCCTCAGACCTAAGCTTTAATGTTCCTCTTACCCAGGCTTTAATATGTTCCTCAGACCTAGACTTTAATATGTTCCTCTTACTTTGGACTTTAATGTTCCTCTTACCCAGGCTTTAATGGGGGAGGCTTGAATTGGTTTCATACACCCCTTCTCAGATGCTTCTCTAAACACAGCTATTTCCAGGCTGTCTAAGAAAACCCCAGACCTCCAGCTCATGCTCTACCAGCTCAGAAGTTCTTACCCTGGATGTGTGCACTGAGAAGGAAATTTGCTCACACGCAAGAGACACTGTGGTGTCCCTGACATCTATAATCAAAATCACCCTCACTGTTCAGGTCACATGTGACTCCTTGACAGTAAAGACTGTCACCTAAAGCAGATCACCCCTGCCTTGTTCTCCTTGCTAATCTCCCCAGAGCTGTCGAGCCATTTATGTTAAGCAGCCCTGATTGTTCCTGCTGACAGCACAGATTTCCTTCAGCTCATGACACAGCTGACCGACCTCCCAATATTTCTACATGGCTTTCCATCACCACCATGTCTGAATGTCTGCAGCACAATGCAAGACTGGCCAAAGTGAGCTTGAACCCAGTGCCCAGCTGGCAAAAATATGATGCAAAAGCATGCTTTCCACACATCATCTTAGTGCAACCCCCCCAACTTCAGCCACCTGTGGTAGCCAACACAAACAGGAGTCTTCCTAGCAATGAAAGCTGTCCCACCTTTCTCTTGCACCCAGGAGAGCAGTTCTGGCTGAGGCAGGGAAATTGCAGTTCACCATCAGTGCCCTCCCTGTGACCTCTTCCACCATCCACCTACTTTGTGTTCAGAGCTAACCACTGAGTAAACCCAAGCTATTCCCACCTGGGGGAGAGCAGAGAATAAGGAATGTAGTATTTGCCATCAACAGCAGAACCCACGGACACTGGAAAAGCTGCCCCTACTCTTCCCATTCTGTCCCAGCAGCACAGATTAAGGTGGATGCCCTGCTGTGTCTTCTACTCCATTTAAGGACAAGCCAAACCCATCAATTTCTCAATAAAGTTGTGGACATTTCTCCTTCCCCCAGCACAGACAGAGCAGAGGTGCAGTGTGAGCAGTTCCACAGATGTTACACAGGTGTTTGGTCATGGAAGGACACACAAAATTTGCAGGTGGCATTTTCAGGTGTGCCACAAGTGACTCTCACCTGGAGCCTGGCTGATCTCAGCCATCTCCACTCTCTGCCCAGCCATGAAGACACAGCCATGTGCCAGCTGCAAGCTGCAGAGATGAGCTACACCACAGGCACTCTGGAAACCATCAGGTCAGTTCAAGTTCAGCCCCTAGGAGAGGACAGATGCCCCTGAGGCTCCCACTGCTGCAGCCATGTGACAAGTACGAGCTGTCAGGACAAGCATTCAGACTGAACAGGGCCAAGGAGAAAGGCTGCAGACGTGCCACCTGCACACTCCTCAGGCAGATCCTGTGGAGCACGCTTCCACAGCAGCAGATTAACAAGGATTTTGTCTGGAAGCTTCAGTCACCTCTGTGGAGTCGTCTGGCTGTAAATACACAACTCACAAGCCCTTCCTGGAGGGCTGTCCAGAGGAACATGCTACTGATTCCTCAGGATTAAACCCAGCCCCCTCTAAATGTCTATACTTGAAAGAATCTTCTTTACCTAAATGGATTAATTAAGGAAGACTATAAACCACACATGCAAAGCCACTCACACTACAAGATGCCCTGTGTCACCCCCAGCCTTGCAGAGGAAGATGCTCCTCAGACACTCCTCATGCAGGGAAGAGAAACCCTGCCCCGAAGAGCCCTTGTCTGCCCACAGCTTCTGAGCTACCACACAACACTCTGGCTTCTCCTCCAGCTACAGGAGGCCTGCATGGGGCAGCACTGCCAGAGGAGCTTTTGCTTTGTGTGACCAGCAAAAATGAACTCTGTGAAGTCCCCTTAGCAGTGGCTTCTGCACAAGGGAGTCTGACAGTGCAACCTGAAGGGGTACCAGAGCCCCTCACCCTCTGCAGGGAGGGCATTCACATGACACACAGCAGAAACTACTTTCTCCTGAGTCCATGACCACAGCTGCTCCATTTTAGTGATGCCACCTGCCACTGCTCTTAAACAGGCACTGCAGCAGCTTCACTCTGGAGCTTTCCAGACACTGCCCAGTGACACAGCCTGCCCTCACCCAGGAGTGCCACAGGAAGGATTGTCTGCTGGGCATGTCACAGGCAATCAGGAGCTTGAGGAGCTGTGGGGGTAGTGAATGCCTCTGTGGTACAATGTCGCAGACATCTTTTATGGAAAATCCTCTCCTTAGGATTTTTTCTCCTGAGAAGCTGAGAGGCCTCAGGAACAAAATGTAAACAATGGTTATCTGCTGCTGTGGAATGCAACAGGTGCATCTGGGATTGGGCTCATGTGGTTGTTTCTAATGAATGGCCAATCACAGTCCAGCTGGCTCAGACAGAGAGCCGAGCCACAAACTTTTGTTATCATTCCTTTCTATTCTTAGCTTAGCTGGCCTTCTGATGAAACCTTGTCTTCTATTCTTTTAGTATAGTTTTAATGTAATATATATCATAAAATAATAAATCAAGATTTCTGAAACATGGAGTCAGATCCTCGTCCCTTCCCTCAACCTGAGACCCCTGTGAACACGGTCACAGTGCAATCCTGTGGTACTCACCTCCAGTGCCACCATGCTCTGTCCTGGGAGGGGACCCAGCCCCCAGGCAGCCCCACAGGGACCCCAGTGTGCTGAGGTGGGCAGGGGAGGTGCTGCTGTAGCTGCTCCCCCCACCAGGTGCTTACCTGTCCCCTCAGATGAGCTGCACAGCTCCCGAGGCCACCAGAGGGGCCACGGTTCTGTAGCGGATCAGGTGCTGGGAGCCCTCCTCCAGGTCGATGGTGTATTCCCTGCAGAGACAGGGGCATGAGAGCTGCAGCCCACAGTGACACTGCCACCCATGACACCTGTGCCACACACAGAGATGCCCACCTACCTCTGCTCATCTGTCTCTGGCTCCACTAGGATGTTCTCCTGGCGCTCCAGCACCCTCAGAAACACAAAGGAGTCCAGGTTGGGCTTTGGAACTGCAAACGAAACATTGAGAGCACAAGCTCAGCCCTCACTTATGTTCCTCTGCAGAGCCCTGAGGGCTCTGACAGGTAACAAACAAACTGACAGGTGAACAAAGGGAACACCAGACCCTTGTAACCAGATGTGTGTGCTCAGCCTCAGTGCAAGACAGGAGTTGGCAGCAGCAGCATGGAACCATGCTACAACACTACCATCACATCACCTTTGCTCAACTGAGCAGCAAGTGGAGGGCTAGCCCTTACATTTGGGGCTCCCTGGAGCTTTCCCCACACTTCCACCCGCTTCTACAGTTTTCAGATTACCCTGGAGTCTGGATAGACTCACCTGACTTTAGGAGAGACACTTTCTGCAGGTTAGGTGGCATGTGTTTTAGGGCCACATTTTTCAGGTAAGCCTCTGTGTTTGCCATATACCTGAAAAAGAATTGAGTTGGTTAGTCAAATACAAATCTGCAGGGAGAGTATTGACTCAAAACAAGGGTAAGAGACAGCTCCTCATCCCATGGGCACAGCCAAAACCAGGCCCTTGGCCTACCCTGGGAACTGACTCAAAGTCACCAGAGTTATTTTCAGCTCCTTTCTTGCCCACAAGGAAACCTCCTGGTAAGACACACTGATTCTTACTTCAAACTGTCTGCTCACAGTCTCAGGAACTTCAGCAAAAACACACAGGTACGTTTCTATAATCTATAAAAGGGGAGGAAGACACATTGAAAACCTACTCACTCTTTAGCAAAGGCAAACTCCTCTGGTGATAAAATGGAGGGCTCCCCTTCAGCTCGAGACTTCTCCTTCTCCAGGATGTGGGGAAAAAACTTCTCTATCTAATATTGGAACACAACCCAAAAGAATGAAACAGATCTATCTCCCAGGAGTTCAGTGTTTAAACCCCCACTCCCCACTGGATTCCCTCCACGCTGCAGGAGCGGCTGCAGGCCTGCCCAAATCCCTGCTCCTGAAGTGACTGTGACACCAGCAAGCCACACAACCAGCAGGACACAGGGACAGGAGTGGGACACATCCAGCAGTGCCAGCCCAGGCTCAGATGAAGCCAGCAGCACTCACAATATTGTCATCAACACTGCTGTGATCTTCCTTTGTCACAATACCAAAATGTGTCCAAGAAATTAATCTGAGTTACATTTCAGAGAACACACTTTAATTAAATGCTGTGCTGAGGCAGGAAGCTCTGTGCAGGTAAAAATCCCCCCTGAAATGAGCCTTTTTCACCCTCTGGGCAGCACAGCAAGCGTTACCTTCACCAGCCGACACCTCAAGTAGCTGCTGAGCACAAAACGGATCCTCTCGATCTCCATGTGATGAACGCTGACCTTCAGGTCTCCTCTCTTGGCCCGTTTCAGGTTGGCTTCCTGCAAGAAAAAGCAACAAGAAATTAAAATTAAACAGTTGAAACATCAAAGAAGTAACAGAGGAAGACAAGTTTTGTACATAGAACCCACAAAACCAGACTAAGGCTGTTTGTGATGACCCAAAGCACACTGGCTCCTTTAGCATCAAAGTGTACTTGTGTAATTTGTGTGCTTGAGCCCCTTTCCAAGACAAGCTCGAAGAAGAAACTCAGAGAAGTTTTGTCACAGAGGAAGGGGAGCAAACGAGCCCAGCACTCCCAAAGAGCCTCAGGTGAGCAGGACCTGCCCACAGCACACCTGAGCCAGGAGCACCTACTGTGAAAAACGCCAATCAGTTGTTTTTAGAATTTTAAAAGTTCAATAGTAATAAAATGATTATAAAAATAGTAACAATTAGAGTAGTAATAATTTGGACAATTTGAATTAGGACAATATGAGACAATAGAGACAAAGAGTTACAGGTACCTTTTTCTGGGCAAAATAAGCCCGAAAAAGGACCCACGTTAACAGATGATTAACCCTTAAAAGCAACAGCCTGTTGCATATTCATACACCTCATCCATGATGCATAAATTCAAACACAGGATTCTGTCTGCGCAGTGTCAGCTTCTTCCTCTGAATCCTGACAGCATCGTTCTGCCCCAGCGAGGTGGAAAGAAGGTCGTTTCTCCTGATAATGGAGCAATAAATTCTCTTTCTCTGAAAGATTTAGGTGCTCTGTGGCTGCTATCTCAGTGCGAGTCCTTTCTTTAGAAAAAAAGTATCTCACATAGCATAGTTTCTATTTTAACATTTTGTTATAACCTAAAACTACGTTTAGCACACTATTTAAGAGAATCAATACAGCAGCATCACTTTCTAACACAACACATATAATATTGATTTTAATATTTGAGAAAATACTCATTTTTCACACCTACCATATGGTCCAGCTGCTCCACAACGCACTCGATGATTTCAGGTTTACTCTCCAGCAGCTCCGGAGCAAATTTCTCATTCAGCCAGGCCTGAAAGAAAGCACGCTGTGAGTGAAACCGAGGAAATCCTCAGCTCCACAGCCCAGCCAGCCCAGCCCGTGGCTGCAGCCCGCGGTACCTGCTCCAGGCTGTGGATCAGCTGTGCTGGGGTCAGCACCAGCTCCTCGCTGTCGCCGTCCGAATCCCCGCCGCTCGCGGCCGCCATCGCTCCCGCCATGACCCGGCCGGCCGCACCACTGCGCATGCGCGGCATGCCCGGGAACATGGATGGGGAACGGCCCTGCGGCCGCTTGGCCAATCGGAAGACGGAGTGGGGCCGCCGCTCCTCCCTCCGACCAATCAGGAGGCAAATTGAAAAAAGCCATCTTCTTCAGCCAATCAAGATAAAGATTGGAAAAGCCATCTTCTTTAGCCAATCAGAGCGCAGATTGAAGCTGCTAGGCCAACCAGGAGGCGGATTGAAATGAAGCTTTCTCGGCCAATCACGGTGCGACTCCAGACCGCAAGCTTTTTCAGCCAATCAGGAAGCGGGTTGAAATGGCCAATCAGGAGGCGGATGTAGCCCTTTTGGCAGTCAGGTGGCTCGGGCTGCAGCCTCCTCCACCAATCAGGGAGCAGCGTCCAGCTGCAACTTCTGGGCCAATGAGGAGGTGGGCACTGGCCGTGATGGAGCCCGGACACAGACACAGGGGGACAGCCCCCAGCCAAGCACCCGGTGGCCACCGGCCCTGATGGAGCCAGAGCCATGGAACCCACACACTGGGACAACAGGGACACAGCCCCAGGCACAGCCCCCAGGGACAGAGGGACACAGCCCCCAGCCTGTACACAGGGTCACTGCCTCCATCCTGAGCACAGGGACACAGCCTGGATACAGGGACACAGCCCCCAGCCCAGCCTGGACACAGGGACACAGCCCCCAGGCACAGGGACACAGGGACACAGCCCCAACCCAGCCTGGACACAGGGACACAGCCCCCAGGCACAGGGACACAGCCCCCAGCACCAGGTGGGCACTGGCCCTGATAGATCCAGAACCATCAAGCCCAGACACAGGGACACAGCCCAGACACAGGGACACAGACACAGCCCCCAGCCCCGGAGTCACCCTGTCCCCACAGCACGGCGCTGCCAGAACACACCTGCACACAGTTTAAGAAAAGGTTTACTGATCCATCAGTACTTCTGCCAATATTGCAACAGCTGTGAAAGGCAAACACTGTTACAGTTTAGAAAAAAAACAAATTTATACAATGAAAATATTAATCAAATCTCAACCCCCCCCAGCGGCTGAGGAATGAGCCTGGAGTTCCATATCCAGTATTAGCACCTGCAGCACCACCACCAACCAACCCAGCCCCTGCACCCTGCAAAGCATCTCCTCTGAACTCCTGAGTTCCTTCCACAACTGGACACTGACACTCGGCCCCTACACCAGGACACCTGGGCTCTGACACAGGAAAAGGATGGAAGAGAAGGGATTCAGCCAGCTTGGATTGTGGGGAGCTGCACTCGTGCAGGTTCTGCTGAGCAATGCACGGGGACGCTGAGGAATGCACAGCTCAACTCCTCAATGCGTGCCAGAGACAGAATTAAGAAATCCATCTTACACAGTATCTTACAGTTTGTCAAATCAATGTTTTCCTATAAATTATATGTAAGAAATCCATAAAGAAACAGTTTTACACTTCACATATTAATCAGAGAAGGGTGGGAATCATTATTTTTATTGGCTCAGCATCCACTTTGCTGTGCTCACTGTTTGATGGCTGACCAGGCCAACAACAGCACAGACTCAGGGGCAGAAAAACCAGCAGGGTTAAAGTCTGGCTACAGCCCCCTCCCTCCAGGGACAACCAAGACCTTAACTCAAGGAACACTTTAGCCTTTTGGTTTTCCACAAGGATCAGCACAAGAGACGCTGCCTTGAGTCACTCCTCACTGGGAAGAGGCACTGTGTATCTCTGCACTCTTACACTGAACTGGAGGGAAATTCCCAACTTGGAGCTGGAGCTTTCCAAAGCCCAACTGACACACAGAAGGGTTTAAGAACCAGGGACAAACAGCACTGCACTTACAGGACTAAAACTAAACCTCTGTTGGGCTCAGAGCCCCATTTCTTTCAGGAGAGAACACAGCTTTACCACTTCTGCCTTTTCTTGAGGGAAAAAAATAAATCCCAAACCAAACAAAAACTAAAAAGTGATCCTCTTGCTTCCAAATCTACTGGAAAGTGGATGCTGACCAGCTAGGTCACCCCCTGGGGAGCAGTTGGAGGAAGTTAGTCCTTGTAGTAGATGGCACTGTGGATCTGGCAGCAGAGAAAGGAATGATGCTCTAAAGTAGGAGGTAGGGGAACCTTGGTACAGCAAGTCCACCGCTGAGCTATCATCTAGGAAGGAAGTTCCATATGGTTAGAAACTCCTCCTAAGTCAAACCAAAAGCTCCCCCACACAAACCTTTCTGCAGTTACCATGTGCTGTGGTGAGCAGTGGGAGCAGAATCCAGAGCTCTCGATTCCATTTGTCCAAACAAAAAATAAAGACTTCCACTATTTGCTTCTTTTACCATAACAGGCATAAATATTTCCCACTCTTTTCTGCATATACTGCCAACAATCTGGATTTGACACTCCCATCCCAGGGCCTGCAGAGCACCTAACACAAGGGAGCCAGTCCCAAAGTCAGCTTTCCACAAGCTGACAGTAATTTTGGTGGTCTATATTGGATACAATTATCATGAGCCCCTGTCACTGTTATATTTTCTGAAAAATCTCTTTGCCCAGGACTTTGCTCCTGGGAGGCTGAGAAGCCTCAGAGAAAAAAATGAAACCAATAATTATCTGATTTGCTTCTCCTGTGTTTTGCTGCTTTGGAATGTGGTTGGACATTGTGATTGTTTCATTGGCTTCATGTGAATTGTTTTTACTTAATGACCAATCAGTGTCAAGCTGTGTCAGGACTCTGGAAGGAGTCACGAGTTTTTAATTAATATCTTTTAGCCTTCTGTAAGTATCCTCTCTCTATTTTTAATTTAGTTTAGTATAGTATTGGTTTCTCTAATATAAATCATAAAATAATAAATTAGCCTTCTAAAAACATGAAGTCAAATTCATCATTCCTCCCTTCGATGGGGGACCCCAAAAAAAAAATACCCAAAAAATACCACAAGCCCCAGTCCTGCAAAAACCCCTCACTTTGTGAGAGCAGCATCAAGAGAGCTGAGAGCCTCTCAGCAGAGCTTCTCAAAGCTGCTGGGCTCTCTTACCTGCAAACATCACAAGTAAAGACATCAGCATGATAACCAGAACAGCAGCCAACTGAAAAACTGCAACAAAAAGTCTCTGTATGCTAGAGTACACCCAGGGACAGAGCCCATTTTTACTGACCTGAGAAGAATTTTGGACATGATATAGCACAAGTTAGCATATTTACACAATCAAGACTCAAATTTCTCCTAGGTTAAGCAACATCCTGCCCAGTACTGATATTTTTACTTTCAAGAAGAGCTGGTCCACACAGGATTTATGTGAACAGTCTTTGATTATGTACAAGGGTGGGATAAACTCTCAGCATGACAGCATCCAATCCTCTGAGCACAGACAGATGGTGAGACTGATTTGAGATAAAGGTAACACATACCTGACATTCCACAGTTTTATCTTCCACTGGTCAAACCTCTGTCTTCATAAATGGTAATTTCAATCTGCACAGAAAAGCTGTTAGGGAAACACACTACAGAGAAACTATGAAAGCATACCTAGAAAAAGGCAGAACGACATTAAGATGATGGGATTTTTGATATCTCAGCTGTTTAAAGGCAGGTCCCAGAGCTCCAAAGCAAAGGGAACAATCTATGTGAGATGCCTCATCAGGTAAGAGTGCTGGCTCCCAGCCCAGGAACTCAGTGTGGCTTTGAGCCTTGACCCCCTGCTAAATTTTGGGGAAGGCTGTGCACCAAGAAAAAAAAAAAAATGATACTGCTAAAAACTCACCTACCAAACTGAAAATGCTTTCACTCAAGTTGAATGTTGAAGGTGTATGCACAATGGAAAATATGAGTCATGTGGGTGACAGCTCTGAGCTATTGGGACAAGGACACAGAAAACCCAACTGCAAGGAATTAACATTATCATACACTGGGTTCCAAGTTGCTGTGGTTTCAATATTTTCAAAGAAAAGATGTGTTGCTCATTATACTTCCCCATTTGTTATGAGAGGTCTTTAGAACTTCAGGCAATAACCTCATAAAATGTCTGGTACAGCAAGCCCACTAGAAAAGAAGTTTCATTTGGTTAGAAACTCCTCCTAAGTCAAACCAAAAGCTCCCCTATACAAACCTTTCTAGGCAGGACTTGCCTTGCCTTGCAGGCATTTCTCTTAACAAGTTTTTATTCAGAAAAGCATTAAATGAGACCTTAACTTTAGTAGAATTTGAGCATAGGTGGATGCTGTACCTGGTGGCAAGGGGTGACAATGAGAAGTGGGGCAAGTTCTTCCTCCAGAGGGGGAAGTGTGGCTCAACAGCTGAAGGAAAAGGGTTGAAATAAGCCACACTGGGAGCAAGAGCAAGTGCTGGGCTTGCAGTGATGTTTGTATGTCAAAATCTTCACCAGAACCTGAGCTGAGGGTTGCACATTAACAGCCAGGTCTTGTTCTCACAACATCAATTTCTGTCCTATCAACATAGTCAGAAAACCAGAATTTCTGGAGGTTACTGGAATAGAGGAAGGATCTTGAGTCCCTAAGGTCAGGTTCCACATCTTCATGGGCTCCCCACATACCAAACCTTAACACACCAAAGCCTGACTGGGGACCAGGACACAGCAAAGAGCAACAATCACTGATTCTATATCCCAGATCAAGCATGAGCAGAGGTGCCTCACTCAGACACACCAGGAGACAACAGAAGGCACAGAAGGATACAACTCTTAATCCTCTTTCAATGGGGTCTGTCAGCAGAAGGCCCTGAGGAGCGTAGATCTTCTCATTCTGTTCCTGAATGAACTTAGCAATTTTCTTTAGAACCTGGGAATGAAACAGCACAGAAGTCACAGCTGTGGCAGTGTGAGCACTGACACACAACTGCTCTGGTGGATCCACAGGGCAGGACTCAGGGTGACCCCATGGGACCCAAACCAGCATGTCTGAGGTACACTAATACATAATATTATATTATATTAAAGAATGCTACATTAAAACTTCCTGAATGAACTTAGCAATTTTCTTTAGAACCTGGGATTGAAACTGCACAGAAGGCACAGCAAGGCCAAGGTGAGAACTAACACACAACTGGTCTGGTGGCTCCACAGGGCAGGATTCAGGGTGACCCCCATGGACCCAAACTGAGCAGTACCAGCATGTCTGAGGTACATTAATACATATTCTATTAATTCTATATATTACATTATAAAAATATTACATTATAAAAATATTATATTATAAAAATATTATATTATAAAAAATTATATTATAAAAATTATATTATAAAAATATTATATTATATTATAGAAATATTATATTATATTATATTAATCTTCCTGAATAAACTTAACAATTTTCTTTAGAAGCTGGTAATGAAACAGCACAGAAGTCACAGCTGTGGCAATGAGAGAACTGACACACAACTGCTCTGATGGCTCCACAGTAACCCCCATGGGACCCAAACTGAGCAGTACCAGCATGTCTGAGGTACATCTGCACAGAATCTGCACCAAAACACTGCAAGCCACAGAAAAGCCACCAAGAACCAAGTGCTTGCCTGCAGGATGGAGGGGGAAACAAGCTCATACCTTTTCATAGTGTGTCTCCATGCACAGGAAGATGGTGTAGGCAGTCAGGCAGGCGAGACAGCCCTCAAGGTAAGATTGGCCCCCAAGTTTTTCAGCTTCTGCATAGAGGTTGTTCAGTGTCCGGACTGTCTCCTCAAACTGCTGCCTGTCAATCTGCAGGAAAAGCAAGTGAGGGTGTCAGGAGAACACTGCAGAACTCACCAGCACCCTTGGACATCCAGCTCCACCCAGGGATCACCTGTGCTGTGCTCAGAGCCTGGAACACACAGAGTTACAGAGCTGCAGCTCTGTGTTAGACACTGCACTGTGCTCAGGCTGAGTCTGAATTCAAACACAACAGGGACACAAAACTGTGGTGTTTGTGAGGTCTTCAGCATGAGGTGAGAGATGAGAATCTGACTCTGTTATTATATTATATTACATTATAAAGAATACAGACAGAAGGTTTAACAAGAATGAACAATAAAAACTCATGACTGACTCTTCAGAGCTGATGGTGATTGGTCATTAAGTAAAAACAATTCAATGAAACCAATCAAACAATCTCCAGACTACATTCCAAAGCAGCCAAACAGAGGAGAAGCAATCAGATAATTATTATTTACATTTTTCTCTGAAGCTTCTCACCTTCCCAGGAGAAGAAATCCTGGTGAAGGGATTTTTCAGAAAGGATGACACAAAACCATTCAGAGCAACACGCCTGAGCAAATGTGCAATTCAACTGGGAAAAAAGCGGAATTCACACACATTAAAATGAATGTGTTAAATCACACTAAAATGGTTAAAATGAACAGGAGCAGAATGGAGGGACACTCCACACCCACAGTGCCTTGGTGCTGCTGCAGTGCTGACCAAACACACCCACAACACAGAAACAGGGAAGAGAAAAAAGCCAACCAGAGAAAGAAAATAGGGTAGGAATGCGTGTTTGTTTCTCTGTCACCCTAAGATACCACCTCTGATAGCGCTGACCAAAAGGAAAATACTTGGGACAGCATTTGGTACTCGGGACAGCGTTTGTGAGGCCGCTAAGCGGGTTGGGCAGGATTTCAGGGGAGAGGACAATGCCATCACTGAGAGCACAGAGCCGGCTCTGCTCTCATAGACACAGCGAGTCCATTCCGCTCTACCGCTGCACATCAGCCGCCTTCCCCAGCACCGACCACGGCCCGGGGACACCGGGCAAGAACCGCACCGGAACGGCCCCGGTCAGAGACTGGCGCAGGAGCTGCCACCCCGCCCTCGGGCAACCCGCGGAACCGGCTCCGACCAAGGCAGGGCACCTGCAAACGCCCCCCGAGCGCAGGCCCGTGAGGCCCGGCCCGGCCCTGCCCGGTGTGCGGGCTCCGTGCGCCGCGCCCGCCGCCAGCCCCGCCTCACCCGGTTCTCCAGCTCGGCCGGGAACTTGCTCTGGAACTGGCAGCGCGTCCCTCCGCTGTAGTCGCGCTGGATGAACACCTTGCCCGACACAGGCGCCTGCTGCGGCCTCATCGCGCCGCCGCCCGCTCCCGTCCGCTCCGCTCCCGTCCGCTCCGCCGCCCGCCCCGCGCACTTACGGCTGTCGCAAAACCGCCGCGGCTCCGGCTCAGGGCGGAAGTGCCGCTAGGCGCCACCAGGCGCGGCAGCGCGCAGACGCAGCCTCGGAGGCCGCAGAACCGCAGGAGGGCGCATGCGCAAAAGCGCCCGTATTCTATTGGGCGCACCGCTCACCTCAGCTCACGTAACACCCCCCCCCCCCGGCCGTACTTGGTACCGCCCAGGCCCACAGGCAGCGGCCCGGTGCCCGCCGCTGTACCGGGACAAGGCGTTATCCCGGCGCCCGGTGCTATCCCGGGGCCCAGCGCTGTCCCGGCGCCCATAGGCACCGGCGCCTGGCGCTATCCCGGGGTTCAGCGCTATCCCGGCGCCCGGCGCTTTCCTGGCGGCCCCCCCCGGCCGTACTTGGTACCGCCCGGTCCCTCAGGCACCGGCGCCTGGCGCTGTCCCGGGGCCGGCCGATATCCCGGGACACGGGGGCCGGTGGCGGCCCGGTAACCTTTGCCCAGAGCTCCGGGCGGCAGCGAGGGCAGCGGTGCCTCAGGCTGAGGCAGGGCTGGGAGCGGTCAGAGAAGGCAGGGCCGTGTCGGTGGGAGCTCATCCTCCGGGACCCGTCCTTCAGGAGTGGCCCTTGGGCTGCTCGTGCTGACGGTGCCCCTCTGCTCCTGCTGAGAGCTGTTAAAAATAGGTTAAATACTGTAGTAAAATAGTTGCTAGATCGTTAAGCATGTAGTGTTTGTTTGGTTATTCTATTGTAAAAGGGGTTAAAAGGGTAGTTGTAAGAAATCCGGTACTCAAGGTACCATAACACACCTCAGTAAAGTGCACCACGAGCCAGCCTGGACAGAACTGTCACGGCCAATCAAGGCCTAAAACCTTCATGCAGATGAAGAATCCAAAAAGAAACCACCAAAGGGTTGGAAAAGGGTTGGAAAACCAATCCAAGGGTTGGTACATTTCTGCTGAAAAGAAAACCCAGTGCTGCAGCATCCTCGACAGGAACACTCCTGCTCAGCCCAGGCCCCCTTGCTTTAGGCCTTTCTTATTTTTATAATAAATGCTGAAATCTCTTCAGTACCAGGATCCTGTTCCCGTTTTTATCAGAGCCACGGGCAAATCCAAGGTGTTGAGCAGCCGCTGACCCCTCGCTCTTCATGGGCATGGTGTTTTCCAGCCTGACCAAGCATGGACACTTGTGGCTCTTAGAGGAGACAGACACTTTGAAACAGAGTCTTTCAGTAGAGATGCAAGAGGACAAATCAAATTTACAAATGTGGCTTAGACTGGGAGATAAACTCACAAAGCCAATTTGTGTCATTTCATGGGCTTGAAAGATTTTAAGTCAGAGGTCCCTGTATCGTTTGAATTAGGTTGGGACAGGGGTATTCTGGAAAGCCAGATCTGGAGAAATTTTTATTCAGGGCATTTGAAATTGAGTAGGGGCCATCCAGCATTTCTGTAATAAATAATTATTCTCTCTTAAATAAAATATTATTGTCTCTTAAATAAAATATTATTGTCTCTTAAATAAAATATTCCAGAACACAAGCTTCCACACGACAAAGAAAACTATGAATACCTGAAAATGGATATATCTATCTTGTAGTAAATATTCAGGAATAGGATTTCATATGTGTATCAACAGAGAAAGTGAGACTTTCAAAGGGTGCTGCTTTCAGAAGAAAAATTAAAAAAAAAACAACATAAGGAAGATCTAAGTAGCACAAAAAAATGAAGTTTTGTTGTTTGTTTTTTTTTTGTGTCTACCAGTTTGTGCTGTCAACAAGGTTATCAGTTTTATTGTCTGAACAGGAGCAGATTGCAGGGTTCGGAAGTGGCAGCTCCATGTCCTGACAGCTCAGGTGACCCCACTGGGATGCTCCCAGCACCCTGCCATGCCTGGGGCTCCCCAGGCACCCCAGCTTGTGCTGGCTGTGAATCAGGCAAGCAGCAGCTTCTTCCTGGGCTGCCTGGAATCCTGACACAAGGAGCCACCAAGACTCAAACCCGAGGGCTCTGCAGTGCCTTTTGTGCCCTGCAAGCCAAAAGCAGCAAGAAGACCTTGGCAGCAGTGAGTTAGTTAATGGCTGGACTCAGTGATCCCCGAGGTCTTTTCCAACCTTAGTGATTGTGTGATTCTGAGGCTATTTCGGCAGAGGGATAAGCCCCTGGCTCCCACTGCTGAGCTCAGCTGCCAGAAAAGTTCCCCGGGAAGTAGCACAATCTTTGTTTGGTCATTAAAGCAGAAAAAGAGAGAGGGAATCTGAGGAAATGCTTGAAACGATTAGGTGATCTTAACTCTAAGGAGCTAAACAAATGCAAAGCAATTCCCCCCTCAGCCCCTCGTGCTGCTGTAGAATGTAATCTCATTTCTAAACACACAATTACAGAAAATAAAAAGAAAAGAAAAGAATAATTAATTTCTGCTTCCTCATGCAAATCCTCTGACCAATCATTTAGGGATCAGGGGCAATTCAGCTTCTTGTGCAAATTCCAAACTGAAGGCCTGAAAAAAACAAGTGAATGGATTTACTTTTCTAAGAACCAGAATTAACAAAGGTTCCATTTTCCATGGTTATGTGCCTGGCCAGACAGCCCTTGCTGACAAGCTCTCAAAAAACATGTGTTGGCCTGTTGAAAAGGCCCCAGTGTTGACTGACAGACAATTGAAGTGACAAATTGTTTCATTGTACTTGGCAGGGAGAGCGCTGTATTAGATAATTATGGCGAGGAGGGAAGCGACAGGTCACAGGTCAGAAGACACGTCTGACCCTGTTTTCTGAAAGCCCTGAAAGGAGCCCATGCCCTTCAGGGAGAGCAGCGTGGTGCTGGAGCTGCTTCTCCTTTCCGTTGTGCTGATTAGGAGCAAATGAAGATGGAGTGGGGATGAGCTGGCTCTGTTCTTGCTCCAGTCGTGGCTCTCAGGATGGGCTCCCAGGATGGGCTCCCAGGATGGGCTCCCAGGACAATTGTGTGGCTCCCAGGATGGGCTCCCAGGACAATTGTGTGGCTCCCAGGATGGGCTCCCATGATGGTTGTGTGGCTCCCAGAATGGGCTCCCAGGACAATTGTGTGGCTCCCAGGATGGGTGTGTGGCTCCCAGGACAACTGTGCGGCTCCCAGGATGGATGTGTGGTTCCCAGAATAGGTATTCAGCACCCAGGATGGTTGTGTGGCTCCCAGGATGGGTGTGTGGCTCCCAGAATAGGTGTGCAGCTTCCAGGATGGTTGTGTGCCTCCCAGGATGGGCTCCCAGGACAATTGTGTGGCTCCCAGGATGGGCTCCCAGGACAATTGTGCAGCTCCCAGGATGGATGTGTGGCTCCCAGAATAGGTGTTCACCACCCAGGATGGGTGTGTGGCTCCCAGGATGGTTGTGTGGCTCCCAGGATGGGCTCCCAGGACAATTGTGTGGCTCCCAGGATGGGTGTGTGGCTCCCAGAATAGGTGTGCAGCTCCAAGGATGGGTGTGTGGCTCCCAGGATGGGCTCCCAGGATGGATGTATGGCTCCCAGGATGGGTGTGTGGCTCCCAGGACAATTGTGTGGCTCCCAGGATGGGTGTGTGGCTCCCAGGATGGGTGTGTGGCTCCCAGAATCGGTGTGCAGCTCCCAGGATGGGTGTTCAGCACCCAGGATGGGTGTGTGGCTCCCAGGATGGGTGTGTGGCTCCCAGGACAGGTGTGCAGCTCCCAGGATGGGTGTGTGGCTCCCAGGATGGGCTCCCAGGATGGTTGTATGGCTCCCAGGATGGATGTGTGGTTCCCAGAATAGGTGTTCAACACCCAGGATGGTTGTGTGCCTCCCAGAATGGGCTCCCAGAATAGGTGTGCAGCTCCCAGGATGGGTGTGTGGCTCCCAGAATGGGCTCCCAGGATAGATGTGTGGTTCCCAGAATAGGTGTTCAGCACCCAGGATGGGTGTGTGTGGCTCCCAGGATGGGTGTGTGGCTCCCCAGCAGCACCCAGCACCCCTTAATAAATAAAAATAATAAATAAGCCCAGCACCCTTTATTAATAAAATGGCTCCAGGGGCCCAGAGCATGGGCAGCTGCCTTCACTGCCACCTTTTGAGCAGCACCAGACCCCTGTGAGCACCTCAGCAGTCCATGTTCTGAACTGGCAGGAAAAAGCACCAAGAAAAGGCCCTGAGTCCTGTGCCAGGCACTTGGGCACCTTCCTTTGCCAGCCTGCAAACACCAGCCCAGCCCTGCTGGGGCCTGGGTTTTTTTGCAGGCTACAACAGAGTACAACTAATAGTTATTGCAGCTTCTCTCCTGCCACAGAAATAAAATATGGCATGGAATCACAGCACAGCTACTCCATTGAGAGCAATGCTACACTGAGTAATACCAATAATTCAAAACAGATGAGCCAAAGGCTTGAGCACTATGGGCTCAGTATCCCAGTCTGCCCTGACCCCTGGAATTCGCTGAAAGTTACCTTGAGACTCGCCAGAACTCTTTTGTAACTTCTGTGAGGGTTATTTATTGCAAAGTCATAAATATTTGCTATGGATTTTCTCCATCAATCTACAAAATGAATTAGGTTAGAAAAAAATGTATGTACTTGGATTTTGGGCATGTGTTTCCCAGGCAGGGGAGAAAGCATTGGATCTCCATTGTGTAGAAGACAGGCTGCTGCAGAGCTTTGGGCTCTGCTGCCTGCACTAATTAATTCCCTTCCACAAACAGTTTAAAAATGCACAGTACAGTTGAGAAAGGGGGAAGGGAGGAAAGAGATTCTTCTTGAAATCTCTTTTAAAATCTTTCATAAAATTATTTATGGGGAAAGGAAAATTCTGCTTCCCTCCCCTCCTTCCCAGACACTCTGCCAGTCCATTAAAACCCTGAAACTGAGAGGCAGCATGTTGTGCCCCAGGGAATCAGCCTTCAGTCAAAGTCTACCTCAGGAGCCAGCACTGGCAGCTGGATGTGGCCATGGAAGGAGAGTGCCCAGGCTCCTCTCTCTTTCCATCCCAAGGCAAAACTGTCTTGGGGCAAAGCCACCCCATTTTCTCACTGTTAAAAAGAGGAGGGAGAGCAGGACTCGCCT